ATATATCCATTTGTTTTTTTCACGGAGTTTTAGAAATATTAATATTATATTAAGATAAAGTAGAAATAAAAGTAAAAAGACTAAATTAATTCTATTACTATTGTATGATATAAATGTAATGACATTTGTATTATATAATGTAAATTGAAAGAGTATTTGTAAGGTTAGATAGACAGTACAATCAAAAAAAAAGAAATTGATATTTTGTTATGTGACGAGAGTATTTATTTATTTCCTATGCTTTTACTAACAAAAAATTATAATATATGAAACTTTATATTGTTAACGTAAAAATATAATATTTTTATTGAATTATTGACTTTTTATTAAAAAAATATAGTTATATACATTTTTATTTTATGTTAATTATGTATATACGTTTCGATTATTATGTTGATTGGGTCAACCATTTATATTTACTTTGTATATTTTTTTTTAAATCTTTTATTATTGTTATTGTATTTATCTCATAAACAACATATTTAATTTATTTATTTTTATACTCCTCCGTCTTGCATATCGTGTCTGCTGCACTGTAGACACAGTATTTTAGTAGGGATGTAATTAGTAGATAATTAAAAATATATTAATGAAAATAATTATCCTATAATATAAATAATTATAAATTAAGATTAAGATAACTAATTAGTTTAATTAAAATTAAAAAATAATAAATTAAAAAATTTAAAATGAGATTAAAGTGTGTAATCATTTTTCAAAAACAAAAGTGACATGGAACGTGGGCAGACAGAAACGACAACGTGGACATGGTATGTCAGACGAAGGGAGTATAAGATATCATATTTAACAATTAATTTGTAAATACATTCTCTTTGTCCGTCTTTAAGGGTCATATTTACCTTTTACGTGATTATAGTTAATATTAAAAATATTTTTATATTTGTATAATTTTTTTTGTACAAATGTCATTATATTTGTATTATAACACACTAACGAAAATATTTTTACAATATTTTTATTAATTTATATTATATTTTAATATAATAATTAATATTCAAATAGTAACACAAAAAAAATAAATGACACATTGAAGCCGACAGAGGGAATATTCATTTTTCAATAACTTATTTTATTTTATTTATATGCACTTTAAATTATGTTTTCTATTAATTATTATATTAGAAATTTTTAATTATTTAACAATTGATAATGTGTTTAACAACACGCTCTCCTTTGTACAATTGAAATAAATTTATATATGTGTATATATATATATATATATGTGATAAAAGATTACTTATATTTTGGGTTGTTCATTATCAATATATTATTATTATTATTATTTTAAATTTAGTAAATATTGTCTAGATACTAAAGTTAAATACTTTTATATTTTACTTAAAATTAATTATCAACATATTACACTCTTATTTTAAAATATATTCATTATACATGAAGATATTTTATTGTTATTATTATTATTATTATTAGGGAAAAAATTGTTGTTGTCCCAATATAACTAAAATTCATCCATTTTAATTTAAATATAAAAATTTTATCAATTTTGGTCTCAATATAACCAAAACTCATCATTTTTTGCCCCAATATGACCAAAACTCATCATTTTTTTATCCCAATATAATCAAATCTTATCTTTTTTGGTCTCACCATCAACAAACCGACGAAAAATACTGACGTGAAAAGAAATCAAACCTTATATTTATATTTGAAGAAATTGCACAATCTTGCAAGTTCACGTCAGCATTTTTTGTCGGTTTGATGACGGTGGGACCAAAAAAGATAAGTTTGATTATATTATGACAAAAAATGATGAGTTTTGGTTATATTGACACTAAAATTGATAAAAAAATTATATTGAGACAAAAAATGATGAGTTTTGGTTATATTGAGACCAAAATTGATGAGTTTTGATTATATTATGACTAAAATTGATAAAATTTTTATATTAGAACCAAAATTGATGAATTTTAATTATATTGAGACAAAAAATCATTTTTTCCCTTATTATTATTATTATTATTATTGATGTTTCTAAAAGAGCAAAAAAGTGTCACCTTTCCAATTAGAGTATGCTCAACTATTTGGGCCTACATAAATAAATGACTATTTCAATCCATGTGTTATTTTTAATGGGCCCATTAAGGCCCACATGATTGTATTGATGCTATAAATATCTAATATGATTGTTGTACATACAAATACTTATATATTTTATGAAAAAACTACGTAGATGTATTTTATGTACATATGTAGTATTAAGTTAATTAAAATAAAATAAAAAAAATTATAAATTATGAAATTTAAAATGTGATTAAAATATATAATTATATATTTTTTTAAAAAAAGAGACAAATTATATAGGATGGATCAAAATAAAAAAAGAAAAAAAAATTAGCATTACATGTGGAATAAAAAGAGTAATAGATTCATCATTAATATGGACAAAAAAATGACAATAAATTATTCTCTTTATCCTTTAACAATCTATTTAATTTTTTTTTGTCCCTCACGTAACAAAATATATATTTTTTTTAATTACTATATTATCTATCTAACATTACAAATACCTTTACAACTAATAATATATTATACAAATGTCATTACTTTTATATCATACAGAGGGAGTATAAAATGTTTGTTTGTTTAGTGTTTTGTTTAAAATATATTTTTTGATGTGAGATATAGAGAATTTTACAATTAAAAATAATATTTTATATTAAATATTAATTTTTGTGAGATAATAAAATAAATATTGGGAATAAGTGTAAAAAAAAAAAAAAAGTGTTAAAAGAACAAACTTAAATTTGATATAGAAAAATCCACATTGCAAAAAGATACTCTCTCCGGCCGTCAAATTTATTTTCACTTTACTTTTTCGTCCGTCCGTCCGTTAAATTCACCTTATTATTATGTTTGGAAAAGTAAAAAATAATATTTAATTATTAACCTTCATTCAATACTTATTTATAACAAATATGATTGACTTTATTATATTTTCTTTTCATTCTTTTTAATTACTAATTAAATTTCAAAAAATATATTCGACGGTCATTTTACTTTCTTTAGTTTTTCAATAAAATATTTACTTTTTTTAATATCCCGATCAATTCCAAGTAAAATAATTTTTTTATTTTATTTTTCTTAATATCCATGTCAATTCCAAATAAGCTAATTTTTGCGGACGAACAGAGTATTAACCATTCATTCTTGCTTCTTTCTAAATTTTTTACTACTTAATTTATTAGTTTGTTTACTAAAATTATGTCGTATCATATTTCTTTTTTATAAAAAAACATTAGTTTAAATACTTCATTTGTTACAGTTATCGTGTTCATCTTTTCATTTTCGTTTATCACACTTATTTTGTCATTTTTCCTTTTTTTTGCAAAAAGAATTATACAATTCAATTTTATTTTATAGTTTTTTTTAATTTTATTACACTAATTAGTTATTTTAAATTTAATCTAAATTTATTTTTATTACACGATAAATATTTTCAATTAAGCTAAAAATAAAAATAAATTAAGAACACCAATAAAAGGCCAAAATTTATCATTATGAGAGTTCATTTATTATGTTACATAAGTCGTCATCAATGAATGCATGTGACATGTCTCAATTCTTCCTCACAAAATTTCAAATTCTAATTTTGGACGTTTGGAACATAGCTTTTTATTATTTTGTTATTTTTTGTTTGTATATAATATTAATTTTGAATTTTTCGAACAAAAAAAAAATTTAAAAATTTACATTTTTATAAAAATTAATATAAAAAATTTCTTGAATAATCAAAGTCATTTTTTTTTAACGAGGTGGAACCGAAAATCATTGTGAATAACTTTCGTCTGAACTTAATAGTTTGAAAAGTTTAAATCCACAACTTTACCGTCACAAGGCTATCCTTATGGAACTTTCTTTTTTTTTTAGGTAAATACAACATTGAATTTTTTTTTAATAAAAATATATCAAATTTCTAAATAAACATTACTTTTATTACAATATTGAAATTTTTTTAATAAAAATATATCAAATTTCTAAATAAACATTATTTTTATAACAAATTATTCGTTGCATCCAACATCTGATAATGTAATTGCTAAATTATTATTGAATATGATACGAAATTATTCCAGTACTTGATTGAATATAACAGATGCTGAATTCTATCATTCCAACACCAAATTGAAGTTGTATCATTGAAATGGTTAAAGAATATTTATCATTTTTTATTTTTGTTCGTCTCGAAACAAGAGTACGATTTTTTAATTTAGTAACTATACTACCTACCTAACATAATAAATACTCTATACAATTTACAATATATTACAAAAATACATCACTTTTATAACACATCATACTAACAAGGGTATTTTCGTATTTTATACTACAAACTAATATAATATTAATATTTAAAAATCTACGTGCAAAATGCAAACGATATTCTTCTTGCGAAACGGAATGAATATTTATTTTTATAAATAATTATATCACCGTAAAAACTACCCATATTATTTATTTATTTATTTATTACACAAATACTATTATTCTTTTTCACGAACAAAAATACCTATTACCCATATTTTTCCCCAACCAACTACCAATGTAATGCTGTATTAGTAAAAATAATTATAATTAATATAACTAAATAGTTTAATTAAAATAAAAAATATATAAATTAAAAATTTGAATTATATTTTAAAGAAAAGAATGAACAAATTATGCAAAAGAGACTAAAAAACAAAAAAAAAAAAAAAAAAAAAAAAACAAATTAAGTGGAACACAAGTAATAATATTCCTTACAAGATTGCCAGCACAAAGAGTTGTTAATTTCATAAGTTCCTAAATTTAAAAATGTGATAAAACCATTCTTGGCATAGGAAAAACAAATCCAACACTAATCCGTAAAGTCATAGGTTAAAACCAATTACACATAGTTCGTTTAGTGTGACTTGTCTAATCGGACTTAGTTTTCAGACTATTAAAGTCGGCCGAAAACTTACCTATAGCGCACTCGTCAATAGCAACAATGATTCCCACGATATAATAAAAAAAATAAAAATCCAAACCTAGAGAATCATTTTTAACAGATTTTGACATAACAGCAACAAATATTACATACAACTCAAAAGATCATAAGCATACAACACCAGGCAAAAAGCAGCAATCAAAGAAAGCAGTATAACGAATGAAAAAGTGGCAATTAGTTAGTTTACCTTAATGCTCCGGTCTTTACACAACATATGCCATTCTTGTAGCACCGCGACTTGCAGGGCGCGATGCTCGACTTCCTCGGGACTTAATTCAAACAGCGTCGAAGGCCCCTTGCTTTTACCACCTTCGCCGTCTTCCTCATCATCCTTCTTCTCCTTATCCTCCTCGTCGTCGTCATCGTCTTCTTTATCTTCGGGTTTGGGGGACTTTGGACGAGGCCGAGCAGCCTTTAGCAACGCCAGACGTTCCATTGAGATTCTCAGCCGCTCAGCCGCGGCTGTTTTCACTTCCTCTTCCGGCATGTATTCGATGGTTCCGTCAGTGAGGTCGTCCATCCACCCCTGAAGATCTGCGCCGATCTCCTTTGTGATGGATGCGTCTGAAGCTCGAACGACAAATTTGCAAATCATCGTGGTTGTCTCGTCGCCAAGGTCCACATTTCTGCTCACTTCGCTTGCGCCGAATATCATCATGCCGACAAACCCACCATACCAGGTTTTAGCGGCGTAACACAGCTGTAATGTTTCAGGGGCGCAAAAGTTTCGTGTTAGAAGAAACGTGTATGTAATTATACCATTTTAGGGTTTAGGGTTCTATCACATTTCAAAATATTCATTTCCTATTTTAGAAAAAGTAATCATATACTAATATCAAAATACCATTAACTTTTATTTAAATTATGAACATACCAATACACATACAATTATTTTATACAAAAAGTCAAAAATAAAAATGTCAAAATCTCTAACATACTTCCACTAACTAATAAAATTATATTATTTCTTAATCTACTGCAAAACCCAAAAAAATCCATTTAAAAAAGGGACTGAGAAAGTATTATTTTATCCAACCTAATTATGTATTTACTATGCATTACTATAGCCCGGAATTAAGTAACATCCGATATAATAATACTATATCAAATATTATTAATCCTTTTCTTATAGGCCATATTAAATAATACTAAGGTATAATTAATGTAAAAAAACTATTTTATCAATCAGTAATACTTAACTTACTACTATAGTAAACATTAAATTATTTTATCATATAATTATATAATTCATGTATTATAATCCTATCCTACAAAATAAACGCACCCAAAGTGTACATTCAGTTCTCTAACTAAATCAGGTATCTTGTGTAAAATACTAGCAGTAGTAATTAGAAGCTGACCTGAAATCCAGCGACAGTCCGGATAACATGCGAGCAAACTTTATGGAAAGGCTTAGACGACAGAGATTTTAAGCCACTGAGGAAAGGAGACTCGCCGTACTGCTGTGCTGCTGTGGCCTTAAAGCCGCTTCCTTCGTATGTATACATGCCAGTACACTCCACTATAGCTGGTAAACTAGGCCACATGCGGAAATACTCGACAGGAGAGATTTTGTGAGGTAAAAGAAGTTCGGTAAGGGGAATTTTGTATGGCTGACATCTTAAAATCACAGGATCTTCTGTTTCGTGCCTCAAACTTTTCTTCTGTTTGTAAGCCTGTGGATCTTCTTCGGAATAGTCGCCTACACCTGGAGGGAAGTAGAGAACATGGACCCAAAGGGCGCATCGCTCAAAATGTGAAACACCGACAGTCACACTGCACCATACGGGTTCCTGAAGAAGTGACGGTAAACGTTACAAAAACTTTTGGTAAAATGGAATAGATATGGAACAGCGACGAAAATTGACGGTGGAGTTTAAGACAGTAGAATTTTAATGCATGAACAAGAACAGCACTCGAGATTGCTGCACTATGTGGAGCCTAAAAAGGATAACAATGAATAAGACTTTATGGAGTGTCGAAGTTCTAATGTATTATCTAAACAATAATTTGAAAATACTCCCTCTGTCCGCCAAAATTATTCCGACTTTCCTTTTTAATCTGTACGTTAAATTTATCACATTACTAATTTTGGCAAAATCAACAAATCAACATTTAGGTTGTGTTCTTTTGTAGGTTTTACCGCAAATTTGTACTATTCAGATTCTTTTTTCCCTCGAAAAATATCACATTAAACAATTACATTTTTTTTTTATATTATACTGCAAATTTATTTTACATTCAAAACATCACATCAACTTCTATTTATAACATATCAAACAATTATTCAAATTCAATTTTTTATTATTCAAAAATCCAAACCCACAGACAAACACACCCTCAGTTATTATCCTCCATTCAATACTTATTTACAACAAATACCACTAACTTTATTACATTCCCTCTCTTCATTTACTTTTATTTCTAACTAAATTTTCAAAAATACTTCCAACTACCTATCATTTTTCAATAAAATATTTATACACTATAAAGGGAACTACGAGCATTGATGAAGAAGTTAGTATGCAGAGTTTTAACCTGTGAATTGAGATCACGGAGCTGTCGCACAGCTTGAGGAGACCCGTTCATGAAGTACAAACCACCAGTCAGCCCAATTCGTATGTCTGCCCGGCTCAACTCAATCTCTGTGAGGTTCAGAACCTGAAATCATCATACTAAGCAGGTAAGTCCAGTAAACAGTTTATTTTGAACACCGGAAACATTAGGGCTTTGTTCATTTGCCAAACAGATTCAATGAATATGTCCAATGTCTGATTTAGAATTAACTCGAAAAATTAGGCATGAATAGGCAGCCTAACCTTCAAATGCAGTGTAATCTTGCCATCATTTGCATCTGTTAAATGATATCCTTCGACATAGCAAGGATCACTACTACCACTCAAAGCAACTGTACTTGGAGGGTCCTGAATTCTACTTGAGTTAACCCCTTCCGTAAGCAGCTGAGTTAATTCGCCGGGATCGGGTCTCCAAAGCTCTAAAATTGCCTTATGAACCAAACCTTCTAATTTCCGGTCTTGAGCAGCAGACGAATCATAGAACTGCACAGTTAGCTTGTGGTGGGTAAATGGATAATCTCCTCTTGCATCACTAACCCCAGTCCATCTGTGAGAAACCAAAAACCAAAAGAAGTGGGTTAAAAGAAGAAAACGAATCAGAATTTATTCTGTTGAAGATCCAAGTACACAAAAACATTGTTATAGATATTACAAACTCCAGGATTCAAAGGTACTAATAACTGTCTTATAGATATACTCACTTGTCATCTGCATGATTAGTAACGTATTTGATTCGTTGTAATATATACCGACATTGATGCCGATTGACTGAATCAGCAGAAGGATTGATTCTAAACTCCTCAAGCTCCTTAGTAAGCAAAAGTCCGGCCCTGGGATTGCGTGATCCCAAACGCTGGGCGCACAAGAGAACAGCTTGAACATCCTGAATCCGATTTGTTGCAGTTGCAGATGAGTCTATGTTAAACAGAACCTTGTGGATATTTGAAACAATGATATTCAACGGGTCCTCAGGATCATCAGAAAGAAGAGGGTCCAACCCCTCCAAATCAATATGCTCCGAAATAGACCATAGGAGCCGTGGAGTGATTCTTGGGGTGTTAACCTGCAAACATAGCCCACAGAAGCTATTATCGAATCACTTTGTGCAACCAAAATTGCCAGAACGCGACATCCAAGAAGTTTTTAAAACATGTACTGCAAATGAATAAAATGCGGACTCAATTTGAAATCAGAATCTCAACTCAAAAAATCTGTGTCAGAGAATGTAATTTTGCAAACCTCACGAAGATCTTTAACAAGTTCTCGCTGCAAATTTTGTAGCCTTGTTTCATTCAGTATCTGATCTTGGGATGCCCCATCTTTGATTCTTTTGACACCACCTCTGGTGTCGTAAATATGGCAAAGCCTAACCAGCAACTTTAGGTAGCAATCAATGGCATATGTTCGACCTTCACAATCCCACTTGACACATGGCCGACATACTTCCACCACTTCCAGTGCTGGCTCTGTCCAATTCAATGCACCATAACCAGTTCCATAAGCTAAAGCACCAATCACCCTGCTCTCCATGCCAGAACTCTTTTGTTCAGGCAAAGGCAACGACAGCTGGAAGCAACTCTCCACCAGCATGGCGACTAATTCTTCTCTGAACAGATTTTTACTAGTAACACTATTGAGATCATCCTTGATTCTCGGATCTTCAAAAAGTGAAGCAATATCTGTTCCAGCAAGAGGCTTTTGACCTCGGCGTACACTCTCTTTTGCGAAAAGATCAACACAAAGTGCAGTCCGACAGATGCATGCCAAAGCATGCATTCTGTCTGATTCCGTCCTCAAGTTCCTGACCATAAGAAGAAGCCTTTTAAACAACGAAACCTGCACCATCGACCAATGGAAAATAAATAATCGGCTGTGTAATTTATTAGGATAACAGTCATATATGAAGATTTCATGCACTTTAAGGTTACCAGCCTTTCTAAGAAAGCTTAACAAAGTTATATCAAATGAAATATGAATCCATGATTTCATCCTAACAAACTCACCAGTTTGATCACAGAGCAACTAATGCTAGAAACAGCGATGGAATGACTACTAAAACGACGCTTTTTATAATTATCTTACCTACACAATCAAATGAGTAAATAAGATTCAAACAGTCATCCCGGCCGACATACCTGCATACTTAGGTCAAGGAGATGCAAATTAGTCACAACAGCCCTGACTATACTCTCTCGTGCAGAAAAATACTCCTGCCTTTCCCAAAGTGTAAGAATGGCAATGATGGACGTCGAAGCCCACTCAGGTTTACCCCCAGGGACATCGGCCAAGTATAGCATATTAATCCCCACTTCGAATATCAATGATGGATCCAAAGATGATGACAAAAATGGTGCCAAATGTGAAATAACATCTGAAGCTCCAACAAACCTCTCTGCAGAATCTAAGATCATACCATCACTCTTACTCTTTGATGACATAGATAATTTCTTGATCTCCTCTATCGAGCCAGAAGCCACGGCTTTCACTGCATAAACTAATGGATAAACAGTTGCTCTGAAACTCTCTACTGGTAGGATTAGTGATCGAGACATCAGCGCATTTCTCCTTTTCCAAACAAAATCGACCATTGATGAAATCCAGTTCGATCTAATTGCAACAGCATTTTCAGTGTCGACTAGTTTATCTCCAGCGAGTCGACTCATCCTCTTGGATTCAAATTCTTGAAATAATTTGCCAACGGATTCAAAAGCAACCTTTGAAACAGAATCTGCTTTGTCCAGCATGTTTTGAGCAATGCGATTCCACCAATTAGAGACGCGCTCGAGCAAGTTAATATTGTTTTCACAGAGTGTCACTAGATCGTCGCGCGCGAGGAAGCAACCCAAAGTTTCCGTGATTGAAAACCGAAGATTATCGCTAGTTGAATCGAAGCAAGCGGAAATTTCTTTATTGCAATCATTGATAAGCTTCCCGAGGCGGTAAGAAGGGATGGCAGCTAGGATTGAGACGGCGGCAGCGGTAACATCGGGATCCGGAAAATCTAAATCATTCCGAATGCCAGTGCATACAGTTTCCCATAGATCCGGCGTGAGCCGCGTGGAGCGAATGAGGTCGAACGCGAGTTTCTTAGAGATGGCGGAGGCCGGGGCGGCGACAATCTCTTCCACTGCCGATTTTGCGATTACAGAGATATCGTGTCCGGCAGCAGATTGCTGCAGCGCTTGAAGTAAGGCCCCGGACTGGCGGAGTGCGTCGTTGGACCGGAGGTCTGCTTGGATCTGAGCGAAAAGTATGTCCATTGCAGGCGGCTAAGTTTCAAGTTGTGAGTTCAACTCAAGCGTCGGTGCGGCGGAGGCGCCACTGCATAACATCAAACAGAATTTCGGAGATTCAATCGGCGCCGAAGAAATATGTTAAAACATACTCGATTTCATTGATAAATAAGAAGCACCGGAATAGAGGTACAATCAGAGGGAAAAACTCACTGGATATTCCTGCGGCGGCGGCGGCGGCGGAGGAGGAGGAATTCTTCGGAAGAAAGGCGGCGTCGCAACTCAGAAGGAGAAGATAAAGAAAAAATGGAAGAGAAGAGAAAGAGGAGAAAGGAAGAAAAAAGAAAGGAAGAAAGAAATGTAGGGGTGCAGGGGTGCAGGGTTTGTGTATTCGAGGGTGTTTGGCAACAGCGCTTTGAAGAGAATTTTTAATTTATTCACCGGTCAAAAAAAATTAATTCGAAATTTGACAACTGTTGGTTATTGTTAGCTGATCGGGAGTTAATTATTTGTGTTAAAATATTCAATAAAATAATAAATTTGATTTAAAAGTGGTTATAAAATAGAAAGTAAAATATTAAAATTTAAAATATTTTAAAAAATATGTTAAAGTAATAATTAAGGATAAATTGAAAAATATAAATAATTTTTTTAAAATATTGGGATCATAATTACTAAATAAGGAGATAAATAATTGTTTTGTGACAGACGAAAATAAAAAAAATAAGAAAAGTACTCTCTCCGTCTTTCAAATATATTTTTATTTTTTTTTGTCATCCAAATTTATTCTTATTTCTTTTTGTAGTAAAAAAATATCACTTTTAGAAAAAATAAAAATAAAATGTTTTATTATTACATATTATTCTTAAAATCTATGCTCCGTCAAATAAGCATACAATTGGATGACCGAATGAGTATTACTTATTTATATATAAAATGATAAAGATATTTTTTTATATTTATTTTTATAATATTACTTACGTCTCGGAAGAAGTCTCGGAAGAAGAGTAATATTTACTTTTTGCACACAGTATATTTTTTAATATTAATATTATATTGATTTATAATAAAAAATACAAAAATACTTTTACTGGATTGTATGATACAAAAGTAATGACATTTGTATAATATATTTAAAATTATAAGAGTATTAATTATAATAGATAGATAGTAGAATTACTAAATAAGAAAATAATATCTTTATTTTAAAACGGATAAAAATAATATGAGACCGAACGAATATTTAATTGAATTCTTTATGCATACAAAATTTGTTTAGAATTTGATAATTAATTATTAAAAATTTTATTAAAATATTTATTTGTTGAATATATTAATTATTTGTACTACAATAAAATAACAAATTTGATAAATATAAAATACATAAATGATAAAAAATATTTATTTGTTAATATTATTATTAAAAATTTTATATAAATTATATTTATATAAATGATAAATATATTTTCTATTTATTTTTAATAATATTTAATTGAATTTTTTATGTTACATAATTTTGTTAGAATTTTATAATTAATTATTAAAAATTATACAAATTTTATTAAAATACTTTATATGTTCACCTATAAATTTATTATCTAACTTTTATACTTATTCAAGATAAATTAATATTTTATAGATATATAATATAATAAAGTAGTATAATATCTATTTTATTTTTGATATTAAGATATAAGTAATGTAAAAATGTAAAAAATAAGGATATTTTGATATTTATTTGAAAATTATTTAGACAGACTAAAATCATAAAATAAAAAATTACTAATGAATAAAAAAAAATATTTTTTTATTATTTTTAAATGAACCATAAAAAAATATGGAGAAATTTATTTTTGTTGAAAAACATAAACATTCATTTTTCATTACAAATAATAATATAAAAGAACAACTAATTATGGTGTTTGTTTTCTGAAATAATTTGATTGCTTATTTTTTTTACGTAAGATATAAAAAATTATGTAAAAAATATAAAAATAATGAATGTATGTAATATATTAATATTTTTTTGAAAATATGTGAAGAAGAAAAATTGAAAAAAATACCTTAGTGTATGTATTTTATCAAATCTATAATTTTAAATAAATATATTCATCTCCAATAAAAAATTATGTGATAAAAATGTAAAAATAAATTAATAGTATTAATATATTTTGAGTTTGTTCATTTTATATTTTTATATTTAAGCATTTTTATATTAAATATAGAGAATTATGATTCTAATATAAAAATATAAAAATAAAACAATAAAATTATTATATTTTTTCTACCATACATAAAAAAATACTATTTTTTATAATCTTTTATCCTCTCTTTCGTTAAAATTCCTCCCCTCCCTTGCCTTCATTTGAAGTAAACCCTTATTTTAAAAATTGGATCCCAATACAGTAAAAAATAAATAAATTATTTTAATATTAATATATAATAATAATTATTATATTATAATTAATTTTATTAATATATTTTTTATTATTTAAAAATCATATATTTCCTAAATTCTTATATTTGCGGTAATGTGATCCATGGGTACACTTAAGGGTGTGTTTGTTTGGGGGTTTGGATTTTGAGTTGGGATTTGAATAGTAAAAATTTTGAATTTGAATAGTTGTATGATGTGATATAAATAGGGTTTGATGTGATGTTTTGAATGTAAAATTGATTTTTAGTATAATATAAAAAATAAAAAATAAGTATTTGATTTGATATTTTTGGGGAAAAAAAATTGGATGAACAGTGGAAATCCACCGAAATCCTTCAAATAAACACACCCTAAATTGTTGTCAAAGTCATTAGTCCAAAATCAACCTCAATCGACATCCAATCAGATGCTGCCACGTAGTCAACTGAATACATCTCTGTGGACAAGACCATGATACACCACGTCGTTCCATCGCCACTGCTGATGAGCGAAGAAAAATTAGAAGAAATTTTGTTCACTCAATTCCAAGATTCGCTGAGTTTCTGTGATCCCATAATTGGATCGTATCGGATTTCTATTCGTATTTGATTCATCCCTGTTTCAGATCGATTCTTAATTATCTTGAAAAGATTCTCTCGAAAATTTCAATACATACTGTATGATTAGGGTTTTAATTTGATCCGGGGAAAAAAGGGCTTCCCTCTTTAGTTTCGTTCTCCAATTCAAAGCGCTCGGCTTTGTGGGATTGATGAGGGTTTAGATTTGTGCTGCGTATATATACGAAGATGTTATCGAATCATTTTCAGAATGGCGTGGAGACGGCGAGGCTGATGTGGTCGCGGTTGCCGGACTCGGAGGCGGACACCGACGGAGCTTCCGTCGATGATGTCGACCAATATAGAATGCTCGACGGAGGCACCGTTGAAAGCCTTGACTACGAAGTCATTGAAAATAGCGCCTACCGAGAAGAGCAGGCGCGCTCGCAATTAAATTTTTTAAATGAACTTTCAATTGATTTGTCGATTAATTATGCAATGCTGAACTTAGATGCAGGATTAATTTGCTGATTAGCTTTCAGTGCTTGTTAATTAAACATTTCAGGGGTTGTTGTCGTAATTGATTGGGAAGATGAAGTTCAACTAGAGCTTAACATATTATATATATATGTATGTATGTATAGGAGCAATTTGGGAATATCTTGATGGAATACTTATTATTGAATCTGTTTACATTTTGGAGTCTTCAGTTTTTTCGCTTCAGGTTGTTGATTAGGGCTACTCTTTTGAGTAATTTACTGAAATTTCCTTAGCTAGTTGTTGGTTTGATTGATTTGTACTGTTTTGAGACGCCAATATCTAATCTATTAGTAACTCTGATTTTTCAAATATTCAGAAGCCTGTTTCTTTACCTGCTTGACAAATTGTAGTTAAAGCCGTGATGGGACAGTCGAGTTTAATTATTTATTTGTTGCAGGCTAAAAGGGGGAAGCTTTACATGGCGTACAGTGTAGTGGTGAAATGGATCTTGGCATTGCTTATTGGGGTTGGTGAGTTTTGATTTATGTTGTTTGTTCTTTTATTGTGAACTCTATTTTGTATTTAGGTTTTTCTTCTTTTTTTTTTTTTTTTTTTTTGATCGGAAGGTTTTTCTTTTTCTTTGTTTGCTTGACAAATTGTCTTAGTTGATTTTTGCCTATATAATTGCATGTGAGAGTATTTGTTTGTGTATGCGCGATGATATTATACCACTATATACTACAGAATTGCATTGATTGCACAATTAGAAATTGTTGGGTCACAACATATGCTTTCCTTGCAGTGCCATAGCGTGTTGTGAATTTTCTGTAAGCCGCTGATTATTATAAACTACCATTATTAATATTCCAATGCTCAATATATATATATATAATTACAATTCTTTAAATGAGGGATCCTCAGTTTATCTATTTTCAAAACTATAAAATATATTTTCTTATCTTGGTTGAACCAAACAATTCAAAGATAAAGTAGGAAAAATCATCATAAAATAGGTCGTAATTTTGTCAACTGCATGATGCCACTGTTAACGTACATATTCATGAATAATATCCTTAAGTTTATAATCTATATAAGGGATAATTCATAAATGTGATTTAAGTTATGCCGACCAAAGATTTTTAAAATGAAAATCTAAGCTAGGGAAATTTAAAAAATGATGGTAACTACTGAAAGAATTTAATGTCTGAAAATGCTTTGTGGATGTATGGGTGGGGGTTAATTGTAATAAGTATGCCTACTTGGTATTTATCTCATATTAACTGAAAATCAGTTGGGGATCAAATTGAAAACTATCTAATGAGAAGGAGTGTATAGAGTAGCTTGGGCTTGTCCATTTGGGTATTAAGATCTGTTTTAATAAATTTTTGGTGTCCTTTTTTCAATGTGGTAAAAGCCGTTTAGTTTGAGATGCTTTTCATCTAGAATCTAGTTCCTTTACACCAAGTTTAATGTGAATTATTGCTTATCTAATAGTGTTCTACGGCTTAAGCTTTAAATAGTAAGCATTTTCTAGTATAGCATCATATGGATAAACTGATCGTTGTTGAAAAATTCTTTCACTAAGCTCATGGTCTTAAAAAACCTGATGCGAACAAGCTTCATATATGTGGTACATGCGTGTTCTAAGTTTCTGTTACTTGAATATGGCATGATGCAAACATCCACAATTGACATCACCATACCCCAGTCCACTTAATTCAAGAAAGAATCTGGTCATTAACTACTTAAATATTTACATTCAGGTACTGCACTAGCTGCTGTATTCATCAATCTTTCCGTAGAGAATTTTGCGGGATGGAAGTACTCTTTGACATTCAATATAATTCAGAAGTCATATTTTGCTGGATTCTTAGTGTATACTTTGATCAACTTGGCTCTAGTGTTATCTTCTGCATATATCATCACACAATTTGCACCAGCAGCGGCTGGATCGGGAATCCCTGAAATCAAGGGTTATCTAAATGGTAATGTTACTAGAATTTTCTGTGCTGAGGAAATATTAAATTGGATCCTTGAATTTGGAGTTAATTTTTTTGTCCTTCTAAATTGTGTAGGTATCGATACCCATGGCATTCTTCTGTTCAGGACTTTAGTAGGAAAGGTTTGCATGATTTCCTATTCATGTTTTTTTTTTTTTATATATATTTTTAAAGTTAGTTGAGGGTTATTCATGTATATGTGCTCTTTACAGATTTTTGGTAGCATAGGGTCTGTTGGAGGTGGCTTAGCACTTGGTAAAGAAGGTCCACTTGTGCATATTGGTGCTTGTATTGCTTCATTGCTGGGGCAAGTATGTGTGTTCTTTTATTTTCGTTGGAATAGTGTATATTGTGTAAGAGAAGAGAGAAGTTGCATTGTTAGATTTACTTATTTATGTGAATTTATATAATTTGATCAAGTGAATTGTGCAAGATAATGCTTACTAGTCACTACTACCATATTAATCATATTAATAATCATATAATGCGGTCAGAGGCTCTCTTTCTCTCATTCACTCCTTTATTGAGCTTTATATATATACCTGCAGGGTGGAACAACAAAATATCATCTGCGTTCGAGATGGTTGCAAATTTTTACAAGTGAGCGAGATCGCCGTGATCTTGTAAGTTAACATGTTCAATTATTCACGTCTAAATGCTTAGAACTTGGATTTCATTTGCACTTTCCATTTGCTTTTCTGTACATTGTTAGGAGTATAGAGGTTGCTGAGTTTGACTTAACTGACAGCATTATTTTTCTGCGGGCATTAAATATCAGCGTATGCTACCTATTAAATCTTGGCCAACTTGGTGGTATAACATTGCAGTTTATTATTATAATGTTATAGAAAGGTTTAAGCCCAAGTGCCCAACACCTATTTTTAGAATACATGATTGGTATATTATGTGTACTCAGCAACATGAACAGTCGAACCAACCATCTTTAAGGTTATTTTTATTTTCCGCTCCATAAATGTGGCTGTGTTCTATAGGTAGAGACCTGTACAGTTTCTGAGCACTTTTTCCTTATTACTTGTTCTGTGTAAAATAACATGCATAGCTGTACTTGGTTCATGGAAAATTATTTGAAGCACGTGAACATTTGTTTTGTTGGAAGGGTTGATATGGCCCAACCCCTATTGTCTTATACTGGTTTCATATCATGAACAAGGTGACCTGTGGATGTGCAGCCGGGGTGGCTGCTGCTTTTAGAGCGCCAGTTGGTGGTGTATTGTTTGCACTAGAAGAAGTAACATCATGGTACTTACTCTCTTTTTGAATTTCCAAATTTTTATGTTTAGGTGCATCCCTTGCATTCTCTTTTCCTGGTAGTGGTAGTAATAACCCAGTAGTATTCCTTCTTTTTAATTTTTTAATTTTTGCTTTCATTTGAATGCAATAATTTCTGGCACAGTTAAACTTTACCAAAGGGACTTTGTTTCCAATTATGTATAATGGGAAATTTAACCACTGAATTATAAGGCTAGTGCAATCATCATGATAATTTTCTGCACTATGTGGATGTGTTTTTGGAAGTTATGATTGATTTTGTCATGAATATTCTAGTTTATGCTATAACAAAAACAATACACCAAAATTTCCGAAAGTATGAGGATACAAGAGATCAGCTGGAACATAGTACTTTGATGTGTTTTCATACCATAATCAGCTGAGTTCAATTTTGACCTGAATTCTGAATTTTAATTTTCTTTTCCACACGTCTTGTTTAAGGTGGAGGAGTCAACTTATGTGGCGTGTCTTTTTTACATCTGCTATTGTGGCTGTTGTTGTGCGTGCATCAATGGGATGGTGTAAGAGTGGAAAGTGTGGACATTTTGGCTCCGGAGGCTTTATCATATGGGACATCTCAGGGTGATGATCTATTTCATGTTTGATACCGGTCATACGTTTTGGTTGCTATTCTTTTCTTTGATTATAATCAAGATTCTTTTTAGTGGTCAGGAAGACTACTCATTTCAGGAACTGTTACCGATGGCTTTTATTGGTATTATTGGGGGACTTCTCGGTACGTGTGAACATGCTCTAAGCTGAACATAGTTTCTAATTAATGCTCAGTGATACAAGTTTGTAAACGTGCTTCTTTTGTGAATTGCTTTTCAGGAGCACTTTTTAATCAACTTACATATTACATAGCTTACTTCCGGCGGAATTATTTGCATAAGAAAGGAAGACGTGTGAGGGTACGCTTTAGATGTGCAATCATAGGTTGCACTACCTTTGTAAACTAATGTTTGATTGTTCTTTGTGTTGTAGGTCATTGAAGTTTGCATCGTTTCCCTTCTGACCTCCGTTATTTCATTTGGATTGCCACTTTTTAAGAAATGCACCCCCTGCCCTGAAACAGATCCTGACTCTAGTATTGAGTGTCCCCGTCGTCCTGGAATGTATGGGAATTATGTAAATGTAAGATATGAAAGGCTATTTCTACAATCTGTTTGGCCATATTTTGTTTTACTTGCCACTTTCGTGTGTTGCAGTTTCAACTTAACTTGTAGTGATATTTATGGATCTGGTAATGGAACCCACACTATACACGGCAGGGTGTGGGCTTTAGGGCATTGACTGATTAACTTGAAAGTTTCCAGCTTTATGTGTTGGTGTGTATATCTTCTATTAAGCTTATATCCTCTTGTATTATTGCATTAGTTTAAGAATTCTGACTGATGATACTTAGTAGTCACATTTTTTTTTTTTTTCTTAACAAATAATTTTGAAGTTGATTCGTATTTTTCCCCTTCACTATCCAAGATTCATATATGTAATGTATCATCTGTGTACAGTATGTTAATAATTCCAATAATAACATTTTCTGAGATACACATATCAGAGCTCTCAAATCTTTACTAAAACCTGATGTCTGAATGCTGATATTTTCGCCAGAAGTTACGCAGTTGCCTAATATATTGAGCAATATAAATGGGTGGGGATGGTTGGGTTAGTTGCATTTTTCTTTTTCCTCTGTATTCACTTTAATTGGCCTTGGCAATATAACTTGTTATTTTATGTTTTTGCAGTTCTATTGTGGCGAGAAAGAATACAATGACCTGGCAACTATTTTTTTCAACACACAGGTCACCTTAAACTCAAACTAGTTTTTGTTGTTCAATCAATTAGCATGGTTGCATTATGTATCTTCTAATGCATTTTAAACATGTTTGCAGGACGATGCCATCAGAAATTTGTTCAGTGCAAAAACAATTCACGAATTTAGTTCGCGGAGCCTGCTGACATTTCTGGTATTGCATTTTTCTTCAGATCATTGTTTCACTATGTACATGAAAAACTTGCTTCTCTTATATATAAAAAATTATCCATTCATTTGATACACTTTTACGTGAACACATAAGGCTTGATCTTCACTGAATATTCTATGCATATTATTATGATCACTGCACCATGACTTTGCTCCTGCTTCATTATTTACCATAAATAAATATATATATTTTTTTTTTTCTTAATTGAAGAAATTTGAAGTTACAGCACTCTCTCATGTAGATAGACTCTTATCATTGGATGCACCTCGTATTGCGATTTTTTATTTGTTTTTCTTTTGTCAGGTTATGTTTTACTCATTAGCAGTAATCACTTTTGGCACTGCCGTTCCAGCTGGTCAATTTGTTCCTGGTATAATGATTGGCTCGACTTATGGGCGACTTGTAGGCATGTTTGTTGTTAGCTACTATGAGAAGCTGAATATTGAAGAAGGAACGTGAGTTCCCTCTCTGTTCTTTTCTCCTCCGATAAAAGTTTGAAATTGCTATATTTTCTTTGGGGGGGGCAGGTTGGACAATGAGAGAGCCTTTCACTGACTCAAATATCAACTAGCGGCTACATTAATTGGCCTACGGATCATAAACTTTGATAGCTTTAAATTTTGAAGAATGACTTTAATCTATTCTTTGAATGGTTCATCATGTGTTTCACCGTTCTTGTTTGTTTTCATATGCTCATACTGAATCGTTTTCTTTAGAAAATGCTAGACTAATATTGTTGTTTGTGGGTACAATTCTTTACTGGAATTTCAAATGGTTATAATGGGTATGAAGCTGGGCATCCTTGGAATTTTTTCCTTGTTGGAAACTCTGACAACTTTTTGTTCTTTTAACTAGATATGCTCTTTTAGGAGCTGCATCTTTTCTTGGAGGTTCGATGCGGATGACTGTTTCTCTCTGTGTGATCATGGTTGAAATTTCAAATAATTTGAAGTTTCTTCCTCTCATCATGCTTGTTCTTCTCATATCAAAGGTATGAACCTCTTGGAACCTTTTCAAAAAGATTATGTTGTCTCCGATATTTCACTTGGCAATTTTACATCCAGAAGGGAATGAGAATTTTTAGGGTGCTTGTGCGGGTTTTCTTGAATTGGACTCGCTCATATTTATACCATGACATGTACATTAATAATATCTTGTATCTAAAATTTGTGAAAAATACACTCATATGTCCGTTGAGCTTAAAGTTTAATATATATATTAGTTGTTTAATTTATTGCAGAACATACCGTTTCTGTATGGATTACAATAGAGGCTTAAATGGAGGCATCCTGTTTATACAAGCCTTTATTGTTTGATTATACCATGATAAACTTTCATGGTTTTGTGTCTGCAGGCTGTTGGCGATGCTTTCAATGAAGGTCTGTATGAAGAGCAGGCTCGACTAAGAGGCATTCCTTTATTGGAATCAAGACCAAAGTATCAAATGCGGAATATGACGGCAAAGGAGGCTTGTGGGAATCAACAGGTTGGTGGAAATGCAATATTTATGTACTTCTCTAATTATGAGAAGTTTCAATAAATTATGTGAACTTCCACATTTGATTGTGTCATGACATCAATCATTGGAGTTCAAAATTTTCAAAAGCTATATATATTTATATAAATTATGTTATTGTGTGTCCTGCTCTCAGGTAGCATCCATATGTACTGTACATTTAATTTCAATGAAGAAAGTAAATGCTGGCGTTTAACTTTTAATGTAGATTATCTACTAAAGGCACTGTGGATTTGATCATAATTCTTTTAAATGAGTTATACGAACAGTTTATGTAACTGAATCTTCTTCTGATATATTGTAGGTTATCTACTTCCCTCGTGTCGTGAAGGTGTCAGATGCACTTTCTATTCTAAGGGGTAACAATCACAATGGCTTTCCTGTAAGTTGGAAAGTGCTTTGCTTCAGTCCACATGCCGACTGGACCGCAGCTTAATATGTATTTTATTTTTCTTTTGGTGCTTTCCAGGTCATCGATCACACAAGAAGTGGAGAAACACTCGTCATTGGCCTCATATTGAGAAGGTCTCTTCTGCTTGTTTTAACTCAATTAGATCACTCACGGGCTCACCTCCTTACAAACACACAATTAACTGTACTTGCTCGTGCTCTGTAATTGACAACTTTTACATTTGGTGGTTTGATTCTTGCAGTCATTTGCTGGTGCTTCTGCAGTCAAAAGTTGATTTTCAGCTCAGTCCATTGCCCTTTAATTCAAGAGACGGTCCGCCGCCAATCAGGTAAAGGGATAGTACAGAAACTTTTGGCCATCCTGCCCAATAATCCGCAGTTGAGGCTTATATGTTGTCGATTGGCTACATTACAGGCACAATCTAAATGAATTCGTCAAACCTGTTTCCACTAAGGGCATTACTTTAGATGACGTTCATCTAACCCCTGATGATATGAACATGTACATTGACCTTGCTCCATTTTTAAACCCCTCACCTTATGTTGTTCCGGAGGATATGTCATTAACAAAGGTGAAAATATATATATATATATATTTGGGTTAGTGTTTTCTTATATTCAATTTGTCATGCTACATGTGGTGACATCTCATTCTATATTGACGACCCAGGTATATAATCTGTTCCGCCAATTAGGATTAAGGCATATACTTGTTGTTCCCCGTGCTTCTCGTGTTATTGGAATGGTTACAAGGAAGGATCTTTTGATTGAGGTACTTTTCAATTGCAAAACTCTCTTATCAGTTGTCGTCGATTGATGCTGGTGATAGAAAATTCTTGCTCTCAAACTTTTCAGGATAGTGAAGACAATTCGGCTGTCGAACTTCAATCCACTAGAGTAAGGTCTCTATCCTGCTTGACCTGTATCGTACTATGGCATTCAATGTCTGTATTCTGGTAGTTTGTTAGTTAACAATATTTTTGCTACCAATATTTACGTAGGAGATAAACAAGGTCGTATAATCAAATATAAATTATGTATCACTTAACTGACACAACACAGTCGAAAATAAATAGAACCCAAATAGTTTACTTATTCGTTGTTGTCGTATTGCATACCTTAACTTGGGTTCTTGTTAGCAAACCCACTGAATTATTCGTGTGCTACTTGTAAATTTGGGGTGATCACTCGACTAGTTCCATTTTTCTGATCCAGTTAATTTCAATACGTGTGTGTATATATATATATATGTGTGAATGTATGCCTGTGTATGTGTCTGTATCCATTTCTTGCTTATGAACTATTTTGATGACTATCTTTTCGATTTTAGGTCTTCCTACATGGCGTAATTCCATTACCTTTTGATAAATGATGAAATCAAATGCTACTTTGGTACTAAAATTTCCCCTTTGGATCCACAGAGAACAGCAGCACCACAACAGACTGTCTAGGAGGAGAGCAGGTCCTGAACAACCTCTACTCGATGGTCTCATCGTATAACAATGCTCGTCTTGTCTAACACCTGCCATTCGAGAACAAGGTTACTTCTGCTTCCTCTATTTTTAAAGAGCTTTGTCAATTCTTGTTACATCCCAAGTTTGTCTTTAGCGACAGAAATATGTGTGTATAGTTTGTGCAAAATATTTCTCCCCTTCAAAACCTAGAACCATAGTGAGCATATATTACCGGGTTTTGTAGGACGACACATTAATTTTTAGAAGGGGAGTTGCAAGTGTAAAATGATGTAATCTTGCTCGAAAACTAATTGCAAAAATTAGTCGAGGTCATTGTATACCGAAATGTGATAGAGCTTACACGCACTGTTCTCTAGCCAAGAACTGTGTTCAAACTATTCGTATATGGTGGAAGTACATATTTCTCCCCGATGGTTGAGTCATCTTATGATGCTTTAGGAGCTTCTACTGACATTTTTTTGCCCTGTGTGTTTTACATTTTTTGCCGATGAATTTGAACATAAGGTCTTATGCACGGAAAACTGGATGGATCCATTTTTTATCAATGTCATGTTGAAATCGAACTTAGGATGTGCGCTTGGAGTTAAGAGTAGATATATTTGTGATCGAAGTGTGATTTTGACTCGACATATTGTTCAATAGGCCTTATTTTCGATCTAGTTGGGGTAAGTTTAGATCTAAATATAAGGTTCAAATTTAGGCGCGAACTAGTTTGGATTATATTTGTCGCAAAATCTAGGCTTTGTTTAGATAGAGGTTTTTGGAATTTTAGAAGTTTGAAAAAAAGTTAGTATTTGATTTGATGTTTTGTGAGAGAAAAAGTATATCTGATGTGATGTTTTTTGAAAAATGAATAATGTCAAATGAGTGAAAGTGTGTTGTGTAAACAAAGCCCTAGCAATAAGTTATGAATAGTTCATTATTTGCTTCGCTTTGTTGGTATATATGACAAGTGATTCGAAGTTATACATTTAGCTAATGCTTAGTTTTGAGTTACTAGGTACTTTTTTTTCGTCCATCAAAATTATGCAGCTCTGTATGAATACAGAGACTATAATAATCTTATTTTAATATAAAAGTGAGTAGTATCCCGTCTATTGTGGTCATATTGTCGTTTTCGTATATTTCACATCTCATATTTCAGGTTATTTTTTTTCGAAACTGATTATACACTTTAATATTTTTTAATTTTAATTAGATTAATTAGTTATTTTAATTTTAATATATAATTATTTATATTATAAAATAATTATTTTTATTAATATATTTTTAATTATTTAGTAATTATTATTATCTTAAATTTCTGTATGTACAGTAATTCGGACTCGATAGATGGAATAAGGATAATAAAATTAAAAGCAGAGGTGCTATGAGGATGTGAAAACAAGTTTGGTTTGTTAAGGCTTGACCTCGACTCATTATTGTTATGAGTTGTTCGAGTTTAGAAAGATAATAGGAAAAATATTGAAATTTCTATTATATTTTTAATATATAGCATATAACGTTTGAGTTTGAAATAATCATTAGATTATTTTTTAATATAAAATAAATATTTGATATGATGTGTATTTAATATTTTTGAATGATATATTTAGTATAATATAATAATAATTATGTTCTTAGCTTTTTGGATAAAGAAGCTTGTCTAACGAAAACTTTATTAGTGATTTGACTTAAAATTGCTCGATTCAATTGACTACCATAATAATGGAATTAGGGTGAAATGATTAGAGTTGTGTTCGTCCAATCAATTATTTTACATGTATGATTTTTAACCCTGTCTCTTATAATTTGTCTCTATTTTTTATTTTTGTTCGTTCCACATAACTTGCCCTTTCTATTTTTGGAAATATAATTATGCACTTTAATCGCATTTTAAATTTTTATAATTTTTTTAATTTTAATTAAACTATTTATTTATCTTAATCTTAATCTATAATTATTTTTACTAAATAATAATTATTTTTACTAATATACTTCTTAATTACTTAGTAATTATATTTTACCTAAATTTTCGTGGCTACGGTAATACACCCATCTTACATGGGACGGAGGGAGTATATTATACTCCCTTCGTCTTATTGAAAGGATGGCATTTGTTTTTTGTACGTACATTTTTTAATATTAGTATTATATTGGATTATAGTAAAAAAAACAAATACCTTTATTAGTACAGTGTAATATAAAAGTAATGACATTTTTGTAATATATTGTAAGTTGAAAGGGTATTTATTATGTTAGGTAGGTAGTACAATTACTAAATTAAGAAATGATAACACGAACGAAAATAGAAAATGGTAATTTTTCAATGGGACGGAGGAGGTATTATTTTTCACAAAAAATATTAATATTAAATAAAAATATTATTTTTTTATATTACTAATATAATTTTTTTATTTTAAATTAAAAAAAAAACACCTAAATTAATCAAGATTGATTAAAACAAAACAATTAAATATTTATCTTTCATCAAATATATTATAAAAAAAATTACCTTTTTTTTTTTTTTTTTTTTTTTTTTTTTTCTCAAAAGAGCGTAACATACATATTTATATCATATTAAAATATCATTTCAATCCAAAATTTTTTCATTTTCAAATATCAAAACCCAAACTTCAAATGGAACACACTTGTCAAGTAAGATACCTCAATCAAAACTCAAATTCAAGAAAACTATAATACAAATATTATATATCAAAGGACAAAATTATTCCGAACATAGATCAAATTTTACGAATATATATATATACCAAATAAGTCGAAAAAATGATACTTCTAGAAGCTTCCAAAGAGCACTACTAGAAGAAGAATTATCCGGTCGAGCTTCCCAAAAAGGGCGGCCGCATTGCTAGGAGGCGGCGCCATTGCCGGCGCCGGCGTTGCAACTTTAGGGTCAGAAGACGGCCTCAGTGACTCCTTAGGACTAAGTGAAACGGACGGGGCACGAAGAACATTGATGTCAACTTTTTGGCCGGCTTGGCAATGTCCCGGTACGGCGCACACAAAAAAGTGGTGCCCGTGTGAGTCGATGGTGATGGAGTCGTTCCCGGTCGTGTGCGTCGACATAGGCGACGAGGCATTGCAAGCTCTGTAATCAGCGTGCGTGACTCGCATCACGTTGTGAAACTGAGGGTTGTACTCGAACACTAAAGAATATAAACAGTTTATTGTTAAGGATGGAATTGAAATTATACTCCATTAGTTTGAATTAAATTTTAATTTTAATATAGGATATTCCAAAATTTTTATAATTTTTTGGATTTGTTCGTTTATGGTGCGTTTGGCAATTAGCTGATAGCTTTTAGCTGTTAGCTGATTCAATTAGCTAGTTTTACTAGTTGATTCAATTAGCTGTTTGTATTAAAGTATTTGGTAAAACAACGGTAAATAGTTGTTTATACATAAAATGACTATTAAGGACCTTGATATATTAATAACTAATAATAGTAATTATTTTAAATTTATAAAAATAAAAATATAATTTAATAAATTAAATATATTAAAAATAATTAATAAATACTGCTATAAAAATATATATATATATGTAAAAAATAAATAATTAAGTTTTAAGGGTAAATAAGGAATAACCAAAATTAAAATGAAAAAGCTCTTTCAAAACGTGGGTAGATGAGTTTTCAGAAATTAGCTTTTTGGGTCCAAAAGTTCTTTCAAAAAATTAATTTACCAAACACCTAAATTAGTTTTTTGACTGGTTAAACAGCTAAAAACGGTTCAATAAGCTAAAAGCTCTTCAAAACGTTGTTTCCCAAACACCCCCTTGGTATTCTTAGATGGAATAACCTCTCATAAATATTATGAAAATATATATATATACACATTATTTAATACTCCCTCAGTCTCGGAACTATAGTTTAGATTGTGTTTGACATGAGATTTAAGAAATATTGGTATTATATTGTAGCAGGTAAAAAGTAAGTATGGGTTAAAGACTTTTTTGCCCTTGTGAGTGTATTAGTGTAAAAATAGTGACAATTGTGTAATAATAAAGAAAAAATAATGTTAGTTTTATAATGATATGATTATTTATGAAAATAAAGACTATTGTTTTGGAACGGACAAAAATGGTAAATAAGACTATTGTATTGGAACGGAGGGAATATTATATAGTATATATATTTTATCTATTCACAAAATGTTGATAATTCGACATAAAATATATATATTTTTTTTATATTATCAATACAATTTTTCGTATCTAATATAAAAAATATATCCATCAGAAAATACAAAATGAATAAACCTTTTTTTTACATAGTTTTCTAAACAATAGTTATTTATTAGTTGTATAGAAAATCTTTTTTATTACTTTAAAAAGAAATGGACGCTCTAAAATTTAAAATTTGTTCAATTATTTTAGTTTAATCTTTAAATTTTTGAGGTAAAAACAAAAAAAGTAGTCGAACTTTGTATTTTGTTTTAAAAATAAGCGTCAAATATTATACTTTTTAAAGGAAAATAGTCAATTAAACAAACTCTCAATTTTCGAATGAAAACATTGCAACCATAGCATTATAGGAACCAAAACGAAATTGTTCATGAACTCAGCACGGTTACATTTGTTAAAATTCGGAAAAAAAAATTCAATAACAAATATAGCATAACGAACTCTAAAATAAATTTTCAATCCTTGATATTTATAAACATCCTTCTAATATATAACCCTTGCGATTTCTTATAAAAATATATTATTTCTTTTAACAAAACATCGTAATCAAATCACTATTCGAACAAAAAAACTAAAAGCCAAGTAAACACACCTCTAGCGTTCTTCAAAAGGGTAAAATTGATCTCTTTCAAGTTCAATATTTAGACAAAAAATTATTGATTAACAAAAAAATTGATACCAACTCAAACTAAAATATCAAAGTCAAAGAAATGAGCATTGAGCAACCTCTGCCTCTATTTCTTCGACGAACGAACATCAGCAGAGCTCAAACTATAAAAATTAACTTATAGAAACAACATTTTTTTTTTTTCCATTAGTGCTCAAACCATAAAAAATATGAATCTGTTTACACACATTTTCGAAATTATTTTCGCACTTCATAGAAAATTCAATCTCTAAAAAACATCATATTCAAATCATATCTTCATTTAAAATCTTATATATATATATATATAAGCCAATTATCTACTCAGAACGCCACGTCCAATGCCTATTTATGTCTCGTCAAACAACCTTTTACGAATGCTAAACCTACACTTCAAATAAATATCGAAACGCGACCTTAAACATATTAAAACAACACACACACATGTATCATATATTCATACACATACCAATAACATCACCAACTTGAAAGTTTTTCGAGACAGCCCATTTCTTGTAATCAACATTCCCAATGGTTGTCCATCCGGCTGAGTCCCCGACCTTATAGACGGCTCCATTCGACACCTGCAACTGTAATGAACTCAAAATCAAACCCAAAGCCATCACTAAAACACCCATGGCCATATTGCTTCTTTCTTCTTCTTCTTTCTCTTGCCAAAGCTCAAAGGAATAATTAATTGTCCATTGTCTGGCAAGCTTTGTAGCTTTGTAGAAGCTTTTATAGGGAAGTATTGGTGGGGTTCTGTTGGGAAGTTAGTTTGGGGGTTTTCAGACCAGACAACTTTGTATACACTTCACTGTTTTTTTTTTTTTGTTTTTTTTTTGTCTTTCAGGCATTTCGTCGAACACTTTGCCTACATATAATTGGCCTCCAAAAGTGCATGAATTTTTCATTCGAAATTTGGATTCTTTGTCTTGTCATCCTAAATTGAGAGAGGAAAGATTAGAAATAATGATTAGGGAGGTAGGAGGAGAAGAACGATCGTAGGCAGTTGGGCGTTAATTTGATTAGAAGGTTGTGATAAAAATATGGTTTGTTGAAAGCCTTGAAAGCAAAGAATAGGGAAATACTACTAGTATTTTTATTTCTACAAGAAAATTGCATAAATGCGTCATTGTTATGTGCTAATATCTGCTCGTTGGTTACTGTCATTTGAAATTAATTTTAAATAAAATTTTTATTTTTATTTTTATTTAAATAGTATTTTGATGTGACTTTATATAAAAATAAAATAAAATAAAATACTACGTCTCTGCAAATAGTACCATTTTTTTTTTATTATTGTAAATTTTTAATTTTAGAATTATACTTCCTCCATCGCATAATTATGTATCTCTTTGTTTTTTACACGAAATTTTAAAAATATTAGTATTATATTGGGATGTATTAGGAATAAAGTAGAAATGACTAAAATAACTTTATTAGTATTGTGTGATATAAAGATAATGACATTTGTGTAATATATTATAAATTGTAAGGCTATTTGTAATGTTAGGTAAATAGTACAGTTATGGAGACATTCTTTATTATGGGACGGAGGAAGTATTAGTTTGTAGTAAAAAGACAAAATACCCTTATGCGTATGGTGTAATATAAAAGTAATAATATTTACGTAATATATAGTAAATTGTAAGAATATTTATAATATATAGATAATACAACAATTAAGTACAGGTGCTGAATTAACTAAAACACGATTAGGTTTAGTTATATTAATAATATAATTAAAATACATAAATTAATATAAATTATTTTTAAAGCATTCAATACATGCTGACTTTTTTTTTCTATCAACATATAATTCATAGTCATAATATAATTACTAAATTAAAAAATTGATACTCTAAATTTTAATTTTAAGATAGACAAATATTTTTATGAAGCAGAAAAAATATTTTTATTAAAAAATATATCAACTAAATAGTTTTAAGTTTAATTTAAAATAATAGAAAAACAAAGTTTAACAATTTATATTTTTGCACAAATATTAATAAAAATAATACTCCCAATCGCTCCCCAACAAAGCTTAACAAGTACTTCTTTGTCCAAATACGATATAGTCTTATTTATTATTTTTGTCCGTTCCAAAACAATAATCTTATTTTCATAAATAATCATATTGCCATAAAATTATCCCTACATTTTTATTTTTATTACACAATTGTCACTACTTTTTATAGCTCACAAGGACAAAAAGGTCTTTTATACTTTTTATCAACTACCAATGTAATATTAATATTCCTTAAATTTCGTATCCAACCCAATTAAGATTATATTTTAATATAATATTTTGCATGTAAAATAAGTATTAACTATGATGAGTTTCTTTCTTTTGTTTTTTTACTATTCTTTTGTACACAATTGAATAAAAATATATTATATTCATCACGTAAAAATAAATGTATTTGTTGAACACAAATATTAATGTAATATGTTTTTTTCTTTTATAATTATTTCTAATTTAAAAAATTTAAATTTTTACAACTTTTATTTATTCATACACAAATTTTTTATCCATTTACTTTTTTAAATATAATTTATTAAAATCATTTTAATATTAAGACAAGATTATACCATTTAAATACCACATAAAAAACTAGTCTGATAAAATAAAATACGATGAAAATAGTATTTCCTCCATCCACTAAAATATATATTTATTTTTTGTGCGTAGCTTTAGAACTATTATATTTAAATAGTAGTTAGTGAGTTTTTTTAATTTTTTTTTTAAATTTTCTTATTTTATTTTGATATATAATATTGACACAAATAAATATAAAACTAAAAATATTTATAGTCGTTTAATAGAGTCCAAATTTGCTAAAAATTGAAATGCATATGATATGACAAAAATAGTACTTAATATATATTGGATTTATGAAGAAAGTGTTATTTATTTAACATAAAAAAATCACCTAATAATAAATATTAAAAATATAGTTCGTTCATCCGATAAAATATCTCCAATTAAATCAGGTACATAAATTTACAAAAATACATATATTTTTTTTATTGAAAATGAAAATTTAAATTATTTATAGAAATTCAATTAGTAATTAGAAAAATAAAAAGAATAAGTGAAAATTATGTGTAATACTAATGTGATAATTTTCACTTAATTTGTCTACTATTTTTATTTTCGTTCCTCCCACATAATTTGTTTTTACATTTCTTGAAAATATAATTATATATTTTAATCGCATTTTCAAATTTATAATTTATATATTTTTTTTTATTTTGAATAAACTATTTAGTCATCTTAATTTTAATCTATAATTATTTTTATTAATATTATTTTTAATTACTTACTAATTACTCATTACCTAAAACTTCGAATTTAAGCAAAAAAATGAACAATTTAAGTGAGACAGAAAAAGCAGTAAATAAATATTGAATAAATTTGGGAACTAATTTAGTATCATTAAACACGTAACATGTTACCTAAGTTGGATGATGTATCATATCATCATACGTTGCCCTCCTAATAATAATAATAATAATTAAAAAAGAAAAATCCGAACAAAAAAATAATAATAATAAAATTAATCAATAAAAATATAGTTCATTAACGGACTGGAACTTAAGTTGAGGACTTATTAGTCATTAAACTACAAGTTTTTTACTATTTAAAAAAATTTCAAAACGTTTATATAAATTAAATGAATTTTTTTATTTTACTTTATTATTTACTTTATTTAAATAACAATCTTAATATTCCCTCCGTCCCAAAAAAAGATGTCTTATTGGAGTAGACAAAAATTAAAGTATAATAATATTTAATTAAAAATTGGTATAAAATAAATAATAAAAAACTAAAATACCCTTATTTTTTGAATAATTTTAAAAAATAAATTAAAATAATAATTATGGATAGTTTAAAAAAATATGAATAATTTTATTATAAAATAGAGACCATGATTACTAAATAAAAAAATAAAATAATTATTATGAAAGAACGAAAATAAAAAAAAAATAAGACAATTCGATTGGACGGAGAGAATATAATATTTTTATAAGTAATATTTTTTCTGACAGCTTAATAATAAAATATTAAACTAAGGTAAACTAAACTATTAATAAATAATAAATAAATAAATTGCCCAAGGATACTTGATAGTTGCCCACGTGGGCATAAAAAGGGGGATGGACCTGGTCTGTATTCCATAACGGAATATTTATAATTATTAATAATAAATAATTCAATTCCTAATAATAGTAACGCCCATTTATTAAATTAAATTATCCTGCAAATAATTAATTAATATATATAATGTCGCTACCCAATAATAATGTAAAAATGGACAGTTAGTGCATCCCAAAAAAAAACAAATAAACATAACCTTATCCAAAAAATTTACTAATATTTTATTTTAATAATCCACAATGACCACCACCGCACAAAAATCAAAATGTCCACCATCTATGTATACACTTGTTTTGTATGTATGGGTTTCCTTCTAGAAGCTACCCCCAAAATTAAAATAATAAAAATAATAATTGGACCACAAACATTAAAATACTGCAAATTAGGATAGAGACAAATAAAAAGAACAGACAAGACAGACCTGACCTGAACCTTACTCAACCAACCATAATTAACATACTAGTAATAATTACTCTTATTGTATGGCTTTTTTTTTCTTTTTCTTTTTTACATTAAAAAAATACAGAATATTTTTTCGATAAAGAAAAAAAAAAAAAAAAAGTCCTTTCGTACCATAAAAAAATGAAACAAACAAAGTTATTATTTTTTAAATAATTATATTATTTATATAATATAATAAATCCTCTTCCAATTTATCTTATATTACATAAATATTATTACTTTTATATTACACGATACACCCAAATAAAAACATACCCCCTCTGACCACTTATAAGTATAAATTTTGTATTTTTTATTATCTAAATACAAAACGTACATTTTTTTTTTCGATATATACCCACTATACATTACAAATATTTTTATATATATAATTATCTAGTTCAATATTCTAGTAACATTACATTTTACACACTTATACTATTAGTGTTTTATTATTATTATTACTATTTTTAAGTATGAAGTGGATAAATTCTGGACAAAATTCATCTACTATATACTACCAAGATTTCCGCCACTTTCCTTTCTCCTCTTTCCTTCTTATTCATCACCTGTCACACTACACGCATCCATACACTATCTATATCTATATTATATACATACACACATATGTATGAGTGTGTCAAGAAAAAACAAAGGGCACCAAAGCAAATTGGATTTGGGGACCAAAAAACGATATTAAAACCAAAAAATTAAAAATAAAAGAATCAATGATGAACCAACCAAAAGGGGGGGAGGTGCATCATCATCTTCAATGTGCCAAACACATTTACAACACACACAAACACGTGTATGTGTATGTGTGTGTATAAATATATGTGTATATATATAAAAATCTAAATAAAATATCTCCGGAAGAGAACGTTTTGTGATGATTGTAGATTTCTTATGTGCTTTTTCCTTCTACCAAAATCAAAACCAAATCATAAAACACAGCAAAGAAGAGCGAGCTCTAATTGATCATAGACAAAGGAAGAAAAAGCCTCTCACCTTGTCTTTTTCTTTCTTCCCAATTTCTTCCTTTGTCTCCCTTAGTCTCCTCTACCTTCTTGTTCGTCTCGGCTCGGCTTCCCGCATTCAATCGCGCCGGCAGGGGCCGGCGAGATCGAAGCTAGCAATTACCAATTCCCTTCCATCGACCACATTGCCGGCACGATCAAAAACTTCGTTTGTTCCTCCGCCGCTAGTTGCTGCATAAATAAGATCGTCAGCAATGTTCGATATCAGAAAATGACAATAAGGGCTCAGAAAATACAGACCATTAACCGGCAGGCTGTTTCTGCTCGGCCGGTTTAGCCGGAACAGGGTGAGGGTAGGCGAAGCCGATCGCTCCGGTGGACTGCGCCGCCGCAGCAAATTGAGCAGCTTGAACAATGCCCTGTGGAGTCGGCGCATTACCGCCGCCGCTCTTCACGGTAACGGTGGCAGCCGCCAATGCTTTAGCCGGATCGTTCGTGATTCCGTTTCCTGTCGATAAAACCCCGGCGGTCGAAGTTGGTGGCTGCTGGGGAGACTGGTGGCGGTGGTCGGGAACTGGCCCCGACCCAGTCGCCGTCCCCGGCAATTTTCGCTGCGGCTGCATGTAGAAACTGCTCGGGGAAGAAGCGGGAGGAGCCGTACTCAACGGCGGTTGGGAATATGGATTCGAGAAGAACAGCTGTGTCTGCTGCATTGTCGTCGGCTTTCCAGAGGACGGACCGGCGAGAGGGTTGCCGAGAATCGATGAAGACTTCTTCACCTGCTGATCTGATGTCGCCGCTCTTGGGCTCCCGCCAGCTCCCGGAGACGGCGTCGAGCTCTTAGCCTGTGCTACCGGTTTCTGATTTACGCCAAACGAGATTTGAGCTTGCATCGTCTGGGGAGGCCGGGACTGCGGCTGCTGATGATGAGAGAACGCTTTGAGATTCAAGTTCGACGAAGCTTGGGATGGCGCCGTCCTTGTCGAGCTTTTCCACTGGGGGGACTGCGCTGGGCTGCCGTTGCCGTTGAGGTTTTGAGGGAAACCGGAGAGAGCTTGCGGGAACTTGGCAGCCATGGCGGAGGCCCCGGAGGTTGCTTTCGACAACTGTTGCTGCTGCAGGGGCTGTTTTACTTGAAGAAGACCGGGAATCTGCCCGTTCGTCGGTCGTACGGAGCTCTCGACTACGTTGTGGGCTAGAACGGAAGACGACGTAGCGTTGCCCATTTCCGATCTACTGAATGCAATAGATTGCCCGACCGAAGATTTTCTTTCATCGTCGCCGCTGGCCTTATCCTTATCCTCTTCGGACATCCGCAAATTCTTTTTCGGGGCGGCGGCCATTGACTGGATGTTCTGCTGCGTAGCTTCCTGCGGTAAGCTCTGAAAGACGGCATGATTCTGTGCAATCGACGCCATGTCGATTCCCGGACCAGAATTAGAACCATTAGCCGGACCGAACGACAGCGCGAAGCCGTTGTGAGGCAGAGATAGCTGCGGCAGTTTCTCGCTTTGATTACCACTTCCACCGGCGGGGGCGGCAGCGGCGGCGCCGCCTGGTTGAGCCACGAAGGCGAAGTTCTGCGGGAAGATCGACACCGGGATGTTCTGGCCGTAAATATTCGCCGTCACAGGCCGGGAACCTTTGCCATCAGTCGCCGGAACTTCGTCACATCCGCCACCCGACTTCTGGCTCTGGAAGTTCGACAAGTTCACGCTTCCGGTCCCACCGTTTTGCGGCGGCTTGTGTTTCTGGGAACTGCTGGGGAGACTCCCATTGGGTTGTTGCTGTTGAGCCGATCGAGCGGAGGATACGTGATGTTGCCGGAGCTCCGACGTCTGAATCATCGGCGACGAATAAAATGGCCCGTTGAAGAATGGCATCGCCTGCCCCGGAGTTCCCCGGTAGTTAGGAGGCGGCGCGGTGATCGCCGGGATGGGGAAAGGGTATGCATTATTCGGTAAGACCACGTACTGCGTCGTCTCGCCGGTAGCCATGTTCGGGTAGTTGAAGCTTGAATTTGCGCCGGTGGTGGCGGGTGAAGGGTTTGACGCAGCTGTACCACTTGTTGTCGAAGCGGATTTGATGGCAGCCTGCTGTTGCTGGTTCAAAGGGAGTAAAAAAGTCGGCCCCTGTTCGACAGAAACGGAAAACTCAAGCCACGATTCACTCTATACGAAAATGAAAAAACCGTAACGGCGAAGTGTACCAGCAAATTAGTCGGCTGCATTACAATTTGCGGCTGCGGCTGCGGCTGCGGCTGCTTTTTCGGAGCAGAATCAAAGCTACTTCCTTTGTCCTTCTCGGAGCGACTGTTACTGCTTTGAGTATGAATCTTGTCTTGTGGATTGCTAAGACCCAATGAAGATGATGATGATCGACCGGCGACATGTCCAAGCAGATCGGAAGGTGCGACGACGCCATGATTGCCGGTTGCTGCTTGCCAGAAAGGATTCATTTTCATGACCTGCTGAATGCAGTGTATATTCGAAGCTATGTAGCAGTGCGTCGAGCATCTTTTCGGCCGGGGTTGCGAAAACATCGGCTGCACAAACTTACACTTCCATAGTCAGATCGAAGATCGAAGAAGTTCCGATACATATTTTTCGAAATCAAGAACTACCTGAATAGGCGCCGGCGCAACTGTGCTGCCATCCATAGACAAAACTCCGGGCAACGGCCCCACATATCTACGCAAAACAGCAAAAGAGATTAACAATAGATAAAAAGGGTCGGATTCGACCAAAGCATTTTCCGGATGAGATGGCGTGTTCGTACCCCAATGGGGAAAGGCTGCCGAGCCAATTAGCCACAGGAACAGGCAAAGGTAAAGAGCCTTTAGACTGGTGGCCTGCAAAACAACACAAAAGGAAGAATCTGGCTCACACAACTTTAAGATCCACAACAATAAAGCAACAAATCGAATCGAAAAATTATATTCCCCACTGCAAAAATCGATATCCATAGCCAAACTATACCGGATTTCTCGATCTGTGGCTCTCCTCTGCTCGATTTACGTGGTATTTCCTGCTGCTGAGGCTTTGTGTTGCCATCGGTAGCATTAACTCCAGCGCTCCCGTTTCTATCGACCTCTTCCAAATCAAACTGTAGGCCCTTGTTCTCAATTTCCTTCTTTGGCTCAGATTCTTCTTCACTTGTAGCTTTACTGTTACTTACTTCAACTGCCGCATTTACTACCGGGTCCTTCGAACTCTCCTCCTCGCCTTCTTTATGTTCAGACACCACACGTTTCATCTCCTAGACGGTTCCGGTGAATAAAATAAAAAAACCATTGCCAATATGTATTAAAGAAAATAAAGTCACACAAATTCAGCCAGCAAACATACAGTGTCGAGTTGCGGTGGAGACGTGTTTTGATCACTTGTACGAATCATGGACTCGCCCCTTTCTGGCGATGATCTTGCTTGAGGAGGCGGAGCCTGAAACAGGTTTGAAATAATTCAATTGATACAACACTGTATTTCGATACCAAAACTTTTGAAACTTCCGATATACTAATACTCATCACTCACCATCAGATCTATTTCCAATTTTTGTTCCCTCACAACTTCTGCCTCGGAAACGGTTGCGGTCCTGAATTCGAAAAGAAGAAAACATAACCCCAGTATTAGCACTTCCAACAACATCCTTACCAATTTCGATCCAACTAGATATTCTCGACACCATATCTTGTTTACTCACATTATCGCATCCTCAATCCCAACTGTCTGAGATTCTATTTCCTTTAGTTCTTCAGCACCCGGCTTCATTTCCGCGCCGACCTCCGGCTGTCCTTGTGAAATAACTGAATTGCCCCTTGTTTCAACCCCGTTTGCATCTGAGGATTTCTCCAAACTAGGAGATGAAATTTCGCTCTTCGGATTCTGATCCATCTCTTGTATGGCAGAAACTGGATTATTCCTAACATCATAGCTACAAGAAATCTCTGGGATTTTCCTGGGCCTCTTCCTCTTCGGCGCTGCAAAGTAAGATTAAACCGACAACGGATCATTCTCAGAACTTCAACCAAAGATATATCAGACCAAAACAAGCAAGCAAGAACATACCGACGGCTTCAAGGGGACTGGACTTTGGCAGCAGACTCGGATCATCTTTATTTTGTGATTGAGTCATCATACCGTACAAGACCTCAGCAATTTCGATCTCCAGCTCTTCAGGATTCCCGGTATTCTGCTTGGATGATGATGATGACGATGTCTTGGGAGGCTTCACCTTCGGCACACCATTGCACCCACCGGAAGACTTCTGCGGCATAAAAGCCAAGATCAACAAAGAAACGTCAAAGGCCTCGAGATCTGATGACCGTCAGCCGAGAAAATTGAAGGATCTCAAACACTAACAAGTTTCTTTTTAAAGAAAGCATTGGAAGAAGAGGGAGACATTGGAGCCGCCGGCGATGGAGACCGCCCTGACGTCGAGCAACCATGGCCTTGTCTCGCCGGGGAACTCTCCGCTCGCCGGAGAACTTGCTCAGCAACGCCGGCGGTGTTACCGCCGTTTGAATTCCAATCGTACGCCCTCTTTGTAGATGCTGCAACCAAAAAAATCGTGAGAAAACTCAATATATACAATCAACGAAAGGAGATTAGTTATTTTTGTGTTCTTACCGGAACGAGCTCTTCTCGGAACAGGAACAGTGATGATTTCATCGCCGGATTTCCAAACGGAGCCTGCTTTGTAACCAGCCTTAGGAAAAGTAGAAGAAACAGGGGGGAAGGTTTTCCGATGTTGAAGATGGTGATTATTGCTAGAAATGGTGTTAGTACTGTTTTTATTGTGCTGTTGAGTCAGACTTCCGTTGTGGTTCTGGTAGTGGTGGTTGTCGGAATTGGAAGCCATAGTCGCCGGCAACGCCCTGACTCCGGCAACGGCGGCGGTTTCTTCGTCTTCATCATACTCCTCGTCGTTCATACTCTCTTCGGAAGTCTCGCCTCCGCCGCTGCTCATCAATCTCTCAGCTCTCCTCCTCTTATTCCTAGACCTGTCTCTGAGATCTCTTTCTCTCTCTCTCTCCCTCTCCCTGTCTCTCTCTCTATCTCTATCTCTATCTCTGTCTCTGTCTCTGTCTCTGTCTCTCTCGCGCTCCCGCTCCCGATCTCGATCTCGATCCTTCTTCACTCTGTCCCTCGGCCGTACTGATTCGTGCAGCTCCAGTCCTCCATCTTCATCTGCAACACAGAAACCAACCAACAAAACACCAGAAGCGTAACTGAAAAGAGGATCCAACCAACAAAACCAGATCTGCACACACACACACAAATCAAAATCTCGAACCTACCTGGAGAATCTCTGTAACTGTTCGTTCTGTGTCTCCGTCTGTTCAATCCATTCGATCCCAAAATACTCGTCCTCCTTCCTTCCCGATTCCTCTCCATCGCCGACGCCTCCAATCAGATGCAGATATTCAATTCCATATCTCATCTAATTCATCCGCTCCCCAAATCAACACCAAAATCAAAATAAAAAAATCACCACATACTCAGGCGAATCAAACAACAATTTCTTCAACGATCCTTCGCAAAATCCGTCCTCTGTTTCCTCAAATTGGAAAGCTTCTCCAGCAACCTCTTTCCCCTTCTCTCTCTTCTCTCTCTCTCTCTACAAGTGACCCTTTCGCCTCAATCTCATCTATCTGTTGGGGTATTTCACATCTACAGCAGCCCTCGTGGAAACCTCAGATGCGGTTGCTTTGTCACACGAACGAATCTCAGCCGTCCGTCCCAATCATCATCCAACGGCTCACATTTCCCAGCTGCCAACATGGCAGTATCCTGTATCATATTAAAGAAAAGCACTACTCTCAAAAAGAATGCTACAGACAACTGTCGGTTACCCCTAGCTAAAAACATCAAGCTATCTGAGTAGGTGACCGGCTCTAGACGGTTGCATCTGTAGCCTGCAGAAAAGCAGGCTTGTCGATCACTGGGAAATATGGGTGACAGAGTGAAATGTCTATTTTACCCTTACATTTATTTCCGAAATTCTTATTTCTTATTATTATAATTTCCTTATTCTCTACTATTTATTTATCACGTTCATTTTTTATTTTTATGTGCGGCTTATTTTGTTATTTTTTTTAAAAAATAATTATTATATATTTTAATTTTATTTTAAATTTTTAAATTTATAATTTATGTATTATTAATCAAATTAATAATCTATAATTATTTTTATTATACAATAATTATTTTTATTAATATATTATTAATTATTTATTGTTTAAATAATAATAGTAATAAATTATTTGGAGCGCAATAATTAAGGTTACTGATTTGTGGTGGGGACTCAGTTGTAATTACAAAATGTCCCTTTCTTACACGTGGGCCCTACTTTGACGGCTCAGATTTCGTCGGCGGATTGCCGGGAGAAATTTCCGCCGTACGATGGAAAGCCAACGTGGCAGGGTGCAATTAAATGAAATCCGAGCTGGCAAATGGAGTTTGGCGGTGGTCTTGGCCACGTGGAGTGAATCTAAGCCGTCGAAATTTCAACGGCGGATAAGTAGGGAGAGGAAATCAGCTACAGTCACGGTCACGGTCACGGAGCTGCCCAGAAGGAAGTGGGTCCCACGTAAAATGTTAGTTATAGTATTATTTAATTAATAATTATTTGCTCGTTTTGGTGGTGACGTGGAGTGGGGCCCACGGTCAAAAGCTAAACTGTATTTCTGTCTCTGCAAAATGTACGGATGTGTTTAAAAAATATGAAATTAAATACCTATTTTTATATTTTATATTATACTAAAAAATTAATTTTACATTTAAAATATCATGTCAACACCTATTTATATCACATCATACAACTATTCAAATTCAAAATTTTTATTATTCAAATCTCAAATCAAAATCTAAAACTCAAACAAACACATCCTATATGTATTTGTTGTTAATGAATTGCTAAAGTATAATTAAAAAATACCACTATTAGTATAGATACAAAAATTTATTTAAAATATAATGAGTAGATAATTAGAAAATTTATTAATAAAAATAATTATAAATTAAAATTAAAATAAATAAATTGTTTAATTATAATTAAAAAAATATAAATTTTAAATTTTAAAATACGATTAAAATGGATAATTATATTTTAAAAAATAATAAATTATATGAAATTAACGAAAATAGAAAATATAGACAAATCATGTAAAATAAAAAAAGTGATAAGTATTATATATATTTTAATACTCTATGTCTACTATGCAAAAGATTATTTGAAGATTTATAATAGATTTAAAAATAATATTTTATGCGATCACATTTTTTATTAATGATATGATATTTAAAATAATATTTTTTAATTAATTAATAATAGTAGATTATATATTTTATTATTTTTTATATAATTAATGATATTGATAGTTTTAAAAATAAATTTAATATATATGATTAAAAAATTAGAATATGTATTTAAATATTTTAAAAATAATATCACAATAAAAAAATATATGCAACATAAATATTATTTTGTAGAAAATAAAATTTTCTATAATATAAGTAAATTTAAAAAATACTTTTGTTAAGCACAAACAATAATAATAATAAAAATAATGGCAGTGGGATTCTGGACGGGTCTGGATATAAGTTAAATGACCCAGAAGTAGGGTGCAATCGGACAGATGCAAGGATCGGGAAGGAATAAAGGTCGGGCGGAGTCTGAAAAAAGGTGTACCCAAGTCGGGTAAACCGTAGATCGGGTGAAAGACGAAGTCGGGCAGACGCGAAGGTTTGTCAAGAGAAAGGTCGGGCAAGGAAGAGGTACGGACAGATGCGGAGGTCTGTCCAGAGGACAGTCTGTCCTTCTAAAGAGATAAGGCAAATAGAGCCGGTCGGTTGGTCCGTGGTCGGGACCACATTTGGTTGGTCCATGGTCGGACCAATTAAAGTCGGTCAAAGACGGAGGGCGGCTGATGCGGAGGTCGGCCCAAATGATGTCGGGCGAAGAAGCAGGTCGGGCATTGAGGTCAGGACGTGATACGAAGTTCGGACCAAGTGAAGTAGCATGTGCAGGTCGGGTGAGAGAGCAGTTCTGGGGCGGTTAGAGGAAGTTGCAACTGGCGAACGGTTTTTTGAAGGTCGGACGTAGTAGAACGGTTGACACACGTGTCAATAGAAGAGAACTTTTGGGGCGGTTAACAACGGTTATGGTAACTGACCAGACGACGGTTCTGAACGTTTTCTTCAAAGAATATTTAAGGATTTGGATCATCATTTGGCAAGGCATCTTCAATCAACTTCAACAAAGCAAAGTCAGATTTGGGGATCACCACTTTAAATTTCAGTCTTTTATTTCCAGTTTATTTTCTGTACCATACAGTGTTTAGAGATTCCTAATCTCAGGCACTAATTAATCAAGTTTAAGGATATTTTCTATATCTTTGAATTTTACTTTATTTTTGTTGAAAAATTACATCAACAAATTGGCGACCACAGTGGGAGCAAGACAAAATTGCTCATTCCAATTCCGGCGATAATTTCATACGTCTTAGATCCGGCCGAATCATCAAAAAAATCAATATGGCAGGCACACAATCTCAATCATCATCAGCACCGGTGGGAGAGAATGTTTCACCACCAGTCATGCCAAATCCAGGGGAGATTCCCCCACCATCTACCGATTGGTTGTCTTATGTTCAACAAATGAACAACCAGCAAACTTTGGTTATGCAGAACATGTTGCATGAGCAACAAATGAACATGTTGCGTGAACAACAAAATCTAATACAGAACATGGTGGATCAGGCATTCTCCAGATTCACCCTGTATCCAAACATGCTTCCAGCCGTGTCACCTGCTCGTTTTCAGGCGATTTTTCCAAGATCAACGTTTGCAGGGCCAACGTACGTTGACAGTACGTTTCCAAGCGTCACAACTTTCAACCGAACAGATATGGGGAAGATTCCTCTAACTTTCCCAGATAATGTTCCTTTGGGACCGAGGGTTGATAATACCCAGCCGAATGAGAGATTAGGAGGACAGACTCATAATCCCATTCCAACCGAACCAGCCTTCTCTAGAGAAGAAAGGTTGGAGGGACAGACTCATAATCCCATCCCAGCCGAACCAGCCTTCTCCAGAGAAGAAAGATTGGGAGGTCAGACTCACGATCACATTCCAGTGTTCGACCATATTCCACCCAAGGGACAGACTCATAATCCCATCCCAGCCGAACCAGCCTTCTCCAGAGAAGAAAGATTGGGAGGTCAGACTCACGATCACATTCCAGTGTTCGACCATATTCCACCCAGAGTAGATCCGGAGGATATTGCTCAAGTTCTGCGGGTGCATTTCGGAATGAATCCGCAAACGGTGAACAGGCCGGTTTACCATAGGCCATTTCCAGAAAGGATCATTAACGATCATCCTCTCCCGAGAAATTATAGGCCACCAGACTTCTATTCTTTTTCGGGAGAAGACGGAGCCTCTACCATTGAGCATGTGGGTCGCTTCACGGCTCAATTAGGAGAAGTAGGCAACAATCCGTTTCACAAGTTACAATTGTTTGGGTTGTCGCTCACAAGAACAGCTTTTTCTTGGTATGCCAGTCTGCCGCCTGGACAGTTGCAAACTTGGGAAGATTTAGAGGCAGATTTTCATGCAAGGTTCTTTAATCCTCTGCCGACAGTCTCACTGATAGACCTTCTGGAGATCACGCAGATGCCGGAAGAGACCGGCTACCAATTCATAGAGAGGATGCGATTGATGAAGGGACGATGTCCTACGATGATCAATGAAAGCGAAATGACCAATTTGGTGGTCAGGAACATGCATACCAGACTTCGCGAGGCCCTGACAGCCCACGACTTTCAAGATCTGGCCAGTTTAGCATCCACGGCAGGAAGGTTAGAATCCTTTTTTACAGAAAATAATTATGACTTCCGTCAGGGGGGAGATGCTGAAGCAATGTTAGTGCAAGATCGATCAATGTGCAGACCACCACCAGTCCGCGATAAATGGAGGTCGGGTCCAACGTAGCCTCAGAAGATGGAGGTCGGATCTGAGGCTGATGTAGCCTCAGATGCTGACCTGCAAACTCCTAAAACATCACTGAAAGTGATGTTTAGGAGTCTTGAGGAGGAGGCTTATTGTTAAACACAAAAAATAATAATAATAAAAATAATGGCAGTGGGATTCTGGACGGGTCTGGATATAAGTTAAATGACCCAGAAGTAGGGTGCAATCGGACAGATGCAAGGATCGGGAAGGAATAAAGGTCGGGCGGAGTCTGAAAAAAGGTGTACCCAAGTCGGGTAAACCGTAGATCGGGTGAAAGACGAAGTCGGGCAGACGCGAAGGTTTGTCAAGAGAAAGGTCGGGCAAGGAAGAGGTACGGACAGATGCGGAGGTCTGTCCAGAGGACAGTCTGTCCTTCTAAAGAGATAAGGCAAATAGAGCCGGTCGGTTGGTCCGTGGTCGGGACCACATTTGGTTGGTCCATGGTCGGACCAATTAAAGTCGGTCAAAGACGGAGGGCGGCTGATGCGGAGGTCGGCCCAAATGATGTCGGGCGAAGAAGCAGGTCGGGCATTGAGGTCAGGACGTGATACGAAGTTCGGACCAAGTGAAGTAGCATGTGCAGGTCGGGTGAGAGAGCAGTTCTGGGGCGGTTAGAGGAAGTTGCAACTGGCGAACGGTTTTTTGAAGGTCGGACGTAGTAGAACGGTTGACACACGTGTCAATAGAAGAGAACTTTTGGGGCGGTTAACAACGGTTATGGTAACTGACCAGACGACAATTCTGAACGTTTTCTTCAAAGAATATTTAAGGATTTGGATCATCATTTGGCAAGACATCTTCAATCAACTTCAACAAAGCAAAGTCAGATTTGGGGATCACCACTTTAAATTTCAGTCTTTTATTTCCAGTTTATTTTCTGTACCATACAGTGTTTAGAGATTCCTAATCTCAGGCACTAATTAATCAAGTTTAAGGATATTTTCTATATCTTTGAATTTTACTTTATTTTTGTTGAAAAATTACATCAACAACTTTAATTTATTTATAGTTAATACAAACTAATTTTATAAAAGATTCAAAGTTTTTAAAGAGATCAAAATATTTATTTTTTTGAGGAACTATAGAAATAAATGGATTTTGAGTGGTATGATATTGTATAATAGTATTTTTAGTTAATTAAGTTGATTTATATTTTTTTAATATATTTTAATTTAGTAATTTTCACCAAAAATAAAAATATGTCAATTGTTATTGGATTGAAAAAAAAAAAAAGAAAAATATGTCAATTAAATTATGATGGAGTAGCATTTTATTAATTAGTGAAAATGTATAAGAAATTTTAATATTTTTGTGTTTTGACTTTATATATAAAATAATTATATATATAATGATATGTTTACAATTAAAAAAAATTAAGTTATTTTTGTATTAATGTATATATAGTTTTTTCAAATAAAAAAATAATACTACTTTTTTTAGTGGGACAGACAAAAATAGCAAAAATGATAATTTGAATTGGGTCGAATAAAGTACTTATTTTTATAAACTTTTTATACCTCTTAATCTCAATTCAAAGTACATTTTTTACCATTTTATAAAGTATCTATTTTATATGTTAGAAAAAAATAATTATATATTTACACGCTTCCACTAACCAATAAAATATTGTTATTACTTAATTTATTATAAATCTTTTTTCAAAAGGGACGGAAAGAATATATTGTTAAAAAAAATTAATACTAATAATAAAATTCTAAAAAAATCATATAGATTGTGTTTGTCTGTAAAGTTGAATATTTTGATAATCGTTCTTTAAATAGATATTGATATAATCTTTTAGGTTATCTCCAACCCTCCACTCTATTTTTGCAGTTGCTACGACAGTTGATCTACAGTAATTTTACTCTAATAGTAAACTTCAATTTTTACTCTAAAAAGTATATTCCTTATATATTCCTCTTTTTTATTATTTTATATATTTTTTCATATTTATAAATTACACCCCAACTTTAATTTATTTTTACATTAGATTCATACACATATAATTTATATTACTTTTCAACAGTAAAATTATATATCAATTTAGAAAATAAAATTATGAATTATTTTTTTAAAAAATAAAATTATATTACTTTCCAAAAACTAAAATTATATCACTTTTAAAAAATAAAATTATACATTATTTTTCAAAAAAAATAAAATTACATACAACTTTTTAAAATATAAAATTATATATCATCTACTAAAAAATTAAAATTACACAATACACCAAAAAAATATATATATTACTCAATTTTATATACAAACAACCGTTTAAAATTTAAATTAAAAATGAAAATAAAACATCAAAATAACACACCTTATGTGTTTTAAATGATATAAAGTTCCACAGAAAATTTTATCCGATTAAGACATGATTTCAAAATTAACATAGGCATACATAAAAGAGTTTGTTCGTTTTTTCTCTAGCCATTCAAATTTATGGTTACTTTCGTTTTTAGATTGTCATTAAAAAATATTATTGTTTTCTTTTTAAATAAAAAATTATTATATTTTTACTTTTTACTATAAAAAAAAATAACAATTATTACTCAATTTTATTAAAATCTGTGTCCGATTAAATGAGCACACATTTGGACAACGAAGGAAGTACTTGTTATAAGACAGAAGTACATGTATTTTATTATCTCATAAAAAGTCAACAATTCGATTAATAGGATGTGTTTGTTTGGAGATTTGAATTTTGAGTTGGGATTTGAATAGTAAAAATAAATAGCTGTTGATGTGATATTTTGAATGTAAAATTAATTTTTAGTATAATATAAAAAATAAAAAATAGATATTTGATTTGATATTTTTAAAGAAAAAAATGGGATAAATAGTGTATTTAAAATTCAATCCCCCAAACAAACACACTCTTAGAATAATTTTGATAATTCACATAAAAAAGAATATTTCAAAATAAACATTAAACAAACAAGCATAATATTTTTACAAAATATATAGTATTATATTTTTATGAAAAAATCCTGATCAGTGAATAATATTATTTTTGGTTTATTGCGAAAATCAAACAAAGCCATAGTTCACATATTCAATACTAAGTATACATAATATTTAACATAAAATATTATTTTTTATATTTTCAATATAACTTTTTATGCTCCACAATAAAAAAAATAAAAAATTTAAATCAAAACAATAAACAAACAAACCCAAAATATATACACAGCTCAACCAATATAACATTAATCCAACAAAAACACGGATAAATTATATAATACCCATACTTAAATACTTTGTATTTTATTTATTACATAAAATACTTTGTGTTAAATTAAAATATGTACAAAATACTCTATTCGTCCGACACACATCTAATTATATTTATATGAATAAAAAGAATAAAATTCTTAAATAATATTTTTTAATAAAATAAATAAATAAATAAATAATATATCAACTATTTATTTAATAATTTTTAAAGACGAACTATTATTTAATTTTTATAAAAAAAAAATCTATAAAACTAAAGATTATTTATTTATTTTAAAAAATAAAACTTACATAATTAGGTAAATATCTACCACTAAACATCAGCTTTGAACTAAATATATTTTGTACGTATTTTAATTTAACATAAAAAAAATTTACAAAATAAATAAAACACTAGGATTATTATGTAATTTATACAACAAGACACATAGTTTTGGATTCCATTATTAATCCCCATTAGAATGAAGATCTCACCTAATTATTAGCTACATTTTAATTCAAGATTTCTTTTCAATTTTCTTACTATACAATACTCTTGTAACTATAAATCTCACAAAACATCACATCAATCCGCCATTTGAGCACAAAATACAAATATAAAACCAAAGTCGGCTTCATTTATTAGGGTGTGTTCTTTTATCTCACATGTTTTCCCAAACAAAATTACTACGTAAACACTTTCATTATTTTTATATTACTTACACAAATCCCTATACCTCACATTAAAAAAAAATAAAAAAAATAAAAAAAATAAAAAAAAAAATTCCTTCAAATTATTTCAAAAACAAACACACCCTATTGATCAAACTATTTCACCACAAAATTATCAAAACAAATAAATAAAAACCTATTATGAAATCAAATGACACCAAACATCAACTAATTAGGTAAATTCAAAATAAATAAATAAAAATAAAAGTCTCATAAATAAATTCCAACTGCAGCAAAAAATGCATAATTGCCCAATAATAATAATAATATAATCCCATGGTTTCTTCAGTTCTATCTTCTGTACACCTTTTCAAATGGGCACTTGCAAATGCATTTGCTACTCAAGAATTCTTACCCTTTTTCATTTTTCCAATTTAAAGTTTTCAATTTTTTTTTTTTTTTTTTTTTTACTAGCAGTAATAATATCTAAAAGATAATCTAAACTAAGAATAAGGGAGGAGCAAGTTCACCTGGAAGAGGTATCAGATTCGTCAGATCCCTTCGACGCTTTATTCTTCAACAAAGCAATCTCATGATCCTGCTGTTTCTTTAGTTGTTGTTGCGCGGTTGCATTGACAATCTTGACGAAAAAGTTCATCAACATGATCCAAACTATGGTGTTCCAAATGAATGCCACCGAGAAATCCCACTTTTTTACCTAAGAAAGACAAATGCACCATGAATTCGGGAAGACTATGACAGTGTTTGTAAAGAGCCCAAGAAAATGCACTTTTGTGCTTTGCTAAACTAACAGTTGGAGGCATTTATATATACCAAATTTTGCTTCTGACCACTTATTGTGTTTATTTGGGATTTTTTAAAAAATTTTTTTACTATTCACTATTTTTTTTTTCGAAAAACATCAAATCAAACTTTCATTTTTTTTTTTTATATTATTTACATTCAAAATCTCACGTCAACACCAACACCAATTTACATAGCATCTAACAACTATTTGAATTTAAAACTTTTACTATTCAAAACACAAATATAAACCCCCAAACAAACACACTTAAAATTAATAATAATGATTTTCAACAAGGGCATTGGGGGATTCTTAAATTTTTAATGGTTTGTTTGCCCATCATAATTTTCTGAATACGATTCCCAATATATATTTTACTTTCTTACAAAAATGTGTCAATAATCAACATAATATTTAGTATTTTTTATATTACCCATACTGTCTATATCTCACAACGTTAAAAATACCTCAAACTAAAACCCTAAACAAACAAACTCAATGTATGTATATTTAGTTAAATAGCTTAGGGTTTGTTTGTTTAGTGTTTTGGTTTGATGTATATTTTTTTATATGAGATATAGAAAATTATGTAAGTAATATAAAAAATAATATTTTATATTGAATGTTGATTTTCTGTGAGACGATAAAATATAGTATAGTATATATATTGGGAATTGTGTCTCGAAAAAAATATTGGAAGAACAAACCCTAATCTTTCATTAACACCCTAAGCAAATCATCACAACATCATTTAGAAAAATTATATTTTCAAATCAAAGTTACAATTGCCACTTAAAATAGAAATTATATATGAACTCAGATTTTTTTTTTTGGAATTATTAAAATGCCACATTTATGAAAGTACTTTGAAATTAAACTTCTAATTTAGATTTTGAGTATAAGCACACAAAAACTAGAGCAATTGCTTCCTAAATAAACGTATTGGGTAAATACCATACCTTAAGATCCACCGGGGCATTGGGTTTTGTGGTCATGTACTTGTTTCTTAGTGCATGAAGCTTGGAAATAAGGTTGGGTAAGATAGAGTTAAATCCCGGGATAAATCCAAGAACCCAAATGAGTTCGTTTTCAATCCAGTGAAGAAGTTGATTGTTGCACACCGAAATTATGAACACCGTCTGCAGATTATTAACGCTTAGTTAGAGAATATTCCATGCATGTATGCATATGGCCAGTTTGAGCAATGTTTGGAAAAATTGGTGTAAATAATTATGTCAAATCCAAACAATGATTGAGCATGTAACAAACCTGTATGTGAGTCTTGATTAGTGCTTTGCCGATCATAGTTGCTAGAAAGAACTCCCAAAATGGAATTCCAAATTGCCCGCACATTATTCCAGCAAGATCGAATAAAGGATTAGGTACCTGTAAATTTTCCCCATATGAAGATGAGATCCCAGTTGGGCTATAATAACTGCGTTAAAATTTGGTGAAAAAAATAATAATAATAAATAACACTAGGACAATACTTAAGAAACAAACTTGCACTTTTAGTTTAACGAGTGTTCCTTCCTATTTAATTCCAATAGAAAGTTGGTTGTAATAATACAACTTTTCGTAATTCTGGATCTATAATCTTTGGAATTGTTTAGATTAATAAGCGAAATGGCAATTCCATATTAGGTACTAATATTGTGCAGTATCAGATAACATTTATTTCCACCTATCCAGCCTAAAATATACAGAACTAAATGACCAAAATTCGACCTATTATTAAAACCAACTTTAGGATGTGTGACTGGAATTAAAATTGGCTAATTTATGGGGACTAAACTATGAAGACATTCTTAAGAGACTAAAGTTGTTTTGGTCCAATTTGTAGTCAAGAAAAGATCTAAAAAGATTTCATAGCAGTTTCAAATTGCAAGCAGTGGCAATCAAGTCATAAAAGTGTATAAAGTAAGGAGCTAACCGATGCAAGAAGTAGAATGGAGAAGAAATTCAGATATTGTGCACGTGACAGAAACCAGAGCTTAATCTGATTTAAGCGAGCTGATATGAATCCAGTCTCTTCTGCCGAGGAAGCATCTAAGTCTTCCATGGCGTTCATTTTGCCACCAGATAAGCTTGCTGTTCAAAGAACAAGAATCATGTAAAGTCATTGCCACGTTAAAACAGGCCAGGTAACTCCCTGATGACATCAATCTTGCAACTCAAACTTCAAACAGCATAGATCTACCATTGAAGTAACTATAAAAGATAAAATAAAAGAAATATGTGTAGCAATTAAGCTTTTAATGGATGAGGATTTTAAAACATGGTATGAAAGTAAGAAGAGGTGCCAAGTCCAAATCCCCACCATCACCTATTCATCGAGAAGTGTTTCACATGCTGGTTTAGTGACCTCAAGTAAATGCATATAAGATATGAGTATAAAATTATGCATCTCCTATCAGCATAAACTTTAGTTTTTTTAGGAAAGGCTCGTCATTTAGCGAGAATAAAAGAAAGCCTTGATGTTCAGTGACCATTAAATGATAAGTTCATCATAAAAAAACAAGCCACCAGGCAGTAGATCGAAAACAGAATTATAAGTATGAGTTGACACTTCTGAAGTTGACATATCAATACTACTTCCATTAGATGTTTTAGGCGTTCTTTTTAACGTGAGAGGCCTTCTTTTCCATACCTCCACCATGATGGAAATTTTCATCATATCCCAATGGTGAATTCAGACAGAAAAGTAAATACCGATAATTGCTACATACCTGCCCTTGAAATAAAATAAGGAGGAAGTTCGCCAAGTGCAGTCCCGATACCCCACAATACAGCTTCTAACTGAACATAAGGTAATATGCTACTAAGGGGAATGCGAACACCCTGAGAGGGTTCAAACAATGGCGGCCCAAATTCAGCACAGCCCTTGTCAAGCCAAGACGGACTTCTTTTTAATTGTATTGTATCGTATAGAGCACTTTTCAGGTCTACACGACCACATTGCACTGCTTTTATAGTAAAGAATGCAATATGAGGTCCCAGGTATAGAACGAAAGTGTGCAATCCAGACCCTGTTCAGAAGCATAACAGGAAAATAAATTCAGATAATGAAACATTAAAGATAGTGCGCAAAAAACCGCCATACTTTTGAAAAGTCCATTTGTTTAAATTGGTTATTACGATAGATTATTTCATGCATATTTAACGGATAGATAAATGATAAATTCTCGTCAATTGGTGCACACTGAACATGACAATTAAAAGCTGACCGTGTCTTATACTAAAGCAATTGTGTAAAAGGCCCAAAAATCCGCTTCTATGACTTAACAATGGACAGCACATCTTAAGTGCCCTTAAATGTTGTGTCCTTTCAAATTCTTGTATAATGCCAATTCTCAGATCAATGACTTAACCAATACATATTTGGATTCAAATCAAAAAACAATTTGAGAAAACAAACAACTACAATAATAAAAAGGAAACATGATAGTTGAAGTTATTAATGATAACCTTGTCGCCAAATAGTATTTTCATAGTAGAAAATGACAAAGGTAAAACTGGTATGCTCATCAATTTGATTTGCCTTACCTAGTCCAATTGAAGATGCAACACCAAGCGTTATCCACCATAGTCCATACTGGGCATATCTTAGAACTTCCTCGACATGCTGCATTTGAAATTAAGATGCATGGAATGCATCAACATGTGTTTTACTGGTAAATAACAAATAGATTTATGGAAGAATTGAACCAGACTCCACAGGTCAAGCTTGTTGAGATTCAATTGAAAAAAGAGCAACAGAAGAAAGTGTGAAAGGAATCATTATTCTGACTTTGTTCTTTTGCCAGAACTTGAAAACTATAAAAATAAAATAAAATAAAATTATTACCTGATTATGAAAACCATCAACCGTCACAAGCAGTACTCCAGCAATCCCAACAATGGCACTCAACAACTTGAGCCAGCCATGCGATAAAATATACGCAATTGAACGTGTAAGATATTGGACAGTTGCAAAAGTAAAAAGTTTTAGTGTCTTGAATGGTTGTGAGGTCAGGGTCAGATTCTCTAATTCTTGTTGATGCTTTGTGCGAAGTTCTGCAAATATAGAAATATGTCATTTACAGGGAACATTGTGGATGTGATTGGTTGTAGGCGTTTTTAGGGTTTTTACTATTCTTTAAAAAAAAAATCCCTCAATAACATCAAATTAAACACCTATTTTAATATATTATATTAGACTAAAACTTAATTTCACATTTAAAACATCACATTGACACATAGTTATATTACATCAAACAACTATTCAAAACTCAAATCGCACAAACACACCCACCCAACAAGATTCATGAACAGAAGCTATGATAGAATAAATCATGTAGCAAGGATCTACGAAGCCTGATTTCAACATTAATGAACACTACAAAAAGATATCGACCTCCACCACCAGAACAAACAAGAAACAAAAATCCCATATCAACAGACACTGAGCATTAATGAACACTGCAAAAAGATATAGACCTTCGCCTCGAAACTGAGCCTGTGGAGCTACCGAATTTAAGCAAAACATAGTTATATGCCATTTAACATATTTTTACAACCCACAAGTTAAAAATTATTTATGGATACTTGTTCCCGGTAATTGGGATACTCCACCTAATTCATTCGAATTCTAACATTTAAATAGCAGAGTTTTCTACTGTGATCGATCTTTGCCCATCTATATTTATTCTATTCTAAAGAAGAGACTGTTGCAACTGGAGACATCAGATTCCTTCATCTTCTTGGTAGAACAATTAGCAAGCAAAAAATCAAGACAGATTTGAACGGATTTAACAGCGGCATCTTTCAATTTACCAATAACTTTACCAAATCAATTCAAAAATCTTAATTGTCTCCTTTTAAAGAACGCGAAGACAACTCCAACAGCTTTAAATGAGCGCAGATAATTACAAACTAACTTAACAGAAGCAGCGATCCTCTTGATCACAATAAAAGTGTTCAAAACAAACAAACAAAGCTCAATAAGCAAGCCCAGAAGTTAAATAACTCAACAAGAATAAACTACCAATTACTATCAACCTCAGTAACCACAATATACATATATATATATAGTTTTTCCCTGGCTATCCAATCCACAAGAAAACCTAAAAAACAAACACATATTTCTGACGCTCAATGCGCAATTAAAAAACACAGATTCACAGTGCACAACAACAATCAAACAAACTTCGTTTATTCCTTCGGATCTGCAAAATCAACAAAAATGAAACTAAAAGAACTCGCCTGCGATCGTCATGCGGCTAGAGCGAGAGCTTCTGGAGGAGGAGCGAGACTTTTTCTTCGACCTCATTACAATCAAAATCCTTAAACCATGTCAGAATCCAATCCACCCCTGAAGTCACGCCTGGCCCCGTCCGTCACAGGAATCAAAAGCAGATAGATTCGTGGATGGAATGCGATGAAATCCAAAGGATTGGGGATCTGAGTGAGGAGAGGGGCTCCGATGGATCGAGGGAAACAACGGGGCGGGGCAGGACAGGGCAGGTGCGTCAGATTTGGTCCCTCCAGGATTTGTGCTGTGCGGCGTTATCGGATTTCCCGTCTCAACCACGACACGCAGGGGACGGAGAACTATATATTTATACTAGACAATATCCTGTGTTTGAATTTTATTTATTTTTTTAATATATATATACATAAAAGCTGTAAAAAATTATAATGATAATATATAAAAAAGAAATTACTATATATTTTTGAAAAGACTAAATTATACTACTAACTCCATATTAATTTCTCCGTTTTAAATAAAATGCAACATTTGCTTTGGGCATAGGTGGATAGTACTATTAAATAAAATAATTTAAAAATTAAATGATACGATTGAGAGAAAAAATATATATTTTATTTTTTTATTAGAATAATATGATGAGATAAAAATGTGAGATAAAAATTAAGTATAATTAATCTTTTTTATTTTAAAAATATTGTAGAATGTTTGAACCTACCAAAAAATGAAATGACTACTCACACTCAACTTTCATTCTCATGTACTTAGAGTGATAAATAGAATAATTTTGTAATTTATTAAAAATAAAATATTTTATTTATTAGCATATGTTTTGACATTTTGTCTTTTTTTATTTATGTTTATATATACATCAATTAATATATTTATAATTTAAGTAAATATTAAGTGTATTTTAGAAAAAAAAATATTTTGAATAGATTATACTAAAATAGTAAAGATAGCATTTTGAATAGAGACGGGAAATATATTACTTATATTATGTGGATGTGTATTTTTTATTAATATTGACGACATTCGAGTACATAAATCATATTGGGGTGTTTATTTTTGTGGTTTTTAGATGAATATATTTTTTAAATGATCTAGTTATATAAAAATTGTGTTGCTAATATAAAAAATAATATTTTATATTTAATTGTTGATTTTTTGTAATGTATATAAAATGTATATATATTATATATAGTGTGTTAATATATTTGTATATTATATTTTTTATAATATTTATAAAAAATTATTCTAACTAAAAATATTAAAACAACAAACTTATTATTATTATTATTAAATATAAATATAAAAAATATAAATTACAATCAATTTTTTTTTGGTTTTTGAAAATAATATTCCCTTCGTCCCATAACTAAATAGTCATTTGTTTTTTCACGGTTTTAAAAATATTTTACTATTATATTTGGATGTAGTTGAAATAAAATAGAAATGATTAAAATAACCTTATTAGTATGTGTTAGTATGTGTGATATAAAAGTATATTGTAAATTGTAAGGATATTTGTAATACTATGTAGATAATACAGTTACTAAAAAAAATAGATACTTTGTTATCGGACTGAGGGAAATATTTTTCAAAAATATAATTTATTATAAAAAAACATACAAATCCTTTTAATTCAAACTACAACAATTGTCCATACTTTCACCTTTTAAGTTACAAGGGAGGGATTGTTCCGAGATTCTTTCAAAATTTATTATTCATCCAATTTTTATTTTCTTTTAAATATTTAATTAAATATATATTTTTTATTTTTTATATTATATAATAATAAATTTTACATTCAAAATGTCATATAAATATTTTTTTATATGTATATCACACATATAATTATTCCAATTCAAGATTTTTATTAATAACTCAAAATCTAAACCCCTAAACAAACACACAATTTATATTTATTTTATTTTATATTTTCTTTATTTTAGAAATTTACTTTTATTCGGTAATTCAATTTCAATTCACGATTTTATAATGATAAATGTTTTGCTAATGTATATCATTATAATATTATGATTATATTGGAAACTGAATTTACCTTAGAATCCATTATGGGTGTGTTTGTCGGGGAATTGGATTGGATTTATACTATTCCTCTAATTTTTTCCCCCAAAAATATCAAATTAAACACTTATTTTTCATTTTTTATATTATACTAAAAATCAATTTTACATTCAAAATATCACATCAACACCTATTTTATATTCAAACATCACATCAAAACAATTATAAATAGATGTTGATGTGATATTTTGAATATAAAATTAATTTTTAGTATAATATAAAAAATGAAAAATACTTGTTTGATTTGATGTTTTTGGGGGAAAATTTTTGGATATATAGTAGAAATTAAATCCAATCCCCCAAACAAATACACCCTCAATATACTTCATAAAAAAAATAAGATATATTATATACATATTTTTTTAGACAAAAAAATTAAATAATTATAACAATTTATTTATTTTTTCTATTTGATTCGTCTCATAATAAAATATATTTTTTTTTAATAATAGTAATATCTACAGAATATTATAAATATCTTTTTAATTTACAATATATTACACTTATACAATATTGTTAGTTTAATCTTTTTATTTTTATTTTTATTACATCCGAATATAATACTAGGAGGAAGTGTAACAAAAAAAAGAGTTCGTATTCAATAAATGTAGACAAACGCAACTTACAATCTCTGGTAACGTCTAGAAGATGTATTTACATTCATGTACATATATATATATATAGAGAGAGAGAGAGAGAGAGAGAGAGAGAAGTTAATTCTACAAACCTCTTAAGTTCTCCAGAAGTTCCGAGTTCCCACCTTCTACTGAAGTTTTTGTTCTCTCTGCAATTGAAGATTCTGTAAGCTATCTAACTCTAATTTCTTACATTTTCGGTCAAGGTTGTGCTATCTCTGTCATACGCTAGCTTGATCGCCTCTTCCACGTCGTTGTTTCATCAATTAATTGTTTATTGCGCGTTCGTTTTTGTAAGTGGCTTACGTTCGTTTTTCGTGGTCTCTAATCTCTCGAGGTGTTCGAATTTTTATGTTTTTGGTTGTGCTGCTGCTCCTTTGCTTGTTTTCTTCGCATTTCTATAGTTAATTTTGCTTTTTTTTTTGTATGTGGATTGAGTATTTGTCCTTAACGTAGCTTGCTTACTCTTCTTCGATTAGCAGGGCTGGATTTTTGTTCATTAGTTGCTAATTTTTCTGTTTACTTATTTGGTATTTAGTGTTTTGCGTCGCTGAATGTCTGTGTTTTGTTATATACTAATGGAAGAGACTACGGATTTACTGCGGTTTGTTTTTGCCATGGATTCCATCGGCGAGCTACTTGTAATTTCAATGAATTATTGTGAGATGGGACCAAATCTTCGTAATGCACATTCTCTGTTTTTAAAAAGTCCTGTTCGTTATGCTGGGATTTTTTTTTTTAACCTTCGTTTAACTTTTTTAGTAGTTTCATTATTCTTCTACCATTATTTGTCATAACAACATTCTTGGGGTAGTTTTCTTAGGATAGAATTGAGAGTCTTATTTAAAGAGAGGCATGAATAAGGTTCATTGTCTTTGTAAAAGTAATACTTACATGAGTGTAATATGAAAGTGTTTCTGGAGAATCAATGGTGTGTTATTTACATTATTGGTTTGGATTCAAAGTGTTGATTCGAATAATGTTTTGATTCGATGCTTTTGTAAGAGTGAATGGTTAATTTTTCTTGAGAATTGTAAGGGTTGAAAGTTAAAAAATTAATGCAAAGGTTAAAGCCTATATACTTATAAGGTAAGTCATTGTGAAGTTCTATCATCAATGGTATAAACATAATAGCGTTCTTTACACTCTTGTAAATATGAGAGTGTTTTCGAAGAATTACGGGTGTGTTTTGCTTATTGTTTTTTATTCGAAGTTTTGATTTGACCAATATTTTGATTCGATATTTTGTAAGGAAAAATAGCTAATTTTTATTGAGAATAGTAAGAATTGAATAGTAAAAAAATATACAGAGAGTAAGGCCGATACATTTGTAACACGGTCATCGTTCCTGGGGATTTTTCGCCGTTTCTGTTTATTTCTGGCTATTGTCATTCAAGAATCCAAATTTCATTGTAGAAATTTTCAAGCAAGTTGTCAGTTCTTGATTGCCAAGCCTCTGTAGCAGAAGTAACTGCTTTAATTCCTTGTTATTAAGAATTTGAGTTGCAAGTTCATTCGATATATATGAATTCGATGTTAAACTAAAGTTTATCGACATAACCGTTATTTGCAGCGCTACCTGAATTGGAGGAATAATGGCAGAACAAGCCTACACTGTAGCATCCGACAGCGAAGCCACCGGGGAGGAAAAATCCGTATCTCCTACCCAAGAAATCGCAATCGGAATTGACATTGGGACATCTCAGTGCAGCGTCGCAGTTTGGAATGGTTCGCAAGTCGAGCTCCTCAGGAACACCAGGAATCAGAAAATGATGCTTTCATATGTCACCTTCAAAGACGAGATTCCGGCCGGCGGCGTAAGCAATCAACTTGCACACGCGTACGAGATGCTGTCTGGCGCCGCTGTGTTCAACATGAAACGTCTGATCGGCAGAGTCGATACCGACCCCGTCGTCCACGCGAGCAAAAGCCTCCCGTTTCTGGTACAGACTCTGAATATCGGCGTCCGGCCGTTCATTGCCGCGCTAGTGAAAAACGCATGGAGATCGACTACCCCCGAGGAAGTGCTCGCGGTATTTTTCGTGGAATTAAAGTCGTTGGCGGAAGTCAAGCTGAAGCGCCCCGTCCGGAACGTCGTCCTGACGATTCCGGTGTCGTTCAGTCGATTTCAAATCAGCCGGGTCGAGCGAGCTTGCGCCATGGCCGGTCTGCAAGTCCTGAGGCTGATGCCCGAACCGACTGCGATCGCATTGCTGTATTCTCAGCAGCATAGCGCGCAAGAGAATTCCGGCAGCGGGATCGAAAAGAACGCGGTGATATTCAACATGGGCGCCGGATTCTGCGACGTCGGCATCACTGCCACGGCCGGTGGGATTTCGCACATAAAAGCGTTAGCCGGAGCCGCCGTCGGAGGTGAAGACATACTTCTGAACACGATGCGGCACCTCTTACCCGAAATGGACGACCTCTTCGCCGCACGCGGGATAGACGAGATCAAGAAAATGGGTTTGCTTCGTGTTGCGACGCAGAATGCGATACACATTCTCTCGTCTCAACCGACGGCCAAGATCGACGTCGATTTGGGAGACGGGAAAACCATCCGCAAGAGCCTCGACAGAAACGAGTTCGAGAAAGTGAACCAGGAAGTGTTCGAGAAATCCGAGAGCCTCGTCCGGAAGTGCTTGCTTGACGCAAAAGTCGACGTCAAGGATATAAACGACGTAATCCTCGTCGGCGGGTGCTCCAACGTCCCGAAGCTACGCGAGATCGTAACCGGGATCTTCAACCGCGACCCCTACTCGGGGATCCACCCGTTCGAAGCCGCCGTTCGCGGCGCGGCGTTGGAGGGCGCGCTCGCGTCGGGGGCGACCGACCCCTTCGGCAGCCTTGATCTATTAACGATTCAAGCGACGCCGTTGAGCATCGGAATACAAGCGGACGGCGACAGCTTCATCCCGATCATTCTCAAAAACACGACGATACCGGTGCGGCGGGATCTATTCCTCACGACTGTGCACGACAACCAGGCCGAGGCGCTCATTATCGTCTATGAGGGAGATGAGAAGGTCGTCGAGAAAAACCATCTCTTGGGCTATTTTAAAATCGGCGGCATACCGCCAGCGCCGAAGGGTGTTCCCGAAATCAACGTGTGCATGGACATCGATGCGTCGAATAAATTGAGAGTCGCTGCGGGAGTTGTTATGCCGGGTGGGCGGAACCCGGAAGTCCCGTTTATCGAAGTGAGGATGCCGTCGGTGGACGACGGGCACGGATGGTTCGCGGATGCGCTGAACCGGGTTCACGGGTCTTCGCTGGATTTGGTTACGGTTAAGCGTTGACGATAAGGTACGCGTCGTGGTTAATTTTCAATGATTAGTGTATAGCTTTCTGTGTTTTGCGAAACTCGGGTTCTTCTTTTTTAGTCGCGAAATAATGTTGGTGGTTAGAATGCATGTTGATAAGGTGTCTGAGTCGGGTGTTTGGTCGAGTCCGGGAGAGCGGTTCTTCGCTTGTCGAGTCGGGTTTTATTTACTATTGTTTTGTTCGTCGTCGTTGTCGTCATCGTCGTCTGAGTAAATGCGGTATGTGTTGCGGGAGACACTTGTGAATGATTCCAATCTTTTCGTTCCAACGTTTGTTTGTTTGTGTGGTGTTTTGATATGATTTGATTTTCTTTCTTTATTTTATATATAAATTATTAGAAAATTATGTTGGTAATATATTACTTATCTTCGAAGATTAATATAATTAATACTGGCTAATATATAAGCATTCAACATTAAATTCAGCACCTGATCCTCCCAATATTAAAGTAATTATTTATGTAATATATAATAAATTTTAAAAATATTTATTATATTACGTATATAATAGAATTATTAAATTAGAAAATATTACTTTTGGTTTTGGGACGGACATAAATAAAAAATAATATTTTTTTTTATGAGATATGTGAAAAAATAAAATGTACTTTCTCCATTCCAAATTTATATATATGTATTTGCTTTTTACATGAAGATTTAGGAATATTAGTATTATATTAGAGAGCAGTAGAAATAAAGGTAAAAAGACTAAACTAATTTTATTAATATACTATAATATAAAAATAATAACATATTAATATATTATAAATTGAAATGATGTTTGGAATGTTAAGTATAGTTAATAAATACAAAAAAATAGATAAATTGTTAAAATATAAAAAGAAATATAATATTGAAAATCGTGTAAAAAAAATTTAATCAAACAAAAACCTAAAATGTACTTTCAAGCTATTATATATATATTTTTTTATTTTCATTTAAATTATAAATATATCATTATAAATATATACGTGAAAGTTAAAAGCCAAAATTATCATAATCATTTACAAATTTTGACGGAGGCGGTGTAAAATACTCCCTCCGTCCCACATGAAATGATACAATTTCCTTCTATTTTTAAGTAAAGTTTATCAAATCAAAACATAATTAACAATAACCATTAAAATTAATTATCTTATTATATTATTAATATAAAAATATTTTATTTTTAATATATAAATAAACAAACCCACTCAAACCCATAATATGATTAAAACAAATAATTAAATCATAAAAATTCTAACAGCTTTGCAATTGTTTTTTCTCCCCCAACAAAAGCTCTAGTCTACTTCGCAATTCTTCTTCCTTCCTAACGAAAGCCGTAGTCGATTTCACCGTGGATTCTAACTCCTTTAATCCGATTTTTTATGGGTCTTGGTCAGTCGCCACCACCTAGCTGCCGAGGATGTCGAAGGGAGGAGTAATCGACTTTGATTCCGAGATCACCGGATTGTCTTTTCCATCGGTGGTTTCGACGGTTGAATATAGTGAAATAATGAAGCAAATTTACCTTTTTCAAAGACATTCCAAAAATTTTTATCCATTCTCTACTCTACTGCATCTTGACTGATCTCTGTATTTTTTTTTTTGGAATGACAGTGCAAAAGTTAAACTTTTTGTGGTCCCTTGGTAGTTTATAGCATATGTAATTGTGGAGGGAAACTATTAGGAGGGAAAGCAAAATTTGGGAAGTATTTGGCAGAATTTTATATCCAGATTGTTTTTTTGTTACTGCAATTGACTGGTTGATGTTGTATTTTTGATTTGTTATACTCTATCCTGCAGTATCTTTTTGCTGCAATTGATGCTGTATAATTTTGTTATTGTCAAATTTGAAATGACTTAAAAATTATGGTTAGAATGATTTTTTCTAGTTCTATTATTGTTGATATTATGTTTTTATTATCAAATATGGAATGGTTTATTATGTTGCGTTAAAATTGTCGCTGAAATGATTTCATAGTTACGACTGATATTGTATTTTTATTATTAAATTTGAAATAACACGATTATGTTAAAATTATAAGTTAAATGATTATAGATTATTACACGAGAAAATATAAAATACAATATAAAACTTTTCCTATTAAGACTAATTTTCATAAATTAAATTAATTTAATTTTAATTCAATATATAATTTTCCTTGTTAATTTTTTTTACTAAATATTTAAATTTATTAGATTTTAAAATAAAATAAAAGTATTAAATATTATTAAAATTTAAATAATATATAAAATTATTAACAATATTATCTATATAAAAAATTAATAAACTTATAATATTATCTATATAAAATTATTAATAATATTTTCACTAAATTATATTACTTTAAATACCGTGCCACAATCCAAATGTGATATGGGAGCGGAGGGAGTAGCATGTATAAAAAATAGGAGTAAAAATGAATTACTACACTCGTGGTAATTCACTTAAATAAACACATTCAAAAGATTACTACACAAAATCATAACGATAATGATAAAGCTACAACAATGGCAAGAACCTTGGAAATAATTCAACAATAATTCCATAAAAAAAAATCTCATCAAATGTTACCAACAATCGAACTCTAAAAATCTCTACCCTTCGTATCATTCATTCTTTCATTCTTCGAAGCATACAAGACTAAAGAGAAACCAAGCTCCAAGCCCTTCGACCCGTCGCCGTCCGGCGAGCCACAACGACTCCGATCCGGGCTTAGTCTCGGGCTCGGGCTAGCTCGCATTCTCTCATTCGGAAAACTAGCTCGAAACATAAAGATCGCCACATTCCCGCCCCCTAAACTCGGGCCAAACAACCAATCATACGCATCCCACGACACTTCGACCGGTATCCCATCGACCAAGAACATTTCATTCCCGCGAAACTTCCACCTAAGATGCCTAACTCGAACGACCGTTCTAGAGTCCACACGGATCACTAGCCTCGAATCCTCGACGCAACTTGGATGATCATGCTCGATCCTAAGGTCGTGGGCCGCGCCACTATTAAAAAATCGAACTTTTGTACAAAACACCCGCTTCCCACAAATACATTCTCTCTTCAAAACGAGCCTCCCGCTCGAGGATGAAGCAATGGCGCCGCTCCTCTTGAAAGCATCTTTAGTCGAATCTCCGACGAGCAATGCCATTACACCTTTGCACACAATCCCAATGTAATAACTCGCCGGGGGCGGCGCCACCGCCGCCTCCGGCCCAAATTTTGCGGCGGAAAAATCCCAAAAAAGTTCGATTCGGCCCGAGGAAAGTTGTAAACGTTTGGATCCTTTTCTTCTTGAGAACAAAGAGGGCTTCAAATCCACTCTACAAATGTGGGGGTTGTAAGAAGGATCATCCACTATTTCTACACTTAGGGTTTGGCCCATCAAAGTCTTGCCCCAAATTAGGGTTACTAGAGACATTTTGTCGAACAATTTGCAGGCATATGTGCAAGTGAGTGAATTGTTAGGATTAGGTGATTTATTGGTGATGACCAAATTAGAACATGATGGATCACTCACTTCTACTCCATTTTCACCAAAGCATGATGGGAAATCCCTCATTGTTTCTTACTTTTAAAAAAATGGAGAGACAAATATATATATATATATGTGTGTGGGTAAATAATGCAAAATTCTAAATATTGATGGACACCATGGAAGAACACCAAGAAATTACATACCCAAAGATTGAACTCACGAAGCCATTATCAAGACAAGTTTAAATCTTGGTAAAAATACCTAAAATGTGGAATTCAAGAACCCATTTTCAAGACTAGCACAAGCTAAAATTTGAATTCAAGAATCCCATTTTCAAGAAACATACCTAGAGAACTTGGATTCAAGAACCCTTCTCAAGACAAGCAAAAATATACCTAAAAATTTGATTTCAAGAACCCTTTTCAGGACAAGATAGAAAAAAATAAAATACAATAAAATTGTGGATTCAAGAACCCATTTTCTAGATGGGAGAATTCTTCAAATTTATTATTTTTTTCACACACAAAAACAAAAGGGGCTAAAAAAAACTCAAAATTTAAGAAATAAGGGAAGGCCAAGAATGTTTAAATAATGAACATGAGCAAGAAACATACCTAAGAATGAAAATGGATTCAAGAAACTAACCCTTTTGTACAGTTTGTGGATCAGTGTTGTGTGCAATTGTTTCTGTTTTTGGTATCAAGGGAAAATGGACAGTGTGAATAAACAAAATAAAATAAATCAGGATTTGAAGCCAAGATTTTATGGGTGTGTTGTGGTGTGGTGTTGTAAGAATTAATGATAAGTAATAGTAGTTCGTAAAATTTATTTGCTGTCAGCTATTTACATTATTCATCTTATTTTTTTTTTAAAAAAAAATATCAAATCAAACATCTATTTTTTATTTTTTATATTATACTAAAAATTAATTTAATATTTAAAACATCGTATAAAAATTTTTACTATTCAAATCTCAACTCAAAATTTAATGTCGGGTCAACACACCCTTGAAGAAAAAGAAAAAGCAGACAGATTCCTTAATGAAAGGGATGTTTCATTGTATATCAATTCAATGCTCAAATTTACAGTTTGATTGATTCATGTGCCCTTCTTCAATGCTAGCTGCTGTTCAAAAGACAAATTTGACTTTATTTTTAGGGTGTGTTTGTTTGGGAGATTGGATTAGATTTACATTATTTATTCTATTTTTTTTCTTTCAAAAACATCAAATCAAACGCTTATTTTTTATATTATACTAAAAATCAATTTTACATTCAAAACATCACATCAATATTTATTTATATCACATCATACAACTATTAAAATTCAAAATTTTTAATATTTAAATCCCAACTCAAAATCCAAACTCCCAGACAAACACACCATAATTTATTGTCTTATTATTAATTAAGGCCATTAATTTTATGATTTTTTTTGTTTTTTTTTTTTCTAGAAAATTCAACAATTTTTTATTTATATTAGAATTTATTGTCACTATACTATCACTATGTTATCCAAATTTATATTTATTTTTATTTTTGATTATCATAAAAAAAAATATTTTTGCTTTTTTTGTTTTAATATGTACTACTTCCATTCGATTCTAAATATTTTATTTATTTTTTGCGTATTGATTTTTAAATATTTATGAAAATATACTACAAATAAAGAGAAAATAACAAAAATATTTTTGTGAAAAAATTATATAAATATAAAAATATTTGTAATGTAAAATAAAATAATACAAAAAGTAAATAAAGCTTTAGAGTTAGACAAATAGAGTATTATTTTTTAATATTTTATTACTATAAAATGTAAAAGATAATAATTTATTATATATTTCTATTAAAATTTATGGTCAAACATTTGATCTAATATTTGGATAACAGATGAAAATATTTAAATAAAATATCAACTCAAAATCAATTTTTTTTTCACACTTCATTGAATCACCCGTCAACTTTAATTAATTAATATAATGTCTAAATTTGAATTCATCACATGTGATCACTATTTTTTTTTTTAATTTTTTTTTTCAATTTTTTGCTATTATTTAAAAGCCTATGACATGTATTTAGTTGGTGTTTTTTTTTTCAATAATAATTTAAATTTGATATATTATGAAAAATAATACTATTCTCTCATTTACTTTTTTTTCTTATTATTATTTAATATTAATTATTATATGAAAATATAATATAAATTAAATAAAAATTACAAAATATTTTTAGTAGTGTCTTATAATATCTTAATACTCTTATAATGACATTTATGAAAATAAAATATACAAATAAAATAATATTTTTAATATTAAGTACAATAAAGTAAAAGATAAATTAAACCAGTCGGACGGAGAGTATATATGGCAAGAATTAAATGTTCAAAAAGGTAAAAAATAATCACTAGATGAGCACGCCTGTGATGTCCAATTTTATCTTTTTTTTGTTTAAATCTGTATTTACTAGTATTTTTTATTTTTTTATTTAACCTTTACAAATACAATTAATAAAACTATTCTAAATATAATATAAAAATATATATTACCTAAAAAGTTAAAATAAAAACAATGAAAATACTTATTTTGTATTTTTAATATGAGATGTTTTTATGTAAAAATATGTTAATAATATAATAAATAATTTTTATATTAAATTATTAATCTTTTGTAAACGTATAAAACATATATTATACATATATTATGTAAGTATACATATATTCAACTCTTCTTCCAAACACAAATTTTCAATTGCAATTCTTCAAATACTCTTTTATTATCATAATACATCATACTAATTTTTTTCTACTTACCTTCAAACTTTTACTACTCCATTAGTGTGAGATCAATTAGGGTGTGTTTGTTTGGGGGTTTGGATTTTGGATTGGGATTTGAATAGTAAAAATTTTGAATTTGAATAGTTGTATGATGTGATATAAATAGAGTTTGATGTGATGTTTTGAATGTAAAATTGATTTTTAGTATAATATAAAAAATGAAAAATAGGTGTTTGCTTTGATGTTTTTTTTGGAGAAAAAATTGGATGAATAGTGAAAATCCTCCAAAATCCTTCAAACAAACACACCCTTAATCTATTTTACTATTTTAATTTATTCCAAATTAATTTATATGTTTGACAATTTTTATCTGTTTGACCAGTTAAACTTTTTTACCCAAAAAGCTAACTTACCAAACTTTTTGAAATAGCTTTTTCAGTCTAATTTTTTTTATTTCTTAATTGCCCTTGAAAATTTATTATGCATTTTATACAAATATATATATATATATATTGATTATTTATTAATTATATTATAATATTTTATTACATTATAGTTTTACTTTTATAAATTTAAAATAATTATTTTTTATATATAAATTATTTTAATTATAAAATATATAAATTTATTAAAATCAACCCAAATAGAAAATATAAATATTAATAATTTATTTTATATTAAAATTACATTATATAAATTTTATGCTTAACATTAATTAAATAAATTAAATTTATTGAAAATTATAAATATAATAAACTAATCGATAATTAAAATAATAAATATATACACAAAAAAAAATTATTATTTTATATTTTACATTATTTTCAATAGAAAAAACTATTTATATTTTTTAATAAAAATTATTATTTTTTAAATCTAACTATAATAAAAATAAATACTATTCTATTTTATAAAACTTTTATAATTTTCAATAATTAATAACAAAAAATTTTAAAATGTTCTAAACTCAAAAGAAAACAATTGAATATATTAGAAAAAAATAAAATAAAATAGAAATATCTCCGGTTGTCATTTTACGCATAGACATCTAATACCAAACATTTATTTTACCAAACATTTTAATACAAACAACTAATCGAATCAACTAATCAAATCAGCTAATTGAATCAGCTAACAGCTATCGGCTAATTGCCAAATACATCCTTAAATTTAAAAAGAAAAAATCCCAAAACAATGTTACTATTTTCTAATTTAATAATTTTACTGTCTACCAATATAATAAATACCCTTCTAACCTATACTATATTACACAAATGTAATTACTTTTATATTATATAAATATTATTATTTTTATATTACACAATACTAATAAAGATATTTTTTGTCTTTTACACTATAAACCAATATAATACTAATATTAAAAAATCTACCTACAAAAAGTAAATGGTAACCTTTCTACGGAAAATTTATACTCATTCCGTCCCAAAACAATAGTCTTATTTCCATAAATAATCACCATAAAATTATCCCTATTTTTTTATTATTATTACACAATTGCCACTACTTTTTACGTTAATATACTCACAAGGCAAAAAAGTTATTTATCCATACTTTTTACAAACCACCAATATTATATCAATATTCCTTCAATCTCGTGTCCAACACAATAATACTATACTTTTGGGACGGAGTATATATTAACAAAGTATCATCATTATTCTTTAACTAATTTACTCCCTCCGTCCCATAACAAAGCATCAATTTTTTCATTTTAGTACGTCCCATAATAAAATATCCATTTAATAACTGACTATCTACCTAACATTACAAATACCCTTACAACTACAATATATTATACAAATGTCGTTACTTTATATGACACATACTAATAAGGTTATTTTAGTCATTTTTATTTTATTCCTACTATGTCTCAATATAATACTAATATTTTTAAAATTACGTGAAAAAACAAATGAATATCTAATTATAGAACAAAGGTAGTATTTGTTATTTAATGTAAACTTATCTTTTTATGTAACTATGTAAATAATACTCCCTCCGTCTCAGATACCATATCCACGTTGCCGTTTCTGTCCGTCCCACATACCATGTCACTTTTTTTTTTTGAAAAATGATTATACACTTTATATTATATAATAATTATTTTCACTAATATATTTTTAATTATCTATTAATTACACCCCCTCGTGAAATACACTGTCTACGGTGTAGGCAATAGAATAGTACAACACATCAAGTAAAAGTAAAACGAATTTTCAAACATCAGGCAGGCAGTTCCCTATGTCCTCCATTCGAATAATAAAGTGATTTAAATAAACAGTGGTTAAAAATGAAAGAAAGCAAGCCAAGCATGCAGATTCCAGGCAGAAATCGAACAACTAAAACTTATTACTTACTTTCATTTCATTACTACAGGGCAGAAGAGATCACAGTAGGCAGCCACTTCTGAAAGTAGGCTTGGCTATCCATCTCCGCCGCCGACAACGCACCCAGAGCGCTCACACTTATCTGCAACGCAACGCAATCAAAATTCCGAACCTTATAAATAAATAAATACATATTAATGTAATATTTATTGTTCCATTTACAACGCAACATACATAGCCTTCTTGAAGGCAAGAGTAGTCCATGTCGCCACCTTCATCCACCCATGATCCCCTTACCTATAAAAAATAAAGAACTGAGTCACAATTAATGTCGTAAAGATGTAAATTACACATGTTTACCAAAAAGCATACAAGTATGTTACGAAGAGAGAGTTTCGACATTTTTCCTATATGGGATAATATTCGACAAAGTAAATGCATCAAGTAGATAATTACTGGAAGGCACAAAAACAAATTTTATGCTAACTTCGTCTAATTTTAGGCGGGAAACAGAAAGGTACTAAAAACCAAATGCGAAAGAGCAATAAAGAATACGTTGAAGCCGATGATTCTTACCTCTCTCTTGAATATAAGATGGTCTTGTTTTGCGGCTGTCGAATCTGAATTAGAATCTGATTCTGAATTTGTCTCCATAGTCATGGTCGATAGCATTTTCCCGCCTTGATTTTCCGAAGTAACTTGTTTCCACCCCATTTTTACAATACTCCTGCTCTGATTGGTTAGCCGATAACCCTGTTTAAGGACCACCCATTCATCCTTTTTCATTCAACTCAAACTAAATTCAAGAGATGAAAGAAATAACATGTTCGGGATACAAGAGAACAATATATGAAGAAATGTACCATTACACCATGGGTAGATTGTGATATTGTCATGCATTTAACTTAAGTACAATGTAAAGCCGAATTTGGTGATGTAAATAGGTTGCCATATCTCATAAAGTATAGCTACGGGGTAAATGTAGAAGAAACTTAAACAAGCAAAAATAAAAAAAATTACCTTATGGTTCCTGACATCTGTTGGTACATCAACATTCAAGAAACAGTTTAGGGGATAAGTTTTCTTTCTTGTTTCGGTCAATACGGCACAAATTATAGGCAAGCAAGCCTCTGCTGCAAGAGTATAGTCATCGACATTACTTCTTCCTCCAACCCTGAAAGCTAGCAGCCGTATGAGTAGACTAATTCTAGAGTGTCCTATCAAAAGACTCAGTAGCAGAAGGATAAAAATCTTAAAAAAATAGATTCATTGAACAAGCAATAACCGGTGATTCATTCTATACCCACGTCACACGCATATAAGCCATTTCCAATAAATATGAGATAATTGAAAGGCATTATGTTGCTCATACCAGTCGTATGATAGAGAGATAGAAGGTATTCCATTAAAGAAAGCTTCACGAGCCCCCGCAACCGTCCCTGAATACACACTGCATCGATCAAAATATGCAGCCACTGTCAGCCAGTCATTAGTAGTGACAAGGTGAACATATCACAACTGTAATAGTTTTGATGCATTTCAAGTGAATGCGAATTGTGTAGTTTGATTTTCATAGCATGGTTAAATCTTTTTTCAAGTTAGAAGATGTCTATATGGGAACCCGATAGAATCCCCACCAATTATATCACTTACCGGGTTGCTCAAATCAGCATCACAAGTTAATAGAAGGTTAACTACATACAAAGCTGCTCTAGAAAGACAGAACTACCAACCAATGGAACTACTAAGGATGTGTTTGTTTGGGGGTTTGGATTTGGAGTTGGGATTTGAATAGTAAATAGTTTGAATTGAAATAGCTATACGATGTGATATAAATAGGTGTTGATGTGATGTTTTGAATGTAAAAATGATTTTTAGTATAATATAAAAAATGAAAAATAGGTGTTTGATTTGATATTTTTGGAGGGAAAAAATTAGATGAATAGTGAATTTGGAGAAAAATCCCCCATACATACACACCCTAAAGTTACTCTACATACTCCAGCAAAGAGAACATTACAAAGGATATCTTAAAGGATTGAAAAGACAAAGCTACTTACATGTGGTAGCCACAATTGCTCCCCATATTAATGCCACTGATGACCTGAAATGGATGAAATGGCTAGAAATGTAAGCAGCTCTTACTAGAATCACATGTGCATAGCTGTTGAGGAAACACTTTTGTTTCACCTATAACATTCAATACAGCATGATAGCCAACAGAGAAAGAGAAAAGAAAAAGAAAAATAGATCATAGATGGCACGCAGAGCAAATAATGCCAAATTGAACTTATTTAAAGGTAGTTAGTATTTTTTAATTTGTTGCACATTGAGCAAACAGGGGCAGCTATTAAAAATAAAAGGGATTGGACATATGAATGAAGATCCAAATACTGTAAATACAAGAAATGTATGAAATACATGCATTGTAAGTACCAGATCAGGTATAGAGGGGAACAGAGCTTGGGAAATTCCCAAAGATGTACAGTCAGCAGGAGTTCCTACAAAATATGGTATCAATTAAAAAATCAAGGAAATATTAAAAACATACAAAACATTAGTTGGAAAAAAAAAAGAAAGAAAATAAAATTAAAGAGCAGTAGCTGAACATATTTGTAATATATCAATCAAAATGGAATACTACAGACAAAATTGCTTAAGCAAAACAACAAACAATGACAGAAACTGTAAAGATGTTTTGTTAAAATGCTATCATATAATAAAACATGCATCCTCATACAAAGTTGTATGAAAATTGATAAATATGAAAAAATCAAATAAAAATAGAACATGGACCCAAACAATAGATATATAATACAAACCTTGAAGGCTATCCAACACAATCGTACATATGTGCGTATGTGTGTGTTATAACTTGATGATTATTAAGTGGGTATAGTCAGGGCATGTCTGAAGTCCTTATAAGTGATGGCAAACATAAACATATAAGAAACTATAAATGACATTATTAAGATCTCCATTCTAAGTTTCAGACACAATGAGTTAAGCAAATGATTGAGTGGCCAACTTACCCGTCAAGCTTATTTGAAAGTTCTACTAAGCTTTGAGAAGCCGTAACTATGTTAGCTTTAACTGATAATTGATCTCAAAAGAAATAGATGGTTCCAAAACTCAACTATAGGATAAAATAACACAATTACATAGACAAATCAATAGACAGATACTGTGGGTTTATTAATTGAATAGAGATCAGGTTGATTATAAATAAACAGTACAAAGAAAATGTCTCCAGACTTGATATGCTATGACTACAAGCGAAACTCAAATGGAATATTAGTGATTGGTGTTACTAGCTTGGTGTTTTTAGCCACAATCACAATAAACATTAAGATCATAGACAGAATTGTTAATGAATATGCTTTTAAAGGAGCTGTTGTATCCATTAATATATGTAAATGCTGCAATTGACTCCTCACTCATTAATCAAGACAATTATAAATTTGGAATCAGAGGAAGCTCGGAATTTAAATAAATTTAGTTTGTGTTGTTTTGATTGTTTCATTCTCCAGACACATGAGTTACTTTATCTTGCTTTCTCAAAATATTTGACATGACAACATTCGTAGAGAACTTGGTCACTGACCTGAAACTGCAAAAGCAGTTGTTCCATCAACTTCCACTGGCTTTACTGAGAGAGGTCTCCGCCAAGTGATACTATGACTTACAGCAGACTGCTCACTGAAAATAACAATTCAAATGTAAGCAACAAGTTGAATGTTTGCTTGAACAAAACGGAGAAGTAAATTCACTAGATTTCTGAGGGCACAAAAATAGTTGCATCTACCATATGATCGATCACCAAGAAACCTGAAACAACCAAACGATCACATAACAAACAGACAAATAAAAAGCATAAAATTAAAGAAGCAGCAGAAATGTAATGAATTCAATACTGTGTTCAGATCAAATTATGAGTTAATAACTAGTAAATTCATGAAATGCAAAATAATGAGTGCCCAAACTGTATGCTTATCATTAAGTTTTCTTTTCTTTCTTTCTTTTTTTTTTTCTTAAATCTGTATGCTTATCATTAAGTTTTCTTTTCTTTCTTTCTTTTTTTTTTTCCTTAAATCTGTATGCTTATCATCCAAAGATAATGTATCTAAAGGCAGGCTAGTTATCACATCTGCAACGCTTGATACCATTAAACCCAAATTGTCAATATTAACCGCTGGAGAATATTAGGAATTTCTGCCATTCCATGACACAAAATTCCAATTAACAAGCTGACAATCAGCTTATACAAATAAAAAAAATAATCAGAGAAAATAGTCTGAAATGGCAGAAAAGACCAGAACAAAGAATCCAGAATTCCAAAAGCTCAGATACTTACCCATTCTCGAGAAATAAAAAATAAAAAAAATAGAATAAAAGAGAAGAATGAGGATATCATTATATCAACACTCTATGCTGGGGGAAAAAATGCGCACACTAAGCAGAGACTTAAAAAACACACACATATCATCGATAAACCACGGCATAGAATTTCGACACAGATAGACGACAAAGTTCATAGAAGAAGCACCAGAATTACAGAGAGAAACATCTAAAATGCTCATCTATCCATTCGTAAGACTCTACACTGATACACATACGAATCGGGGGCGCAAACGAAGACGTGGAACTGATTGGAGGAGACAAGGACACGAACGAGTGACCGGAGACCAGGGGCGTCGATTCCGTCGTCGTTGGTGATCATCACCGTCGGGCGATCGCCGCCGGTGGAGGCCGGTGCGCCAGAGTTCTCCATTGTCAAGTTCTCAATCATTTAAAAAGCGCTGAAGCTTGTACCCATAAATAAATACAGTTAGCACCGCAACGACGTCGTTTTGATCACGCGGAACGCGTGTGACGTATGCGAGTGCTTGGAGAATATCGAAATATTTTAAAATATATATATATTTAAAACGGATGCTTTACTATGCCCTGTGACGGACAGGCATCTGATGCAATCATTGCCATTATTTATACTTCTTCCAACTTCTACTAAAGTTTATAGATGAATAAAAATACTTATAAATTAAAATAATTAAATAATTTAATTAAAATTAAAAAAATTATTAATTATTCATTTTGTTCCATATATAATATTTATATTATTTGTTTTGGTCTATCCTGTTTAATTGTTTTTTTTAAAATAATTATACATTTTAATTACGTTTTAAATTTCATAATTTATAACTTTTAAATTTTAATTAAATTATTTAGTTATTTTAAGGTTAATATATAATTATATTTATTATATAATAATTGTTTTTAATAAATATAAAATTTTTATTATTTACTAATTATATTTACATAAAACTTTCCTATATAAATTGGTTTGTGAAAGTCTGTAAGAGATATTGAAATTTTCGTTTTGACTAATTATATGTATAATGATATGTTTGTAATTTTTTTTAAAAAAAATTAGGTTATTTTAGTATTATTGTATTATTACTTTAACTAAAAATAGAAAGTGATATTTTGAGTGAAACAAGTAAATATGGTAAAAATAGTACTTTGAATTAGGACGGAGAGGACAGCGAGAGTAATGTATTAGTGAAAGTAATTATTGCATAATAAGTATAACTATATATTAAAATTAAAATAACTAATTAATAAAATAAAGATTATAAATTAAAAAACTTTGAATGAGATTAAAGTATAATTTTTTTTTTTAAAAAAAAAAGAAAAACTATAAAATATGAGACAAACGAAAATGATAATATAGACACGGCTAACAAAGTTTCGTCACTTTAAGTTCTCCGTCCGAAAATATTAATTTTGTATTTTTTATGATCGAATTATACATTTCACGTGTTGAAGTTGTTTTATTCATTTGTTTATTGATTTTCATAATTATGAAGATGTTTGGTGGATTGAATTTTAAATACACTATTCATCCCATTTTTTTCTACCAAAAATAACAAATCAAACACCTATTTTTTATTTTTTATATTATAGTACTAAAAATCAATTTTACATTCAAAACATCACATCAAACTCTATTTATATCACATCATACAACTATTCAAATTCAAAATTTTTACTATTCAAATCCCAACTCAAAATCGAAACCCCAAACAAATGCACCTATCAATGGAATAAATGATTTCATTGTTGGGGATAAATATTATTGAGTTTGATCCCGCAAATTCCCTCGATAATGACATAGGGGTGGCAATTTCAGCCCGGCCCGGTTTTATGTCGGGCCAAAAAATTCAAGCCCCAAACAAGGGCCGGTTAAAAAACGTGCCGGACCAGGCCGAATTTATTTATTTATTTTAATTTCCTTTGATTTTTTAAAAAAATTGAAAAAAACCTCAATTTGATTTTTTTATGCATTTAATTTATATATATATAAAACTATTTTTAAAACATATATTTAATTTAATAAATTATGTTGGGCCAGACACGGCCCGATTTATTCGTGTGTCGGGTCCGATACGGTCTGAAAATTTTCAGGCCTATTTTTTAAGGCCCAGACATGATTTTTTCGTATTCAGATCGAATTTTCGAGTAGTGCCTATTTTTGCTAGTTGCAAACACAAATAACAGTTTTTTAATTTTTATTATTATTTTTTTTTACAGTGATTAATCACATTAAAAAAATATTTTATTTTATTCCTAAAATATCAAGATATTCTAAGACACGTCGTCTAAGCAGGTCATTAATTTTGTGGCTATGCATTATTTGTTGTTATAGCATACATTATTTTATAATTAGAATAAAGTTTATTGAAATTACCAGACTTTGTCCATTCCTATTTAATATATTCACCAAACTTTTTAATGCTAAATAAGACAATTTATTGGCCCAAAAGAGTGAATTTTTAAATTAATATCCATATGTATATATAGGAGGCTTTAATACATTAGGTATAAATCGAATAATAATAATAATAATAATAATAATAATAATAATAATAATAATAATAATAATTCACATAATATATACTTCATTTGTCCCAAAAGTATAGTCATATTGTGTTGGGCATCATATTTAAGAAATATTGATATTGTATCGGTAGTTGGTAAAATGTAAGGATAAATGATTTTTTTGTCATTGTGAGTATATTAGTATAAAAAGTAGTGGCATTTGTGTAATAATAATGAAAAAATATGGATAATTTTACGGTGATATGGTTATTTATGGAAATGAGACTATTGTTTTGGGACGGACAAAAATGATAAACAAGACTATTGTATTAGGACGAATGAAGTATTACAATTGCTTTCAATATAACATATATTAATACAATATATATAATATAGAATGACAATATCGAAATAATTTTGCACAAATTTACTCCATCCGTCCCATAAAAGATGTCTTAATGGGAGTCGGCATGTGAATTAAGAAATAATAATATTTAACTGAGAGCGAGTATAAAGTAGAATATAAAATACTAAATTACCCTTAATTTTTTAAAAGATTTTAAGTAAGTTAGAGTAATAATTAGAGGTAATTGTAAAAAAATATAAATAATTTTATTGTAAAGTAGGGACCACAAATACTAAATAAAAAAACATGACAATTGTTTTAGGATAAAACAAGACAATTTTTTTTAGACGGATGGAGTTAGGATTAATCTGATTAGTTCCTAACAAACAATTCCCATAAAAATAAATAAATAAATAAATAAAAATTTGAAGATTGATATGTGGTTGAATGCCAATTTCTTGCTATTTATTGCAGTGTATTATTATATTTCTATTCTTAAATTTTAGTAAATAATATGTACTCTCCGTCGTGTCTAATTATATGCTCATTTGATCGGGTAAGAGTTTTAAGAAAAATAAATAAAAATAAAAATTTATACTTTTTTGGTAAAGAAAAAAGAAGTAGAAAAATAGTATTTTTTTTTTACTTAAAAAAAAAAAATGAGAATAACTTTCCATCCCTTCGTTTCGATAAAGAAAATTCCTGATTTGTGTATCTCTATATAGAATAGAATGACCGAAATTCCGTTATGATCCAATTCTGACCGGTAATAAATACCGGGGCTTTGCAGTATTTGATTGATCACAATTCTATATATTCCATTTACTATAAAAAATTTTTAATGACAAAAAAAGTAACAATAATTTTAAATGACAAAAAAAAAATAATAATAAATTTAAATGACAGATGAAGTACTATGTATTATTATTAAATGTCTTTTTACTTGTTGATTTTTTTTATGTTTTATTTTTATATTAAATTTTGGAGTGAATGTGATTTTTATAAATTAAAATGATATTTTCTTATTGCAGTAAATTGTAAGATTATATAATAAATAAATCAATAACTTACAAAATAAATAGAACTATTTCTTTTTTTTTCCTTTTGATTTTTTCTTCATCTCCTTATTTATTTATTTATTTTAAAACTATACAATTTTATTTCTGAATAAAAATATATTTATTTTTCGAACGAAATAATGTAGGGTTTGTTCGCAGCTTGATTTTAATTTTTAATTTAAATATTAATTTAAATGTGATATTTTGTAAAAATAAGTAATAACTAATCTTATATTTTCATAAAATTTATTATTATTGCATAATAAAAATAAAATAAAATTCCAAAAAGAACAAAAGTAATAGCAAAGCTTCCAATAACTGAAATTGTGATGCATCAAATCAAAGTTTTTTCTTTTTATTTATTTTTTTAGTTTGATTTAAAATTGAGATATTTGTAAATTTCAGTTTAAATAGTATTTATTATATGATATTTTATGAGAAAATAATATATTATTATTTTTATTAGAAATAGTAAATAAAAATGAGTTTGAAATTATAACCAAATACATATTCGATCCACCTTCTTTTCAATTAACTTGTTTTATTTTCCGTAGATACAATAATCTAAAAAATATTATAATAATAATATTTTAAAATTTTAAGAATAAAATTTAAAATTAAAGTAACTAGTTAATTTAATTAAAATTTTTAAAATATAGATTATAATATTTAAAATCCAACTCAAATGTATAATTATTATTTTTTAAAAAAAATTTATTTAGAATATATAAAATTATATATATATATAAACTTATATATGAGAGAAGTAGTATAATAATATTGTTATAAATAAATATAGTTTAAAATATATTTGTATGAATTAGACTATCAAAATGACAAAATGCATTAGTATTGAATGGATGAAAGTAATATAATTTATATTTTTGAAAGTTTTTCATTGTAATAACATTTTTTAATAATATATAAAAAAAAACATAAAAATAGCACATTCTTAATTTTTGTATAAATTATAAATATAATATTATATACAATTCATTAAAGTCATTGAAAAATTCTTTCACTTTTTTTTTACATATTTTAATGTGACTTTTTGCTTTTTATAAGTAATAGTTTTTGATAAAATAACCAAATCTAATTTTTTATAACAGAAAAAAAAATTATATATTTTCTATTAAAAAAGATATTATTTTATAGGAGTATATAAAATATAGAAGACAATTTTAATTAAAATATTCTTACTCATACTCCCGAAGTCTCACTTCTCATGTTCATTTTTCTATTTTTGTTCGTTCCACCTATTTTGTCACTTTTATTTTTTTGGATAATAATTATACACTTTAATTTTATTTTAAAAAATTTAATTTATAATTTTTTTAATTTTAATTATACTAACCAATTATCTTAATTTTAATCTATAATTATTTTTATTATACGATAATTATTTCAGTAATACATTTTTAATTATTTACTAATTATACTCTTTCTAAATTTCCGTGTCTACGGTAACGCAGACAAAATATCTGAGACTTATTATTTATCAATAAAATATTATTAATTTTAATATATTAAAATAAGAGAAATATATTAGGTCCGCCCGACTTATAAGATTTCATTTATTTTTATATGTTTATTTATTATATTAAAATATAGTATAAATTAAAAAAAATTTTAAAACTAATATCTTATAATATTAATAAAAACATTTATATAAATATAACAATATTTGTAATAATTAGAACCATTACGAATATATATTTATATAAGACGAAGAAGTAAATATATTATTAATACGTCTGCATATAAAACAAAAAAATAAAATGCAATAAAAACACATCCAGAATTATTTTTTTCTAATAATTAATAAAATAAAAAATGTCAATGCAAACTGCATTCACACAAATGAGTCTCAGCAAAGGGTTCCCAAATTGCTCTCAAATCCATCTATCCATTTCGAATCAATCATCGAAAATTCTTATATTTATAGAGAGAGAGAGGGAGAGTGGTGCAGTTTAGGAGCTCGTGAAGAGATAGATAGATGAAATTAGAGAGAGAAAGATACAAAAATGGTGGAGAGAAACGTTGGAGTTGTCGCTGAGTTGTTGGGGGCAGAAAAATGAAACCTCTTCTTGTCTTTTTATAATTTTTCCAATTTGTGGATTGAAGGGTTTTGTGTAGAGAGAGAAGGGGGATAGAGTGAGAAAAATGAAGCATCGGCGAGGTTAAATCCATTGGGTTTGATCTGTTTGGAATTTCCAGATCCTAATTTGGGGTTCTAGAGAGAGAGAGATTGAAGAATGAATCCCAATCCCATTTTGGGATAGAATCAATTTTTTCTTTTTTGAATTTGGGTGGGGATTTGGTGATTTCTCGCTCTTTTTGGTTGTTTGTAGAGAGAGAAAACTGATTCGATCAAGAACAATGATGGATGATGATTCTGATGGATCTGAGTTTGTTGAAGTTGATCCGACAGGAAGATATGGAAGAGTATGATTGTTTATTCAATTTTTAATCTTTTTTTTAGCTAAATTCCTCTTCTTTTCTCACTCATCATTTCCTTTTTGATTTCAGTATAATGAGATTCTTGGAAAAGGTTCTTCAAAGACTGTGTATGTAGTTTCTCACTCTTCATTTCCTTTTTTGTCCATTCATTCAAGTAATTTAGTAAGTTCATATATTTAAATATGTGATTTATGGGCTTGTTTGGATGTAAAATTTTAATTTTTGTAGTTATAAGGGGATTGATGAGTATGAAAATTTGTGATTTATGGGCACTTTTGAATGTAAAATTTTAATTTTTGTAGCTAGGAAGGGTTTTGATGATATGAAAATTTGTGGTTTGTGGGCATGTTTGAATGTAAAATTTTAATTTTTGTAGCTACAAGGGTTTTGATGAGTATGAAAAATTGTGATTTATGGGCACTTTTGAATGTGAAATTTTTGATTTTGTAGCTATAAGGGTTTTGATGAGTATGAAAATTTGTGATTTATGGGCATGTTTGAATGTAAAATTTTAATTTTTTGTAGCTACAAGGGTTTTTGATGAGTATGAAAATTTGTGAGTTATGGGCATATTTGAATGTAAATTTTTGATTTTGTAGCTATAAGGGTTTTGATGAGTATGAAGGGATTGAAGTGGCCTGGAATCAATTGAAGCTACACGATTTCTTGCGAAGCCCCGAGGATCTCGAGAGGCTTTATTGTGAAATTCATTTGCTAAAGACGTTGAAGCATAAGAACATAATGAAATTCTTCACTTCTTGGGTTGATACCGCCAACCGGAACATTAATTTCGTCACCGAGATGTTCACTTCCGGCACTCTTCGACAGTAAGTGGATTGCGATTGTAGCAATATGTTCGTTGTGGATGATAATAGCAGTTCTATTTGTATGTGGAATTTGAAGTGTTTTGGTTGTTCATAAATCTCGATTTTTTCATTGGATTGTGTCGAGCATGAATAATTTGATTTTCATTGTGTTGCGTGGAAGTTGTGTATTGAATTGGAGTGTTTTAATGGTTCCTAAATTATGATTTTCCATTATATGGTGGCGGGCACAACTGATTTGTTTTTCATTGTGTTGTAATCCGAGCATTTTAGTGGTTCCTAACTTGGAATTTTCCATTGCATGGTGGCGAGCACGACCGAATTGTTTCTCATTGTGTTGTAGTGAATGTGTATTGAAATCGGAGAATTTTAATGGTTACTAAATCTGGATTTTCCATTATATTGTGTCGAGCATGAGTAATTTGATTTTCGTTGTGTTGTGCCAAATGTGTGTATCGAAATTGTAGTGTTTTAGTGGTTCCAAAAATCTCTATTTCTCATTATATCATGGCGAGCACGAACAATTTGATTTCATTTTACTGTGATGAATGTGTGCATCTGAATTGTAGTGTTTTAGCGGTTACTAAATCTGGATAATCCATTATATTGTGTCGAGCATGAGTAATTTAATTTTCAATCAGAGTGTTTTATTGGTTCCTAAATCACGATCTTCCATTATCTCGCGGCAAGCGCGATTGATTTTATTTTCATTGTGTTGTGTCGACTGTGTATCAAAATCAAAGTCTTTTAGTGGTTCCTAAATCTTTATTTTCCATTATATCGTGACGAGGATGAATGGTTTTGATTTTCATTGCTTTGTTCCGGATGTGAGTATTGAAATTGAACTGTTTTGTCCTAAAGTTTGATTTTCCATTCGATTGTGGCAAGCATGAATGATTTGATCTTCATTGTGTTGTGCCGAATATTTGGTTGTCTTACTACGGCAAAAGAATCATTTCAATTTTCGTTGAATCTTTTATCGATGAGTTCATTATTACAACCACCTTAGTACTTGATTCTTGTAATAATTGATCCTATTTTACACTCTTTTAGATTCTTGTTTCGGCATGGTTTATAATCTTAATTTGCTCGGGTTGTTCGTAGTTCTCTAAATCTTAGATATTGTAACAATCTACTTGCGTTCATTATGCAACACAATTTAGGTGTTTTTTTGCTGTGTACGTTCTTTTTGGAATTTGATGGTTTTTTAAGTAAAATAGTCGTTGGCAGGAAAATTGTGAAATTGCATAGTAAAAAGAAAAAAAGAAGCTCGAAGAGAACAAACACTACCTTAAATTCTTGTGCATCCTTAATCTTACATTGCTTGTTATGTTTCATGGTTCCTTACCCCTCGGATTTTATTGATAGCCAGTTTATTTACTTTTAGATTCTTACATTGTCGTGGTTTATAATGTCGTTTGCCTCACTTTGTTTTGGTACTTTGATCCTCATTATGTTCTAATGAATAATTTGGATTTTCGTCGTTATTCTCACTCACTCATCTTACAATTTGTTGTTGTTGTCATGTAAAGGTTTCGGATGAACCATAAACGTGTACACATCCGAGCGATCAAGCATTGGTGTCGACAGATATTGGAGGGCCTTCATTATCTCCATAGCCATGATCCTCCGATAATTCATCGGGACCTAAAGTGTGACAATATCTTTATCAATGGCAATCAAGGCGAAGTCAAGATCGGTGATCTCGGCCTTGCTGCAATTCTTAAGAAATCTCACGCGGCTCATTGTGTAGGTATAACTTTTTCGCCTTTGGTTACGATTTTTTTAGGTGCAAAATACAACGAGCTTTGATAATTTCGATCGCTCACAATTTTAGTTCTTTTAGAAGTATCTATTTCTATTTTATTGTCAAGACTCGGTGAAAATTAATTTAGTCCCGTTGCTAAGATGAAAATGAGAGATTACTTTATCGTGATTTTAGTCCTATAATCCATTTTGAAAAAAACACATGGTCGTTGGATTTTTTAGATTCTTGTTATTGACACGAATTCTGTGACGCTAAATTTAGTCTAGACTTTATATTTTAGCTATCGAATTCTAGTGAGATTGAAGAAATGATATTACCAATTTTAATGACTTATATATGTTTGTATGTGAGAATTATACATTTTGATTCAATGAATCGAACATCATCACCTATTACATTGATTCCGTTTTTTTATGTTTTTAGGGACACCGGAATTCATGGCTCCTGAAGTATACGATGAAGAATATAACGAATTAGTTGACATTTACTCATTTGGCATGTGCATTCTAGAAATGGTGACCTTCGAGTATCCGTATAGCGAGTGTTGTCATCCCGCGCAAATTTACAAGAAAGTTGTCTCCGTACGGCCCCGTACCTATTTAACTTTCATTCGACGCGTATTTGCCGTTGTGTCATATTTTGAATCATTTATTGTGTTTACTTTGTTTCAGGGAAAAAAACCGGATTCGCTATACAAAGTGAAAGATCCCGAGGTTCGACAATTCATCGAGAAATGTCTAGCATCGGTGTCGGATAGGTTGTCCGCTTGGGAGCTTCTCAACGATCCATTTCTTCAAACCGACGATTATGTTAATGATCTATTCCCGCTAACTTATCAATACCCGAGTTTGAATCGATGCCTTCGCGACGCTCATCGTAGCACTTCGGGCTCGTTGGTGAACGGGTACGCAAATTTTCTCGGTTACGAACATGAAAATGACTTTGAAAGGTACTCGGTTGCGAACGAGATGGATTTATTCGCGAGTCAAGATTACGACCGCTCGGAGAACATAGACGTTACGATCAAAGGGCAAAGGAGGGAGGACGACAACATTTTCTTAAGACTCCGAATCGCCGACAAGGAAGGTAGTGTTTTATTTTCGGTTGTTGTTAGAGTTTTCGTACGACCGTCGAAGTTTAAAATAAAATTGTGGTATCCCGATGGATAGGTCGTGTCCGCAACATTTACTTCCCGTTCGATATCGACACGGATACGGCTTTGAGCGTTGCGACCGAGATGGTGTTTGAATTAGACATCCACGATCACGATGTTACCAAAATCGCGGAGATGATCGACAACGAGATTTCCTCGTTGGTGCCGGATTGGACAAGCGAGTTGCGTATCGAAGATATCCCGGATCCTAAAACCGACAATTGTTGCCACAATTGCGGCTCAATTGCCGGCTACTTGTCCTCCGAGCGATCGGGTAAGAACGTGCAAGTTCTTCGATGCTCGAAACAAGGTTGCGGCACCGTGCACGGTCGATTTGAAGAGATTACGTATAAAGTCGAAGGGTCCGAGCAAAAACATATCGCTGCCGGTTTGCTCGACGACGGGGTCAATAATCCGGGCGACGGGCCATTTACCGACATATGGGCGCAACATGAGGGCGGGCCTAAGGTAAACGCCCAACTCGACGACAACGACGACCATTTTATCGATGAACACAAAAATTCGAACCACTTTGCCGAGAAGGACAATATGATCGATGACGATCGATCTTTGTTTACTGAGAAAGCCTTGATTCAACCGGAGGACTACGAAAATGAGATTCGACAAGAGATGAGATGGCTTAAAGCCAAATACCAAATGCAAATAAGAAAACTCCGAGATCAACAATTAGGCGTCGTATCGCGATATTCCGACCCGAATTTTGAAAAATTACGGGCTGTATCGCGACATTCAAACCCGGGTTTTGAAAAAGTCGAAGAAATGGCTCGCGAAGACGGGAACGGCGAGGTAACTCCCGACTATAATGGGACGTTCGACGGGTATGAGTCGATATGCGATACGTTTGGTGGGCTAAACATAGGCGCAGCACGCAACCTCTATTCGAAACATTTTTTACCTAACTCGCTTCATCGAGCGACGTCTTTACCGGTCGATGCGACAGATGCTTAACTTCGTGTCGTGTTCGTATACTAATGTATTTCTTCGACAGATACTTAACTCCGTGTCGTGTGCGTATACTAATGTATTTCTTCGACAGATACTTAACTCCGTGTCGTGTTCGTATACTAATGTATTTCTTCGACAGATACTTAACTCCGTGTCGTGTGCGTATACTAATGTATTTCTTCATGTATTTTGAATTTGATACATCGATAAAAATTTTGAATTAAAATAGTTGTTTGAGTGTTGATTGATATTTATTTATTGGTATCTGATATTCTCACATATGTAAATTTTGTATTTAATATTTGTTTTCTATATTATATGTATTTGTACTTTTGTTTATTTATTTTTTTCACAACTATTGTAGTACATAACTTTTACTATTAATTTATAAAAAGTGAAGGCTTCTCTTTTCATTGAACAATAATTAAATTTATTACTCCTTCCCTTCCATAAGCACGTAATTTTAAAAATATTACTATTATATTATGATGTAATAGAAATAAATTAGATACGATTAAAATAACTTTTTTATTAGTATGTGTGATGTAATATAAAGATAATAACATTTGTGTAATACTCTCTCCGTCCAATTTTTATTGTCCTAAAATATATTTGCACGATTTTCTAGGTGATTGTCTTTTGTCATGAATCGACAAATTTGCCCTTAATTGTATGGTATAGATGAAAAATAATAAATGAATGAAGGGTAAAAATGTAAAAAAAAAAAAGATATAGGACAATAGTTGTTGGACATTCCAAATAGGAAAGTAGGACGTTAGTTTGTGGACAGAGGGAGTATATTGTAAGTTGTAAGAGTATTTGTAATATTAGGTAGATAGTACAGTTACTAAAAAAGAAAATAAATAATTTGTTATGAAACGGATTAAAATGAAAAAATAAATACGTTGTTACGATACGAACGGAATATTATTTTTTAAAAAATATATTCATTTCCTCCCAAAGGGATTTAAAATGAATTTAAGAAGTACTAGTTAAAATTGAATTTTGATAGAAAAAATATATATATTTTTTTCCTTAAACTATTTATTTCATTAATAAACATGTATTTTATTTATAAAAAAATTGTATATTTCTCATCACTATTAGAATAATGCCACACTTATTTTAACATATTCGAGGTAAAATTATTTATTTTCATTCTATTATTATATGTTTCACTCAAGTATTTTTCAATAAAAAAATCAATTATTCATTTCATTCTATTATTATCTGTTTCACTCAAGTATTTTTTAATAAAAAAATCAATTATTCTAACATAAAATATTATTTTTTTATATTACCAATACAGTTTTCAAATTTATGTAACTAAGTGAACAAACCGATTATAATATTATTTTAAAATTTAGGTACAAAACAAATAAATAGATACATTGTTTGAAAGAAAAAAGAACACTACTATTAAAAATTTTGAGACAATATTATTTCATAATAAATAATTTGTTTTTAATTTGTGTTTGTTTTGTGATATTGTTTGGAATGAATTTTTTTTATATAAGATATAGAGAATTGGTAAAAAATATAAAAATAATAAATATATATATAAAATATAAAAATAATAAATATGCCTAAAAAAATATAAAAATAATGAATATATATGTAAGAAATATAAAAATAATAAATATGTATATGAAATATAAAAATAATGAATATGTATACTGTATTAATTTATTTTTTAAAAAAACCTGTGGAAATAAATAATAAAAAGAATAAAATGTGATATGAATTTTTTGTCATTCGATAAACTTTTATTAAAAAACAACTTCTTTTTTTTTTTTTTTTTTTTTACACTTTTGTTTTCTATGACAGAAAACAAGACTAATTTATTTTATTTGGGTATAGTTATTTATTTATAAGATTCTATTTTGGATTTAATTTTAATAGTAAAAATTTAAATTTAAATAATTATTTAATGAATATCTATTTAATACTTATTTCTCATCTCCTAAAAGTTATATTTAACTTTTTGCGATATTATACTTAGTATTGAAAATATCATTATATTTGTATAATATTTTGTATAAATGTATTTTTATTAGTATTACAAGACACTCTGAAAGTATTTTTGCAATTCTTTCTTAATTTGTATTATATTTTGATATAATAATTAATATTAAAAAATTTACATAAAAAAAAGTATGAACTCTTAGAACCCGAAGAAAATAATAATATTTTTTAAATGTTAAATTAAATTTTAATTTAATATAATAAATAAGAAATAAAAATTAATTTTTTTATTAGTTTTTTTAAAGAAAAAAAATAAAGAAATTAAGATTAGTGTAAAATCTTATAAATAAATCTATCAAAGGGGGGAGTATTAATGTAAGTAAATACCAATAAACTATATGAAATATTATATATATATTTATATATATTGTAATTTGTAAAGCGGAAGAAGACAGGGATGTTTGTATATATACAAGAAGCGATGTTGGGATCCTTTTGCCGCAGATGATTTTTCTTGCTTTTTTCGATTTCTTCTCTGCCTTGCAGCAGCTGCTTCTGCACCCCAATTCATCTTCGATTCCTTCAATCCAGCCGATTTCTTTCAAGGTAAGGTAAAAGCCGCAAACGCATCACTCGATTTTTCATTTTTTCCGATAATCGGTTGGTCGCTGCCTGCTGTTTGTTGTTTGTTCGTTTGTTGAGTGTTCGAGGGGGGACAGTTTTTCCGCGGTTCCGCTTTTCAGATCTGATTTCACAATTCAGTGCGTCTCTATGTTTCGTTGAATGCAATTGGGGGCGGAATTGGATTCAATTTGATCGGAATTGAGTGAGGTTGGGGGTTTTCATATGTAGGGAGGAGGATGGAGAGGAGCGTAGGATCGGGAGGAGTGTTGAAGAAGAAGAGTTCGTCGGGGTGTTTGATCATCAAGCAGAACAGGAATTCACGAGGATTGGGGGATTTGGCGAGCGTTAATGGCGGTAAAGAGAAGAAACGAGCGAGAGTGGCTACGAGTTCTTCTTCGAGCTCGAGCGACGAGGACGAGTCGTTGGAGCTGATGAGAAGGAGAGTGAATGAGAGGAGGCTGCACAATGGTTCATCGATGGTGGGGCACCATAAGAGTGGGTATGCGTTTGAGAACAGGGACAATGTAGGAACCGAGAGGAAGAGAAGTAGGTTGGACTTATTTGATTTCGACGAGTATGACGAATTTGATATCAACAAGGCAAGAAATGAGTATCCGGAGAATAGGTTTATGCCGGTAGGGGTTGGAGTTGGTTCATCACAGAAAAGGAATTTGGTGGTTGATAAACGAAGGCGGGGTTTGAATTTCAATAGTTTGAGGAGTAAAGGGGTGGAGTTAGAGGATGATGATGCAAACATGCCGATTTCGTTGTTGAGGTTGAAGTGTAAGGAGAATGGCGACAAGCCGATCAGATTGCAGGGGAAGAATGGTGTTCTTAAGGTAATGGTGAATAAGAGGAAAAAAATGGATTTACCTTCTCAACAGAAGAGTTATGACAGTCGAGGTGTTAATGAGAGGGAAAGCTCGTGGTCAGATGACGGTGCCAAGAGGGACTTATTGCCGCGATCTCCGATGTATGCTGTAACAAATTTACCTGAAAACAAAGGGATGTTCGTTGACAAGGAGAAGAGTGTCGAGAAGGTAAAAAGGAAGGGAAAAAAATCGAACAAGGTTAGTAGTAAGTCTGAAGATTCAGATGATGACAAAGGGACCGAAATTTTTTTGAAGATGGCACCACATGCGAAAAGGAGAATGAAAAAGGAGGACGACGACGAAAGAACACCAGCTCCTGAAAATCTTGGTTCTGTAAAAGGGAAAGAAGCGAAAGCCAAGCGTGGTGGTGGAAGTACTGAAAAGCAAATGTTGCGCGAGAAGATAAGAGGAATGTTGGTTGATGCTGGATGGAGTATCGATTATAGGCCGAGAAGAAACCGCGAATATTTAGACGCCGTTTATATAAATCCTAGTGGAACAGCTTACTGGTCGATTATAAAGGCTTACGAAGCGCTAAAGAAACAGTTGGAGGAAGAGAATGGTAAAAGTGATGCCATTGTTGCATCTCCTCTCTCTGATGATCTGATAAACAAACTTACTCGGCAAACAAAAAAGAAAATGGAAGATGGCGCGAGCAAGAGTGTCAAGAAGCCAGCTGTTAAGCAAGCTGCAGATGATTCAGACAGCGAGAATGAGGATAATGCTAAGATTGGAAAATCGGACCAAGATAGCGATGATGAGGAAGATGTGCCGAGAAGAAAGCCGGCGAAACAAAGAGCTGAGAAATCTTCTGCTGCTTCGAAGGGTAATATCATACAGGGAAGAACGAGTAAAGTTTTAGGGAGATGCACACTTCTTGTTCGTGGTTCCGAGCAAGGGGGAAATTCGGATTCTGATGGTTATGTTCCGTACAAGGGGAAAAGAACCGTATTGGCGTGGTTGATTAACACAGGGACAGCAAAATTGAGCGAAAAGGTTCAGTACATGAACCGGAAAAGGACTCGAGTGTTGTTAGAAGGTTGGATCACTAGTGACGGAATCCATTGTGGTTGCTGTAGCAAAATCCTTACTGTTTCGAAGTTTGAGCTGCATGCTGGAAGTAAGCTGCGGCAACCCTTCCAAAACATATTGTTGGAGTCGGGATCATCCCTTTTGCAGTGTCAGGTCGATGCATGGAATGGTCAAGATGTTTCCCTGTGCCGGGATTTCCATACTGTTGATGTAGATGGTGATGATCCAGATGATGACACTTGTGGTATTTGCGGTGATGGAGGTGATTTGATCTGTTGCGATAGTTGTCCATCGACTTTCCATCAGATTTGTCTTGAAATACAGGTAATTTGGTAGTTCGTATTTTGTCTGCTTCTATGTTTTTTTTTTGTTTTTTTGTTTTTTTAATTTTAATTGAATGAGATGCCGAGGTTCTTGTCGTCTTCCTTTTATTGCAGATACTTCCTAAAGGTGATTGGCATTGTCCAAATTGTAAGTGCAAGTTTTGCGGGCTTGTTGAGGGGGAGGTTGCTGAGGAAAATCGTAGCGCTGGCAATGAGCTTAATCGATGCAGTTTCTGTGAGAACAAATGTAATGTGATTTATATGTTACTTTATTGCTTTAGTCCATGTTTCGCATACACACACTCTCGTAATCTCAACATTGACATGAATTCTGTTTTTAAGGTTATTCGTCTAAAATCTGCCCTTTTTAATTTTGTAGATCACAAATCATGCAGCGAAAGTGTGCTTGCTTCATCCATGATTTCGAATGGTGGATCTTTCTGTAGTCCAAAGTGTCAAGAGGTATTAATATCAAGTTTTTTCGCATCATAGAATTAACATTTTATCGGATTTTTGGGGTATATTGTTGATTTTGATTTTCCAGCTTGAAGGAAGTGTTGGTGACGATCTTTTTTAATTTTTTACGCTCTACAGATATATGAACATTTGCAGAAGAATGTTGGAGTCAAACATGAATTAGATGCAGGATTTTCGTGGTCTATTATTCAACGAACAGATGTTTCTGATGCCTCACAACGTGGATTTTCCCAAAGGGTCGAATGTAACTCTAAACTAGCCGTCGCTTTATCTGTTATGGATGAGTGTTTCTTGCCAATCATTGACCGGAGGAGTGGGGTTAACATTGTACACAATGTCGTCTATAATTGCGGGTAAGCAGTTCTTGGCATGCTTAAGCAGGTGTATGAATTGTGTAAATTTCTTCAGCCTAAATTACTGTAACGCCGAGATTCTTGTGTATGGTATAACTAGTGAAAGAAAATCGATGTTCTTGTCGTGCTTACCTGATTCAGTGAAAAAATTTGTTTAATCTCTGGTTTTGGTTCCTCGACTTTTATGGTCATTTTTCTTTTTCTCATATAATTATAGTTTTGAATAAGGAAAGGAGTGCACTTCCCCTTGGAATTACTACTTGTCGTGCTTATAATTGTTATCCTCTCTAATTCATGGTTGGTTTCTCTAATCGTTGCAGATCAAATTTTAACCGGCTGAATTTTAATGGGTTTTATACGGTAATTTTGGAGAGGGGTGATGAAATAATGTGTGCAGCATCTATCAGGTGATAAATCAGTACTTTTACTTTGCCTTCCGCGAACTTAAAAATTACGTATGTTTCAATGCCTCAGAAAATCCATTCAGCTTGATCACGGAATTATTTTGTTCGTATGCGTGAAACCCAAATATACATGCGGATAATTATGATCTTGATACACCCTTGATTTTTCTATATCTGTCTTTACCTACTGTTATTATTATTTAAAGATTGATTCTTTGTTCGATTGTGGGGCAGCTGATGAATGCACTATAATCTGGTTAAACTTAATTGTTACTCTTAACAATATTGCACTTTATCCTGAGAAACTGAGTTTTTTTTTTTTTTGATCGGAACTGAGTTTTGATCTTATGTAGTACTGATCTTTCTAATCGCCCCTTTTGGAACCCGAGTCAGGAAAAGTTCGGTCTTCCTTGGAACATTAGTTTGCATATATTGAACACTTATTTTTACAAGAAAAAAAATAAAAAAATCTCTCCTTTATAAACTTCTGCAAGATTCTACGATATTGTGTTTATCATTGTTGGCTGCCTCATGACACTAAGTCCAAGTCGAACATTGCTTTAGAGTCGAGACTAGGAAAAAATGGGAGTTTTCGAATTGGATCTTTGGGCCATATATAAATCTACTATTTCCATATTAATGTCTTACTTAAAATATGAAATACATTACGTATATAAATATATGAAAAGGCAAAATATTCTACCGTGGCTGCTAATTCTTTTAACAGAGTACTGATTTCTTAAATTATCGACGTTCTTTTAGATACTTGACCAAAGCTTGACTACTTTGTTGCTAGTGAAGATAAGAGATTAGCTCTGAATTATGCTAATAACTACTTTTGAGGATATTTCGAAGTAATAATAGAAAATAGCGTTGAGTGATGTCGCCACCATTTTTATCATTTATGGTGAAGCTGATGGTGGATTTGTTTTTCCCTTCTAGGCTCCGCGGAACTCATCTTGCTGAAATGCCATTCATCGGGACTCGTGAAATGTACAGGCGGCAAGGAATGTGCCGGCGCCTTCTGTCTGTGATTGAAACCGTAAGAATTTCCTAATCTCACTTGATCTTCCATTGTACAGGTCGATTTCTGTTTTCTTAACTAACTCGGAAATGTGAAGTTCACTTGGGGTGTGTTTGTTTAGGGGTTTGAATTTTGGGTTTGGGATTTGAATACGATATAAAATATATGTTAAGATGTTATATTTTGAATGTATTAATTTTTAGTATAATATAAAAAAATAAAAAATAGACGTTTAATTCGATTTTTTGGAGGAAGAAAATTCGATGAATAGTAAGATTTTGATAAAATCCAATAAACGCAATGTGTTCTTAAATCTGAATTTGTGATTTTTTCCGGGCATACTTCATTTAATTGATCGAGTTATTGAATGCAAACTTTCGTAATTCCAGGAGCTTCGCTCTCTAAAAGTCGAACGACTGATCATTCCCGCCATATCCGAGCATACGAGCACATGGACTACAGTTTTTGGATTCCATAAACTCGACGATGTTCACAAGAAAGAAATTAAGTTAATGAATTTGCTGGTGTTCCCCGGCACCGATATGCTGCAGAAGCAGTTGCTGAAGCTCGAAAACTCCGGTAACATTCATGTTTTTTTTTTTGTCTCGGCACTACTTCTCGATTATCCTTTATTTTATCTAATCGAGACCTTTTTTTTCTCCAATGGCAGAAGTGAATATATCTGAATCGACCAAGAATCTCCCCAAATTACCCGATCTGGTTGAGAAATTTGATACGGATTCACCACCGGATCATGCTCGACAGGCGAGCAGTGATTCCGGGGTCGACGCGCCTGAGCTTTCTTCAAACCTCGACAAAGAAAGTGAATCCTGTGCTCGCCCGAAACGCTCGCCTGTTCCAGAAAACGATAATTCTACAAAACTGCTCGAAACGACTAATTCGGACTCGGCTGCTTGCGCAATCGATGCTGCCGGCGGGAATTCGACATGAGGTTAGGTTTGTGTTTCTTAGATGTTATTTGATGCAGTGAGTTTTTGGTGTGTGGTGTTATTAGGATTTAGGAGATATATATATATATATACATAGATATACATATATGATGATTTTGGTTGAGAATTTGAAATGATATGGATGATGAAGAAGATGATGATTTGATTTGATCTGTTGTATAAGAGTAAGGTGGTTATTTTATGGTTAGTTCTTGCTGCTGCTGCACAACTATGATCTGCAATTCTGTATATTTTCTATGTAGATTTGTAGTTTTGTATCTTTTAACGATATTTGCTTCTAAATATTTTATATAATTTTTGTGAGTAAAATAAATAAACAAATAATTAATTAATAGTTTATTTTTATAATTTTTGTCTAATTTTTATAAAAATTATAAAAATAAATCGATCAATTGTTTGTTTATATATTTTATTCTAATTTTTCTTTTAAAGATATTTTAAGTGTTAGCTAAATTTTTATTTAAAATCAAATATAAGTTTTGAACAGAGTGTTCGTGCAAATTTTAAGGTAACATAAGAGAACACAAGATGATGTTATATAATTTAAAATTGTGTATTTTTACAAGTAGTTGTTACTTTTACATCATACAAACCCCGAAGCCTCATGTCACCTACCTGCCTGTCGGACGAGTTTGTAGGGTATTAGATTCGACCGGGAGTTTACCCAGTGCGCACTTTCAATGCATAGTAATGTAATAATAGTATATTTTTGTTAAAAATTATACATTTACAACTCTATTTTTTTTTTTTAAAAAAATTAGGTTATATTAATTATAAATAAATAAAAATAAATTTTTATTTAGTTGTATTATAAAATTTTATTTTTTACAAAATGCTGGTATATCTTTTATTGTCATATCATTTTTAATAAATATTTAAATGCATATTCTAATTTTGTAATCATATATTTTAAATTTATTTTAAAACTATCAATATTATTAATTATATAAAAAATAACATTATAAGTCATTATTATTAACTAATTAAACAATATTTCATTGTATATAAAAATCTTATATAAAATGTAAAAATGTTCCATTTCAATTATCTTCATTTCTTTTTATTTGTCCTATTTCAATTAACATCTATTTTTTTTTAATTTATTAAATTTTTTAAATATATTTAACAAATATAAATTAATTTAATTAACTTTCTAATATATAATATTATACATGAGACCACTCAAAACCCAGCCAATAAATAAATATTTTATTGAGATGTAATATTTAAAATATTTAAACACATATTTTAAATTTATTTAAATTATATATTAATTCTTATTTTAAATTATTAACAATATTATTCATATAAAAATATAATAAAATAATATAATAATTTATTATTACTATTTTTATTAATTAATTAAATTATTTTATTTTGTCCAAGTAAAATTATTATTAACTAATTATAATAATATCACAACTTATTATTATTATTATTATTATTATTATTTATGTAAATATTTTTTTTTAAGATTTGCTTTTATTTATTTAAACGATAGTGTCCCAATGCGACTAGAACGTGTTAGGGGCATTTACGTCATTCTCCATTCTGAAAATCGTGTGGTTTAAACACGCGACTTCAATTAACCAGTTAAGTTAACGCAACCTATTCCCATTTTCCTCTCGTCCGCCGCTCCTCCTCCGCCGCCGCCGCCGCTATCGCCGCCGGCTCGGATTACTCCAGGCATGCAGCTTTCGATCGTTCACCGTTCACTCAGCCGCTCCTTTCCGCCTCAGTCGCGCCTCTGTACCTCCCCGATTCATCATCTCTCGCAGAGTGTTAACTTCTCTGTACAACCTCAGCAGCGCAAAGTGCAACGCGTCGCAATGGAATCCACAATCCCTCGCGCCTTGGACGACAACGGTTCTCCTTCGATAGTATCAGCTAACGGTATCCGAATTTCGAACTCAGAAAATGATCTCACGGTCTTTTGAATTTTGTGCCGATTTTTTTGGTTTGTAGTTACTGTAGGCGGAAGAATTGGCGAGGTAAAGAGGGTTACGAAGGAGACGAATGTGAGTGTGAGGATTAATCTGGATGGCGACGGCGTTGCCGAGAATAATACTGGCATTCCTTTTCTGGATCACATGCTTGATGTAAGTGTCAATTTTGTGTTCTGTTGATATGAAATTGAGCATTAGAACATGTTTATTGGTTATATCTGAGTGAAAATTTGATTGTGTTGTAGAAGCACTGTAGGGTAAGTTGTTTTGTGGTACTTTAAATCTTGAATTGTGTTGAATGATAACTTCAATTTGGCCAAAAGGTTTAGTCAGACATGGAGATGATGCATCATTTTATGTTTGATTATATTGAAATTTTTCTAGTAGCATTTTTGCTCCTTGTTGGCGAAGTTCATTGTTATAATCTTGTTCGTGGCAGGGATTTTATTGAACTTATGGTACTGCAATCGATGGTTGCTTTGCCTATAAGCTTGAGATGGTTGAATTATACAGTGTTTGTGTTAATTATATTAAATTTTTTCCATAGGTGCCGGAGAGTGCAAGGGGAGATCCTTTTTGTAAAGTGTTGTGATGTAGTCTTCTATATTCATAACTCAATGCTAGGAATTTTGGGTCTGATCCCTTGGTATTTATTTTGTGAGTGTTTGTGTCAATATGTGGCAGCAAGTGCAAGCGGAGATTTTTCTTGTAAAGTGTTGCTATGCAATCATCTATATTTTCATAACTCAATGCTAGCGATTTTGGGTTTTTTCCCTTGGTATTTATTTTTTTTGTCTGTTTGCGTCAATACGTGGTGGCAAGTGCAAACACAGATCTTTTCGTAAAGTGTTGCGACTAATCTTCTATATTTTCATAACTCAATATTGTTCCCTAAGTATTTTCTTCTGTGGTTGTGTTTAGGTTTTGATGTTTTTGAGGTGAAATTATTATTGGATGTGATTATTTATTTATTTATTTTTTATCGAAAATGTATGCTAGATGTGACCCTTTTTTTAGAAAATAAGTGCTGGATGAGATTTGTGCGTGTATGTGTGTGTGTGGAAAAGAAGGAAAAAAATGAAAGGATAAAAAATCCTTTGAATGTGGGTTTCTACACTAATGCTGACACCTTTAGTTCATCAATATTTGATTAGGGTGTTGGAGAACAGTGTCGGTGCAAGTTTTTAACTTTGAATATACAAGTTGGGTGTTTTGTTTTATTTATTTATTTATTTTTAATGAAATATTTGCAAATATTGACCATTTGAACATTAATATGATATTTTGATTCCAGTGGCTTCTGTGTGCAATTAGCTTAATATTCTATTGACAATGTACTTTGGGGTTGCTGTTTTTACCGGTTTCAATTAATTGAGTGCTAACTGAATGGTTTGTCTTTTTATTGGTTTCAGCAACTTGCTTCACATGGATTATTCGATGTCCATGCTAAGGCTACTGGAGATATTCATATCGACGATCATCACACTAATGAAGATGTTGCCTTAGCAATTGGAACAGTAAGTTCCCAATTTTGTAAGCAATTTCCTGTTTCATATTCATCTGTATACGATTCATTATTTGCTGTTTTTTACTGGACACATGGATTTCTTGTTCGTTTTGAATCGGCCAATTCGGTTGCCACATCTGATAGTGCTATCCTATGTTCTGCAGTGTAAAATAATCTGTGTATGTTTTTATGAAATGTATAAATATGTATATACTTTAAATAAGATTGCTGTATTATTCATTATTGGATTAGATATGCTTTCAAGATGATGTCCAAAGTGAAGCGGTGTGACTCCTGCAAGCACCTATGCATGCAAAAAATTTAATTGTCGTACGAATTCCTCTTGTTTACTTGCAGTATTTGTTGCAATTAGTCTGAAATCAACACGAAAATCCATTTTTGCTCATGCAGGCAATGCTGCAAGCACTCGGCGATAGGAAAGGAATCAACCGGTTTGGAGATTTCTCAGCTCCACTTGATGAAGCACTTGTTCATGTTGCACTGGTAATATTTTGAATGACAAAGGCTCCGTTTAGATATATCTTTAGGAGTTTTAGAGTTTTGGAAAATTTTGAAAATAGTAAAAAGTTAGTATTTGGTTTGATTTTTTGTAAAATGAAATTGATATTTGATGTGATGTTTTTTTTTTTTTTTTTTTTTTCTTCTTAAATTACTATTGGTAAATAGTGTCAATTTTTCCAAAAGTGTGTATGTAAACATATTGTAAAACTCATCATTCGTGTTTTTGATTCACCTTCTATAATCTATTGAAAAAGATCAAAGTCTGATCTATGTTTTGATGAAAAAAGGTCTATAAACTGGCTGTACCTATGAAATGTCTCTGTTTCACAGTTGCTCCTGAACTGTCGTGTAATTAGGTAATACTTAGATATTATTATGGATCTGGAATCACTTTATTATCTATAGAGGTATGTATAATGTCTAGACCAATTGCGAGGGTTATTGAATAGCATACGATCCTTTTTGTTTGCTTTAATTCAGTAATTAGCACTGTATTTTTACTAAATACTGCCGAGCATTCATTATTTTAAGCTGAATTCATACATGAACATTTATTTGCCAATAAATGTAGGTTTGGTCACTTTACTGCACAAGCTGATCCGATCCATTCATGATTTGCATTGAATCTATGTTTAGAGGCGTACTGAGTAAAAATCAATGTAGAGTGGGGTTATTGTGAATGTAAAATTTCATTCCTTCCTGACTACTATGACAACATCCATGATGAATCTCAATCTTTCTTCAGACTTTCTTGCTTAATAAAGAACTGAAAGACTCTATTTATTTTTTGCATTTACTACTTAAATGGAAATCAAATACTTGATTGATATGGCCGATAAATTGGCATGATTTGCTGTTGCAGTTTCTTAAAACATCAATTTCCCTCTTCATTCGAAGTTAGATTCTGAAAGTATTTATCTTCATTAAATTATTGGTTCTGTGGTAGGATTTATCCGGGAGGCCGCATTTGAGTTGTGATTTGCAGATACCCACACAAAGAGTTGGAACTTACGATACCCAGGTAATTCTGTGCCTTTTATGAACTCTTCATCCCTTTAGATAGAAGTTTTGGAAGTTGTAGAGTTTTGAATTTTTTTTAAAATAATAAAAAATTGAGTATCTGATGTGAAATTACTATTGATGAACAGCAGTCAAACGTTAAAAAAGATGTCTGTAAACAGAGCTGTACTTTTATTTTATTTTTTCAATCTGATTCCTCTTATGCTATACTGACAATGTACCGAAACATTTTGTTCCCTACAGCTGGTGGAGCACTTCTTTCAGTCTCTAGTCAATACCTCTGGGATGACACTACATATTCGACAGGTAAAAATGTTCGACTCATAACCTTTTGTATGATTGATTTGAGTCGATTTGAGTCCTTCTGTTGATCATTGAATTATATATAATCCAGAGCCATCTTGATGATCAAGTTGTAATTAGTTTGATCTAATCAAAGAAGCTCTTGTGCTCGAGCTCGGGCTCTACTGTTAACAACATACTTTTCTATAAAAAATCTATGCACTAATTCATCGATAATTTACAGAGTACATAGACATAAGCTATAGTGCAATTATTTCTCGAGTCATCCCTAGAGTCATATCTAGTTTAACTTTTATGTTATTCGACATACCTGAATCGCTGAAATTGGCATGGTAAAAAAAGCTCTCGGGAAAAAACTCTCACCACATCATCGAGGCAACCTTCAAGGCGTTCGCAAGAGCTCTTCGCCAAGCTACAGAGTATGATCCCCGGCGCCGTGGAAGCGTGCCTAGGTTTGCACCCAAACTCAGATCCTTATAGTTTTAGCGTTATTTCGAACGGTACATAGTTTTATTGAAAAGTTTTAAATTTCATTGCTATTACAATTATAGCTTATAATTATTTCAAATTTATGTTTATGTCGAACTCCACAGCTCGAAAGGCGTACTTTCTCGAGCTTAATTCGCTGCCGGAACCTTTGCTTAGTGTGACTTCTGGTGAGTTTTCTGTTGTATTATTATACCTCAATTGTTCTGGCTTTTTTTTTTTTTTTTTTTTTACAGCTTTTGAGCTATTTTTACTTTCTTAAACCTGAAATGTTAGAATGGTCACAAAATTGGTGATGAAAAATGTATGATTTTTGGTTAATATGATTTTATGAAAAATAGTGGTGTAATGATTTGATATCTTATTAGTATGCATTTTAATGTTAATTAAAAGTGTGTGTTGTTTGGCACTATACATTCAGTTCCTTCAAAATTTTAATCCCAAACAGAAGATAGTGTGTAGGAATTGTTGGAGAGTGTTTTTTTTTAGTTATTAAAATAATTATTTTTAAATATTTTGTGAGTAACTTTATTTTTTATAGCAGCGGTAATATTAAGTAAATGGTGCGAGTGAGATTCGAACCTACAACTTCATCTAAGTAGAAATAAAACTTAACTATTGAACAAATTAATTTTAATTACTCCTTTCCGTCCTAGCCTCTTAGGTAAAAAGTTATCATATACTGATTTGCATGTAAATTTTTTTAATATTAGTATTATATTGGAGTTATAATAAAAAAAATAAAAATATCCCTTGTGTAATTTAAAAGTGAGGATATTTATGTAATATAGCATAAATTGAAAGGTATTTACGAAGTATTATTTTATAAGTTAATATGTATATAAATATGTTAATTTTTAAATATAAATTTTAATGAATCGGGCTGGGTCAGACAACTTTTATGAGCCCGTTACTGTTTAGTTTATTAGCATGCTGGGCTAGTTAGAGTTCGAAAATTTTTGTGTCTATTTTTTTCATATCAAGTTTGGATCGATTTTTGAGCTGTATTTATTTTTGTCGGCAGTAGGTAGGGCTTAGAAACTGTTTGTTGGTGGGACTTAAATTTGTTTCAAAGCCCAATGTACGACCTATATAATGTTTTATTTAAATAATTAGAAAGTCTTTTTTCTAAAAAAAATGTTTCAGTTTAATTACATAATTAATTAATACCTATAATTATGATCCATTTTTTTGGTGTGACTTTGAGCTGCCTTATTTCCTGGAGTCAAAATTCTATAAAAATATAAAAGCAAAATTGTACAAAATTACTTTTTAGTTTTTTATATTTTCAAAAGTTGTGTAAAATTCTCTAATGATTTCGTAAGCTCTGCGTCTATTTTCGACCGTTTTTATTTAACGGTGTTTGATTCGCACGTTCTAATGAGTTTAAAAGATTTTATTTTTAAACGTTAGAAATTATAAATATATTTTTTAAATCAGATAAAAACAACTATTTTTTAATATAGTTTTACTGTTACATAAAGTTAATATAATAATAAAGAGTATATTTATAATTTTAAATGTTTAAAAATAGAAATTATGAAGAATTTATAAAACTATAATAAGAGAGTCTAGACGATGAATTTGTTGTAATTTCATGAAATTACTATATAAATTTTTTGTAATTTTACCCGTATAAAATCAAATATATATAATATTTATATTATATTAAAATATACTTTTATACTAAAATTTTATTATTTAAAATATAAAATCCAATTCTCAACCCACAAAGCAACATACCCATATAACATAATTAGATGTATATATTTGTATGCACTTGATTCAATAATTTTATCGCCTTTCTTTCGGATTGGTTTTATTTTTTTATTTTTTGTCTTTCATCCTTGGGTTTCTTTGGTTTATTTTCAATTTAATTTTAATTTAAATAGTATTTTTATATAATATTTTATTAAATAAAATAATATATATATTTATCCCAATGATGTAATATTGATTTGTGTTCGAAACACAAATCAAATACACACGTTTATTTTAACAGTATTTTTAATATAATATTTTTTTTTATTAAATATATATTTTTATACGAATATATAAACTACAAAAAATTAAAAGCAATACAAATTCTTTCTTTTAATTATATAAAATTGTTGTTTGACTTAAAAATTCAATCCGAGATGAACGATCCATTATTTCTATATGTTATTTCCAAAATTACCCAACGTTTTAATATATAAATATATCCATATATCCAACTTATTATAGTCCATATCTAAACTATTTTTTCAATATTTTTCATATTTTATATATAATATAAAAAGTAAAATAGATAATATGTCAATATCTATCTTATATATATAAGATTTGTTTCGTAACGATTATCCATTATTTTAAAAATTTTATAGTAATATATATATAACTGAGATTGGATAATTAGGATTTGTTACGATACAAAATCGATAAAATATCCAAAAACCCATTAATATATATTACTCTTGTTTTCTTCTTCCTTTTGTTTCTCAGAATTCTTTGACCAAATTTTGTGAGAAAATTTTATTAGATCCGATCGATATCGATGATAATGGAGTCTTTGTCAAAGGGGTGCGAGAGAAACCCGCTTAGATTTCCTCTTCAAAACTCTAAATTGGCAGAAACTCCAAAAAATTTTGGTAAAAACCCTGTGTGTTTATCTGTAAGGTTTTAGTTTTGGGTTTTGATTTTGAATAGTAAAATTTTGAATTGAAATAATTGTTTGATGTGATATAAATATGTGTTCATATGATGTTTTGAACTTAAAATTAAATTTTAGTTTAATAAAATAAATAAAAATTAAATGTTTGATTTAATATTTTTGGAGAAAAAACCTGACAAGTAAACACACCTCTACTTTTTTTGTTTTTAATTTTCGATTTTATAGTCCTATTGCGAAAGAAACCCTTATGAGATTCTCCTGTCAACATTCGAATTAAATGACAGAAAATCGAAAGGATTTTGGAAAAAACCCTAATTTTTGTTTTTAAAATTTAAAATTTTATGGTGAAAGAAATCATAAAGGAAACCCTAATTTTATTTTCTTGTTTGTGTAAATGTAGATTTGATGAGGACTATGAGTTGTACAGAATTGAAGAAGTATCTGCCACATGATGTGGTGGTCGAAATTCTTACGCGCCTTCCACCGGAGAAACTTTTGCGTTACCGGAGTGTCTGCAAGTTATGGTCGTCGACGATCGACGATGCTAATTTTATTGCCAATAATCAGAAACACAATGCCGGCAATGATTGTATAGTAGCTTTAACATTACCTAAGGAAGACGAAGATGAGAATATTCGGTCTCAACCCGTCTTCAAATATCGTCTATTTTCCGACGGCAATTGCATAGAATCAATTCACGACGTTTTGGAAAATTGGACGGATGAGATCTCCGCGATGCCGTGGAAAGTCGAGGGCACATGCAACGGGATCTTTTGCTACACGGGTCTTTGGCGTTATAAAAAACACGACGATTATTACAAGATATACTTATGCAATCCATTGACAAGACAAGTGTCTATTCTCCCCGACTATAGAGGTCCCTCTCAAGACATTTCATACAAGTGGCGATCTGATCGATTCGGCATCGGATTTGATACATTGGAAAAAACCTATAAGATTATCAAGGTAAGTGTGTGCTCTTCTATGGATTATTTTTTTGGAGAAGCCGCTGTTCTTTCGCTTAAATCCATGTCTTGGAAAAGAGTCGAATGTCCGCGTCATGACATGTCTCTTAAAGGACAATCAATTTTCTTACATGGATCAATCCACTGGATTTGCTTTTGGAATAATACGAGATTAGAGTGTGTAATCCTTTTCGACCTTTGTAAGGAGGTTTTCAAAGAGTTGCAATTGCCAAAGCATGAGGATAGCCAAAAAGTTTCGATTCATGTGGTTGGAGGCTCCCTTTCTGCGATGGCATGTGATGCCGACGACTTTGCATGTCATATTTGGACAATGAAAGAATATGGGATCGAAGAGTCGTGGATAAAGCAACATAAAGTCCTTTTCCCGTATGAGTGTCATTGTTTGGAAGTGACTTATGGAGGAAAGATATTATGCGTAATTAATGACGACTATCTTTTTGTTGTGAAGAAGAAAGAAATGTTGCGAATTTCGGATAAAAATCCGAAGCCTCGTCGGATGATACCTTATAATTGTCAGAAATATATTTTATACGATCCGCAATCAACAGATTATTATACTACCATTTGTCCGATAAGCTTCGATTCCATTGTTGTCTTCTCCATCGAAGGTAGTCTGGCCAATTTTTTATGATTAATTTTAAGATATTTTGAATTTATTCATTTTAATTTGTACCCATATAACGTTTATTAATACAGTTTTTGTGTATAATATTAATTTAACAATTGTATTTTAATTTTTCATATATTATTATTATTTAATACTTTCTCTATTGCTTTTAAAGATTTTGCGAGAATAAATAATTTATTTTTATTGCAACGGCAGTGTTTTTATTTTATTATTTTCTTTTAAAAAAATTAAATTACTTCTTTTTTTCTTTCTTGATTTGTTTTTGTTTGAAACAGCTGAATATGATATTTTGTGTGATAAATTAGTATATTCTTATTGGTAAAAATTAGTTGGTGAAGAAAATGTCTAAAGCTGTTTATTAAAAAATTATACTCCCTCCCTCCGCAAAAGATAAAGCATTTTGTTAGGTACACAGAATTTTAGATAGTGTAGTTTATTAAATTATTAATAATAAATTAAAATAATATTTTATTATTTTTTATATGTGTAGTGTTAGTATTTTAAATATTTTTAGAATTATATCTCAATAAAAATATATGCAATATGTATATCATATTGTGGACAATAAAATTTTATATAGTACAAATAAATAAAAAAATATATTTATTTATTTATCGTTACCATAAATTAATTTTATAAAAAATTAAGAGTTTTAAAGGTAGATAAAAATGGATTTTAAGTGGATCATAATAAAAGAACATCTTTTGTGGAATGTTAAAAAAAATAAAAAATGAGGTCATATGTGGAGGGATGGCCGAGAGTATATTTTTACTGAAGATTGCATCGATAAAATAGTGATGATTTATATTTCAAACATAAATAGAGAATACTTGAGGTTTTAAATAAAATAATTATGCCATTTAAATACAACTTTATTTAATTTATAAAGTGACATAATAGTATAGTAAAGGCATGTATTGCTGGCTGTGTCACGTGCCGACTGTCCGGACTGATCACGTGCCATGTCTATTTCTATAGATTTCACACCATCTTTTTATTCTATTTTATTTTATATAATAGCATCTGGTGAAAAAGAGAGAGAAAATATGAATATAGTAAATAATATTTCCTCTATTCACATATTATTGTTCTCCTCCATTTCTGTCCCAAAAGTATAGTCTTATTACGTTGGATACGAAATTTAAGGAATATTGATATTATATTAATGGTAGGTAAAAACTACAGACAAATCACTTTTTTGCCCTTGTGAATATATTAGTGTAAAAAGTAGTGACAATTGTGTAATAATAATAATAATGAAAAAATAAGGATAATTTTACGGTAATATGATTATTTATGAAAATGAGATTATTGTTTTGGGACAAATAAAAATGGTATACAAGACTATTGTATTGGGATGGAAGGAGTATTTTTTTTTAACACACAAATTCTACTTTTTTTTTTTTTTTTTTTTAATTCTTCATTTATTTATTACTTTTCATCTCTGTCTTATAATAAATGACAAATTTGTTAATTCATACAGAAAAAATAATTACTTGAAAAATTGTGTAAATATACTTTAGGACAATAAAAAAAAATTGAGGGAGGAAATAAATTTTACAATTGAAAAAGGGCAAATTAATATAATTATATAAAAATATCATATTTTACACTAAATAAATCTAAAAATTGGGGTTGGGGGCTGCTGCCCTCCGAGCCCGTCTAAATTGTTTGCAGCGATGAGATTTTATTTTGTTTTAAAACCTAATGTTAACCAAAACAACTTATTTTTTTGTTTTTATTTTATTTTATTTTTATTTTGATAACGTAATAATTTGCGGCGGCTATTCTTTGAGTGTGCATTTGAATAAATTTCAACTTTACTTTAATAGTCTGCAAATTAATTATGTTCGACAAGATAAATCACGTTAGGTGAACATATATGGTCATAAATTATAATGAATAGACCAGGAGAATCTATCTGTTTAATAGATACTCCCTCCGTTCTAATTAAGTTGTCCCTTTAGGTTAGTCACAAAGTTTTAGGTATTGTATAATTCATAAGTAATTAAAAAATGTAGTGAAAATAATTATGATTTAATAAAAATAATTATAGATGAAGATTAAAATGACTAAATAGTTTAATTAAAATAAAAAATGATAAATTATGAATTTTAAAATGTGATTAAAATGTATAATTATATTTTCAAAAAATAAAATGACAAATTATGTGAGAACGAAAATAGAAATAATGGACAAATTAAATGAGATGAAAAGAATAAAATTTATATTTTTTGTAGTGACATTGAACTACCTTATTTTTTTCGAATTAAATCTCTATAAAAATATAGAAAATATACTTAAAATATTTAGAGGTGGCAAATCAGATCGGCCTGATAATATATTTGGAAAGTTAAATATAAACATTAAATAATTGACAAGACAAATATTTATAAACTCTTATATTATACTTTTATTTTTTACATAAATTTATTTGTTAATATATTTATAATATTATTTTTTAAAATTATAGTATTTCATTAAAAATTGGGTCGGGTCATGCACTGTCCGATCATAATAGGTCCACACAGCCCGGTTCATACTTGTGCTAGGTTAGACATAATCCAATTTTTTTATAATCTATTTTTTAGGTTCAAGTACAATTTTTTTGGTGCTGAATTCAAATCGAATTTTCATGCCGCGCCCTATTTTTGCTGGCTCTAAAAATCTTATATCAATATTGGGCTTGTTCACTTCTTTTTTCCAATAGAACAAGTCTCTTTAAATATTATTAAAATATACATTATATCCACCAATTAATATCATATATATTTTATCCATTCACAAAAAGTTAATGATTCAAAACAAAAATATTATTTTTTATATTACAGAAATAATTTTTCATGTTTAATTTAAAAAATATATCTTTCTAAAAACACAAGATTTTCAATTGCCAAAGTATAAGGATAACCAAAAAGCTTCGATTCACGTGGTTGGAGGCTCCCTTTGTGATGCGGCTTGACTTTGTATATCATGTTTGGACAATGAAAGAATATGAGATCGTAGAGTCGTGAGCAATTTAAAGTCCTTTTTTTCGCTTATGTATCGTTGTTTGGAAGTGACTCGTGTCCAGAAAAATACTGTGAAATTAATGACGATAATCTTTCTATTGTAAATAATGACGATAATCTTTTTGTTGTAAATAATGAAGAATTTGTGCGAGTTTCAGATAAAAATCAGAAACCTCGTTGGAGGGTACTTTATAGATGTAGAAAATATATTTTATACGATCTGTGCAATCGGAAGATTATTATACTAGCATTTGTCCCGCAAGATTATTATACTATGATTAGTAAGTAATTAAGAAGTGTATTAGTAAAAATAATTATAATTACTAAATAATTTAAATATTCCTTCTCTCCTTTAATAATCTATCCATTTTTCAATTTTGGTCTATTCCATAATAATATATCAATTTCTGTATTATATACCTAATATTACAAATATCCTTTCAATTTACAATATATTACACAAATGTCATTACCATTATATTATACAATATTAATAAGGATAGTTTAGTTTTTTTACTTTTATTTCTATTAAATTCCAATATAATACTAATATTTCTAAAACTCCGTGCAAAAAGTAAATAGATAGATAAATGTGGGACGGAGGGAGTATAAAGGTATGATCGTGGAAATAAATCATTAAACTTTGCACGTGGACAATTATCCGCGAAGGATGGCAGTGACCTACTTGCTCTGGTATCATGTTACACGACGTTTCACTTAAAAAATTTATTTAAGCTGATAAGAAAATGCATCATTAATCATTAATTATACAGTCTGACCAACTAGATTTAATTTTTTTGGTGTTTTCATCATAAAATTATTTATTTAAATTCAGAAAATTATACTTCAATTATATATATATATTTCTTAATAAATTCATAAAATTATTTATTTTAAATATATTTAAATTATAAACCGGACTGGCACTGCCCCAAAATTTTTGAGTATATTTGTTTAGACCCAGCACGATTTTTTCGTATTGGATTCAAATAGGATTTCGGGTATTTATTCTTGCGAACTCTATATAAATTCTGTAAACTATTGCAAAATATATTATCTATATATAATCATTTGGAGATTTGGATATATTTATATATATTACAGGGCTAGAAATTTTCGGAAATAATATTGAAAAATCGACAAGAATAGATTTGATACAAACTAACCAAAAAATATATACTATAAATTAAAATACTTGGTCAAACTTGTTTTGGGTGAGGATTAATCCTCCAACAAAAAATATTAGATCATTATCACAAAATATGTTATATACTATAAATTAAATGCAACTAATGTTTCAAAATTTTGAATGGGATATTTGAATCTTGATTTTGTCAATCTATTCAGGTAATGCAAAATCAATACTTTTCTAACTAATTCTATTATAAATATTAAACGGGTCAACCCTAACCCGATCCGTAATTACTCAACCCTAACCTGATCCGTAATTATCGTGTTATGTTATCATGTTATGTTATTTAAAATTGAACTTAGTTTGTTATGATTATTTTACATATATAATAAATATTGTCGGATTGTAGGATCAGTTTTTGCCAGTATGCTTAACAAAAATTGAGCATATTGTTATTAGCTATTCTTATAAACCTAAAAGAGATCTACAATAAAAATAACTCAAATTCTCATTAAAACAAAATAAAAATCTCTTCCAAACAATATCATCCAAAAACTAAAACATAAACGCAAAGATGAACAAATCCAAACTATCTAAAAAAACTAATTATAAAAAGTTAACACTACTTTCGATCGAAAATGCAACACAATCCGAGTCTACCCAACAAAGGCTCGCGTAACTCTGCGATTGCAGATCGTACAAAATATATTTTCCGAAATTCTCTTGTTCCTTTTTCTTCTTCGGAGTCTCCGATCCTTTATCTTTCATTTTCTCCAATACTCCATTTTTCACCTCATAGAGATCATAGCCATCGCTTACGCATAATATTCTTCCTCCAACGGTTACATCCACGCAACGAAGTATCCCGATTGGGAGAACAACTTTATATTGCTCCATCCACGACTCTTCGACCCCAAATTCTTTCATCATCCAAACATGACATATCAAGTCGTCGTTCCCAAAAGCCATGGCGCAAAGCGAGTCACCAACCACATGAATCGAAAATTTCTTCCTATACTCGCACTGTGGCAATTGTACTTGTTTGAAAACTTCATTACAAAGGTCGAAAGAGATTACGCATTTATCACCCGTAGAATCCCGACTGCAAATCCAATGGATCGATCCATGTAGGAAAACTGATTTGTCGCACAAAGACATGTTATAAAGCGGGCACTCGACATCTTTCCAGGACATGGATTTAAGCGAAAGAACAGCAGCTTGTCCGTAACGATTATCTTTGTAAATAAAAGTTTTTACCTTCACAATCTTATAGAGATTTTCCAACGAATCAAATCCAATGCCGAATCGCGTCGAGGGGTCGGTAGTTTCTTCGTGATAAGAGGGCGATGTGCTGTCCGGCATAAGAGATGCTCGTTTTGTCGAGGGATCGCATAAGTACGTCATATATTCATAGATAATATTTTCAGAATACAAAACACCCGTGTAGCAAAAGACCCCATTGCATGTGCCCTCGAGTTTCCATCTAACATACATGTGAAAAGGAATACGATCAGTTCGAAGAGACTGACTGATTTTTTTCGGGCAATTTCCGTCGGAAAATATGCTATATTTGAGCTCGAATTGAGAAGATTCATCGGGTGTTGGTGTTGGTGTTGGTGTTGTAAAAACTATTACCCGATCGTTGCCAATGTTCTTTCGCCTATACTCGGCGATAAAATTGGCATCGGAGATCGTCGAATACCATGACTTGCTGACGCTCCGGCAAAATAGGAGTTCCTCCGGTGGAAGACGTGTAAGAATTTCGATCACCATGTCATCTGGTAAATACCTTTCATCACCTGAATCTCCACTGCTAATCGTCAAACCTATGGAAAATTTCAAAAGAATAAAATAAAAAATTATTTTAATATCAAATTCAAACCAATTTCTTACTTATAGTGTTATAAAATTGCAAAAAAAACAGAATGGAAAATTAGGCACCATAGAATTATAAATTTGAAAAATCTGAAAGTAAAATTAGGGTTTTCTTCACCATAGAATTATAAAATTGAAAAAAAAAAAAACTGAAGGTAAAATTAGGGTTTATACCAAAATCTTTTAGATCTTCTACTAATTTAGAATTTGGATGATAGAATCTGCCGGGATTTCTCTCACACCTTCCGACTCCAAAGAACCATAAACCGCATAATAGCATGTCACTGGGCGACGATGCTTCATCCTCCGACAGGGAACTCATTATTGATCGAATCAAAATATCCACAGATTATGGCTGAAGAAATTGGCGAAGGAAGAAGAAAAGAGAGTCGGTTTTTGGTTATTATTTTGCTTTTGCTTGTAAAAGTTAACAGCAAATCAAACCCTAATCTATTTATATTGATTGAGGGTGGGTCTGTGTTCTTGGGTTTTGGGTTTTGGATTTTGGATTTTAGATTTTGGATTTAGATTTATAAATAATAAAATCTGTGAATTTGAATAATTATTTGATTTTATTTGTAATTTTATTATTATTATTAAGTATACGTAATACTCGCTCCCTCAAAAATTTATCCCATATATTTGGGCATCTATTTTAAGAAAATAGATAAAAATAGTAATTCTTGTTTGAAAATATTGAAATATATATATATATTTACGACTAAAAAGGAAAATTAAACATAAACTTAGAATTTTAAATGATAGAGGAATTATTTTTTACTATTTCAAAGAATATTAAATCAATGTGTATTTATATCATATACATTAAACAATTATTTTAATTCAAAATATTATTATTTAAAATAAAAAAAAAACTATACTCCTATTTTATAGAGTTATTGTTGTTAGATTTAATATTTATGATGGTTTTCATTATCTAAAGTTAAATAATATATTAAAATTATTTATTCGCCAATTAATGCATGTTATATATTTTATTAGTTCATCTATTGATGGTTTTTAAATGAAATTTTTTAAATGAATGTTGGGACAATCTAACAATATTGAACATAAGTGAAGGCTTGGGTTGGGCACTGTTCGGGTATTTATAAATATACAAATATTTTATATTTAAATCGAACCAAATACTATTTGCAATATTTAAAAAAAATTACTCTCTTCGTCCCCGGCTCATAGGAAAGATATCTATTCATTTCTCTACAACTCATCATCAAATCTACATTGAAAAATATAAGGGTTTCTTCATCACTGCATAATTAATTATAAAATTGAAAGTGTGAAAATTAATAAAATAAAATTAGGGGTTTTTTTTTTCTTTACCAAATTTCTTTCGAGTTTCTGCCAAATTAGAATGTTGACGAAGGAATCTACACTGATTTTCTGCCAAATTAAATAATGCTTAGTTATTTCATTGAAAAACTATTATTGTATAATTCAAAATAATATAAAATTTAATTTCAAAGAAAAAAAAAAAAGGCTTAAAAGCGCAAATAATAGAAAGATTATAAACCTAAAAGACATACACTAAAAAAATAAGTTAATTTTTCATAAAAAAAAAATAAAAACAAAAACAAAAACAGATCCACGAATATCATCAAAAATTTAAAACACAAAGTGAACAAAAATCCAAAATATCTTAAAATCAATTATAAAAAGTCGAGACTGCTTTGGATGGAGAAGACAATGCAATCCAAGTCTCCCCAACAAATGCTAGTGTAATTTTGCGACTGCAGATCGTACAAAATATATTTTCCATAATTATCCCGCGCCTTCATCCGGCGACTATCCGGTCTTTTATCAATCAATTTTTCTAACAGTCCACTTTTCACAAGATAGAGATCGGATCCATCGCTTACGCATAGTAATCTCCCGCCAATACTCACATCCACACAACGAAGTATCCCAACGGGAAGAACAGCTTTATATTGCTCTATCCACGACTCTGCGACCCCATATTCTTTCATCATCCAAACGCGACAAGTCAAGTCCTCGTCTTCAAATGCCATAGCACAAAGAGTGTCTCCTCCGACCACATGAATCGACATTTTTTTAGTATACTTACATCGCGGCAATTCTAGTTCTTTGAAAACTTCGTTACGAAGGTCGAAAGAGACTACACAACTAGCCGTCGCATCAACCCTATCGCCAATCCAATGGATCGATCCATGTAAAAAAATTGATTTGCCACGCAAAGTCTTACCATAAAGTAGGCACTCAATATCTTTCCAGATCATGGATTTAAGCGAAAGAACAGCAGCTTGTCCAAAATGACGACCCCTAAAAAAAAATATGTTTACCTTCACGATCTTGTAGCCCTTTTCCAATGTATCGAATCCAATCCCGAATCGATCCGTAGAACGACGATATCGCGATTTATAGTTCGGGATAAGAGATAGTCTTCGTATCGAGGAATCGCATAAGCATATCATGAATTTATAGTCGATATCGTACAAATAACTATCGTACAAATAATTTGTTAAGCAAAAAACCCCATTGCATGTGCCCTCAAGATCCCACTTTTCAGAGGCGTACAAATGCTGCCCATCATTTCGAAAAGACTGAGTAATTGTATTCGAGCAATTCCCGTCGGAAAAGAGGCGATATTCGAGTTCAACTAGGCGACCAAAAGATGCGGCTGGCAGTGTCGTAAGAATTACGACACGATCCTTGCTGCTGTTCTTTTGCCTATGATCGGCGATAAAGTTGGCATCGGAAATTGCCGATAACCATGACTTGCAGACACTCCGGCAACGTAGAAGTTCCTCCGGTGGAAGCCATGTAAGAATTTCGATCATCATTTCATGTGGTAAATACCTTTTATCTGATCATGGTAAAATTTTAAAAATAAATAACAAAATTAGAATTTTCTTCACCTTTCTTCATTGTAGAATTATAAAATAAAAAAAAAAAAAAAAAAGACTGATCAAATCTACTGAAAAATTTAAAAGTAAATTAAAAAAAATTAGAGTTTTCTTTACCTTCTTCACCATAGAATTACAAAATGGGAAAAAACCGATCAAATCTACTGAAAAATTTAAAAAAAAAATAAAAAAAAAATAGTTTTTTCACCTTCTTCACCATGGAATTATAAAATTGAAAACAACTGATCAAATCTACTGAAAAATTTTAAAAAATAAATTAAAAAATTAGAGTTTTCTTCACCTTCTTCACCATAAATTACAAAATTGAAAAAAAAAAAAAAACTGAAGATAAAATTAGGGTTTTCTTCATCATAGAATACTTCACCATATAATTATAAAATTTAAAAACCTGGAAGCAGAATTAGGGTTTTCTACACCATAGAATTATAAAATTGAAAAAAACTAAAGGTAAAATTAGGGTTTATACCAAAATCTTTTCGATCTTCTGCCAATTTAGAATTTGGATGAAAGAATCTGCATGGATTTCTCTTACGCCTTCCGATTAGCCATAAAGGATTTCTCTTACGCCTTCGGATGAGCCATAAACCGCAGCCTCGGATTCGACTGGACAACGATGCTTTATTCTTCGACACAGACCTCATTGTCGATCAAATCGAACAAAAGTTTCCACAGATTGTGGCTGAAGAAACTGGCTAAGGAAGAAGAAAACAAGAGTCGGTTTTTGACTTACCATGAAGAACCCATGGAACCCTAATTAACTACTATATATACCACATATATATATTTGTATTTTTTTAATATGAGATATAAAAAAATATAATATAAAAAGATGATATTTTATATTTAATATTTGGGTTTTTTTTTGGTGAGGATGTAATTTATATATGATATATGATCATTTTTCTAAAAAAAATTCGCACCTATAATTGTCAAATATATATGTATATATATGATAATATTTTTCAATAAATAAAATTTTTAATTTAAATTAAAATCCCAAAATTAGTGTAAATTTCTATAAAAATGAATTAATTTTTTATATCAAATCTAAAGATTCCAAAAGTTAACGTTAACTTGTACTAATAAATACAACAATTTTTTTTATTTAAAAATTTTCAAGTATTTTTCAAATCTAATATTCCCAAAAATATTATTTTTTTCCTACATTTAAAATATTTAATATTTTGATTTGAAGTATCTTTTTTATATAAAATATAAACAATTATATTTTATATTGAATTTTAATTTTAATTTTTTGTAAAATAATATAATATATACTTTTTTCGTTTATGTTACTATGTCCATCTTTTCATTTTCGACAGTCTCACTAATTTTGTCACTTTTTTTTATAAAAAATTATACACTTTAATTTTATTTTAATTTTTTAAATTTTAATTAGACTCATTAATTATCTTAATTTTAATATATAATTTTTTTTTATTTCTATAGTAAAACATACATAATATCCTCGACGAAGGAAATATTATATTATGTTTTATATATTGAGAAGTGAAGGAATTGTTGCTAAAGTGAATAAATTACCACTTCACATCTTTGAGGGTTGGGCCACAATATTGTGAAAAATACGTAGTTCGTCTATCTTTAAGGGTCACATTTACCTTTTACGTTATTGTATTTAATATTAAAATTATCTTTATATTTGTATCATTTTTTGTACAAATGTCAGTTCTATTAGTATTATAAGACACTGATGAAAGTATTTTTACAATTTTTTCTTAATTTGTATTACATTTTGATATAATAATTAATATTTAAAAATCAAAAGCGCAAAAAATAAATGAGACCCTTAGAACCGAACGTTAGTATTATATATTGGGAATTGTTAAAAATGTTAAATCAACTATTTTTCTATAAAAATTACTCCCTCCGTTCCAGAACTATAGTCTGATTGAATTTGACACATAATTTAACGAATAGGGTAAAAAATACGAGTAAAAAGACTCTTTTGCCCTTGTGAGTGTAGTAGTATAAAAAGTAGTGGTAATTGTGTAATAATAATGAAAAAGTAAAGGTAGTTTTATAGTGATATGGTTATTTATGAAAATAAGACTATTATTTTGGGATAGACAAAAATGGTAAACAAGACTATTGTATTGAACCATATAAAGTATTACCTATAAAAAAATATTTCCATAAAGAACAATTAATTTTTTAATCTAAAAAATCCTATTGTAATTTTCTATAAAATATTAATTTTCTCAAAAAAAGGTGTTAAATCCTTTGAAATTCGCAAATCCTAAAATAACGTATTTTTTTCATAATTTTTTAATTTAAAATTCTTAAAATACTTTCCATAAAAAAATTAAAAAACTTTAAAAACTCAAATTAACCCAAGTTATATAAAAGTTACTCAAATTAACCAAATTTTATATAAAAAAACTTTAAAAAACTTTTCTTAATTTTTTATACTCCCTCCGTCCCAAAAGAGTTATCTTGTTTTTCCATTTTCGTTCGTCCCAAAACAATTGTCTTGTTTCCTCATTTAGTACCGTAGTTCTCACTTTATGACAAAATTATTCATACTTTTCCAAACTACCTTTAATTATTACTCTAACCTACCTTTTAGAATATTTCAAAAAGCAAAGACATTATAGTCTTTTACATTCTACTTTATACCAAATTTTAATTAAATACTATTATTCTTTATTTCCGATGCTAATTCCTAACAAGACGTCTCTTCTAGACGGACGGAGTATTTATCAATTTTTTTTTATATAAAAAATTAATTCTTAAAATCCCAAAAAAAAAAAAAGTTGAATGATTAAGATGGTACACTCAAGGGAACTAGGGTTTAGTCTAGAGGTCAAGTCCTCAACCTAAACTTGTTCAGACGTTCAAACCGTCGGTTGCGATTTGTCAAAATATTCAACTGAAATCAAATTTTTCGAGTGATAATTTTGATTATGGTTTAACAGTTTCGGTTATGGTTTAAAAATAATTTATTTTGGTTTAAAAACAACTGAATACAATTTGAACCGTCTGTTTATATATATATTCATTTTAATATTTTTGTTTTTTCTAAATTTAAATTTTATCTAAAAACAATTAATTTTGATTTTGATTTTATTTAGATATATATTTATCATCTATTATTGTATAAAAATCATATAAACAATAATTAATTATAGTTACAACATAAAAATAATTAAAATAATAAATCCTGACTTCTTAATCAACTAGGTTGAGTATCAATTTCTTCCCTATCTCATCCTTTTTTCATTTTTTTTCGAATTCGTTACATTGATTAAAGTTATTCTTTTTTATAACCTGAAAAAAATATATGTATACAAACTCACATGGATTACGTCAACGAAAATATATGTTTAATTATTTTAAAAACTATATTTTAATAAAAACATATATACAATATAAATGTTATTTTGTAGATAATAAAATTTTATATTCCTTCAGCTCAAAATATTATTTTTACTATTTTCGTCTGTTTTATTCAAAAGTATCTTTTAAATTTATAAGTAATTAACACACTGATATCAAAATATTTTTTACCTTTTATATAAATTACAAGCGTATCATTTGAATTACATTTTTGGAATCTTAAATATAATTAATACTTTTGGAATCTTAAATGAAGACTAATTTTTTATTTTGAGTCGTGAAAATGGAGATGGTAGAGTTTTCCACATAAATAACTATTTATTATCATATGATTAAAATTAAATAAGCATATATTGTACATATTATTATTACTTTAGTTCATATAATATATTTATATTATATTTGATATCAATTATAACATCTGTTATTTAGGGTGTGTTTGTTTGTACAGAAACTTATTATATATATATATGGGTAAACTGTTTTTTTAGTTTCGTAACTAGATCCCTTATCATTTTAGCTTCGTAAGTGAAGTCTGTTGCAAACTAGTCTTGTATGTGAAAAATTTTCGTTGTTTTAGGCCTCTAGCGCCGGAGACGCCCGCGTGACTCGCCGGAAGCCACGTGTCTGCCGGATGTCCCGCCAGGTCAGCGACACCTAACGGACACGTGATTTTTTTTCTTTTTTTTAATTTTTTTTCGATTGAACCAAATAAAAAAATTTAAAAAGGCAAATAAAATTAAAAATTAATTTAAAAATATGTTTTTAAAAAAAATTAAAATAAATAAAATAAAAATAATAAAAACCACGTGTCCGTCAGTGTCGCTGACCTGGCGGACACGTGGCCTCCGACGAGCTACGCGGACGTCTCCGGCGCCGGAGGAGTAAAACAACGAAAATTTTTCACTTATGGAACTAGTTTGCGACAGACTCCACTTACGAGACTAAAATGATAAGAGAGGACTAATATGATAAAAGTTTTCAGTTACGGAACTAAAAAAACAGTTAATGTGATATATATATATATATATATAGATGTTAAGATTATATCTCGATGCATGTTATTGCTGATTTCACTTTTAATAATAATAATAAGGGTAAATTGTTTTTTTAGTCCCGTAACTGGACCTCTTTATCATTTTAGTCCCATAAGTGGAGCCTATCGCAAACTAGTTCCATAAGTAAAATTTTTTGCTGTTTTAGTCCTCCGGCGCCGGAGACGCCCCGTGGCTCGCCGGAGGTAACGTGTCCGCCAGGTGTCCCGCCAGATCAGCGACACCTGACGGATATGTAGATTTATTATTTTTTTTTAATTTTTTTAATTTTTTTAATTGGACCAAATAAAAAAAAATAGAAAAATACAAATAAAATTAAAAATAAATTAAAAATAAGTTTTAAAAAAATGAAAAAAAATATAAAAAATCTACGTGTCCGCCAGGTCAGCGACACTTGGGGGACACGTCACCTCCGGCGAGCCACGCGGGTGTCTTCGGCGCCGAAGGACTAAAACAACGAAAAAATTTCACTTATGAGACTAGTTTGCGACAGGCTCCACTTACGGGACTAAAATGATAAGCGGATCCAGTTACGAGACTAAAAAACAGTCTACCCTAAAAATAATAATAAGTCATAAAATAATAATAATAATAATAATAATAAATAATAATAATAATAATAATAATAATAATAATAATGTTGCTTTATGGAAAGTGATATGAGTGAGATCATTAAATTAGGTTATAGGGAGAGTTGGTTGCGTTTGTTGGCAAAATTTAATAATCCCTTTTGACCAAGTAATCTATTAATTAATTAATTAATTATTGATCCTATATATAAAGAAAGTGATAGTGCTACCTAATTATATATATATATATATATATTTTTCCAATTTATTTTTATATATTTATATATAGTAATTGTTTGTTTAGTATTTTGATTTGAAATTTTTTTTATAAAAATATATAAAATTGTGTCGGTAATTTAATGAATTATAATTTATGTTGAATATTAATTTTTGTTAGATAATAAAAAAATATATATATATTGATAATCGTGTTAAAAGAAAATTTTGGGTCAACAAATCCATATACTCCCTCCGTCTCATAACAAAGTATCTAATTTTTCATTTTAATTTCATTTTAATCCGTTCTATAACAAAGTATCAATTTTCTTTTTTTTTTAAGTAACTGTACTATTTACCTAACATTATAAATACCCTTACAATTTACAATATATTATACAAATGCTATTACCTTTATATCACACATATTAATAAGGTTATTTTAGTCATTTCTACTTTATTCCTACTATATCCCAATATAATATTAATATTTCTAAAACTATGTGAAAAAAAAACTAAATATTTAATTTCGGGACGGAGGGAGTATATCATATCTTTTGATTTACAGGAATCTTGTAATATTGCAAAATTTTTGGGTTTATTTATTTATTTTATATGGTTTTATGTTTTAATTTTGTAAGTATATGTTAAAAAGATCTAAAAATTAATTATGGATTCTTACTTATATAAATAAATTTAATTAAGATTCGACACCAAAATTTTAGCTTTTTCAGTAATAAATTCAATAGATATTTCCAACTTAATCCCATATGATTTATTTCGAGTTGTAAAATTAATTATCCTTTTAACTTTTTTTTTTAAAAATATTTTTTTCTCAATTTCTTTTGTTATATAATATCATTTTTTTTTTTTTCTTTTTTTTTTTTTGTAAAAGTATACTCTCTCCGTCCCTTATCAAAGGGATTGCTTTGGGGTTTTGTAGTAGATTAAGAAATAATAGTATTTTATTGGTCAATGGAAGTGTGCAGGAAATTTTGATATTTTTGCCATTTGACTTTTTATATAAAGTAATTGTATGCGTAATAGTATGTTTGTAATTTAGATAAAAATTAAAAAATAATTTGGTATTAGTGTATGTTTACTTTTTCTAAAATAAGAAATAGATACTTTGAAATAAGACAGGAAAAATAAAAAGAAAAATACTTTAAATTGAGACGGAAAAAAATATAAAGTTTTCATATAAAATATTACATCCAACAAGTATTTTGTTCAAAAATTAAAAAAAAGATACAAAATTATATGCTAATTTTTAATTTTGTTTTTCTTCAGCAATCCAACATATAGATTTGAGATGTCAGGTTCTAAAGACTTACAAAAATAACTAAATAAATAAAAAGAAGCTCCATCCATCATTAAAAAATATAAATATATTTGCTTCTTTTTTTTTTCCTAAAAATATTTTCATTTATCTTTTAAGTAAATATATATATATATATATATTGTCATTTATATATATATATATAGATATTAATATAAAAGATAAAAATACTAGTTATTATTTATTCATACTAAAATTTATAAAAAAATATGTATTCCGTCCTTTAACAATCTATCAATTTTTCTATTTTGGTCCGTCTCATAACAAAGTATCTATTTTTTTTTGTAATTGTACTGTTTAACTAACATTACAAATACCATTCTAATTTATAATATATTACACAAATGCCATTATTTTTATATCATACTATACTAATAGGGTTAATTTAGTCTTTTTACCTTTATTTCTATTTTATCCCAATATAATACTAATATTTCTAAATTCTGTGTAAAAAGTAAATGAATATATAAATATATATATATATATATATATATATGAACATATTTTTTTATGATGAGTGAAATGCATTTTCTTTTAAGCATGAAAATTTCCTCCCCATCCTATCCCTCCGTGTAGTCCTTTTCTTTTCTTTTTTTATTTTTTCCCATCATCTTTAATGCCTCTTTATTATATCAAAAGAAAAAAACCTTCAAGACATTAAAAGACAAAACAAGAATGTCAAATATGAAGACAATAAATATATTTTTTTGGTATGCTTTTTTGCATTCAAATAATATTTTATGAAATATATATATATATTTAAAGAAAATACTAGAAATTGCATGATAATAATTAAAACCTAAAGACTAACAAAAAAATCTCCAAGTAAAGTAATCCTCTTGCCTTAAAATAACTTCCCTTGTCACATATCTATATATATATATATATACACAAAAAGACACCACAAATTCATCAAGAAAGGGCAAGAACACATAGAAGATCATCTCCCATGCATGTAATAACATAAATTACCCCTAATAATACGACGAAACTTGCGACGTGCTCGAGTATTTCTTCGAAGGGGACGAAGATGGGGACGAGCCCATATCACCCGATCGTCGCCTCAACATTTTCCTCATCCCATCGGCCACTTGAACCGCCGGATTCGACTTATACTCTTTACGAAAAGACATGTGAGCCTTGACAACTTCATCAACCCTCGACGCCGATTTTTTCTTCACCTCATCCCTCACGGCCTCCGAGCAAAGCCCGCATAGCCATTTCCCTTCGAATTTCGACTTCACCTCACTAATGTAGTCTTGTGTACAATCCTCCTTAAGCCCACAACACTCACACTTCACCAATTCAATGTCCATTTCTATCTTTCCTTAATTAGGGTTTGAAAATGGCTCAAAAGAACTTTTTTTTTTTTTTCTTTTGCCCTTTAGGTTAGATTTCTAATCTTTCTCTCTCTTCCCCCACTCTCTCTCTATATATGTGTGAATTAGTGAAAGTAAAGATCAAGAAAGAAGTGATAGGAGTGTGAAGGGGAGATATAGGGAAGACATTATATATACACTAAGGAAATCAAGTGCCATAATTTGCTCCATGTTCTAAGGGACATTATTAGGAGATATTTTAGTCAATATGGCCTATAGGGGCCCCTTAAAAATGTGGCTTTTTGGTATTTAATTTTACATTTTATCGACTAACTTTAAGGACTTTGAGTTTGGCTTACGTCCTTTCGATCAAGCTTATACTTTTCAATTTTATTTTTGAAATATTTATTGAACAATGTTATTTAAAAAAATATTTCATTCATAACTTGTTTTTTTTATTTAAAATATTATAGACAATGATTTCTAAGTGATATTATACATATGTATATAATTTTGTCAATAAAAAAGCAATATAATTGCTAATTTCTAAAAATATAAGCGAGGAAACATTCATCCTTTATTATTTATATAAATATTTTACTTGAAATATACGGAAAAAAATCAAGGGTTATATTTTTCAATTTTATTTTTGAAATATTTATTGAAACATGTTATTTAAAAAATATTTCATTCATAACTTTTTTTTTTATTTAAAATATTATATTCAATGATTTATAAGTGATATTATACATATATGTATAATTTTTTCGATGAATAAACAATATAATTGCTAATTACTAAAAATATAAGCTATGAAATATTTGTCACATATGAAATCCTTTATTATTTATATAAATATTTGATTTGAAATATACCAAAAAAAAGTCAATTTTAAAAAATGATGTGAACTCCAATAATACCACATGAAAAATTATTGCCCTAGAAAACTAGAACGTCTTGTCGTCACTTAGCAAATCATCCAAAAATTAGATGAGCTTTCGAAAAAGAAATATATATATATATATATAAATAATCAATCATTAATCTTCTTGAATTTTATTATTATTTTGTTATCATAAGTTGGATCTGATACCATTTGTAACATTGTGATCCAAACTAATTAGATTTGTATATTCAAAACAAATTTTTCGTACGTATTTTGTTATTTTTTATTTTAAAATTATTTTGAAACAAAGATATTTAACCATATAATTTACAAATATACTTAAAAAATAAAATAGAATACTTACTGACATGAATAATCAAATCAATTTTCTTAAGCATAGTCCAAATCCAAAGTATTGTAAAAGTGAACACAATTCTATCTTGTCCCTTTTGTCATGTTCTATGAATAATTATTGGTTCATTTATTTTTATTTTGTTGAAGAAATTATTTTTAAGAACAAATTATACAAAAATGAATATGGGTACACATTAAAAAATTTAGGGTAAATTGTTTTTTTTAATCCTGTAACTGGACCCATTTATCATTTTAGTCCCGTAAGTGGAGTCTGTCGCAAACTAATCTCATAAGTGAAAATTTTTCGTTGTTTTAGTCCTCTGGCGCTGGAGACACCCGCATGGCTCACTGGAGGCTACATGTCCGCTAGGTCAGCGACACTTGGCGGATATATGGATTTTATTATTATTTTTTTCATTTTTTTTCTAAATTTTATTTGCCTTTTTTAATTTTTTTTATTTGGACCAATTGAAAAACAAAATTAAAAATAAAATAAAATCCACGTGTCCGTCAGGTGTCGCTGACCTGGCGAATACGTGGCTTCCGACGAGCCACGCGGGCGTCTCGGACGCCGAAAGACTAAAACAACGAAAATTTTTCACTTATAAAACTAGTTTGCGACAGACTCCACTTACAAAATTAAAATGATAAAGAGATCCAATTATACAATTACAAAAATATAATTTACCCAAAAATTTATATGAACATAGGTAATGTTCACTATTTTTTATAAGAGTCCAATCTAAGGAGGGGTTGAGGACCTTTTCTAAAGTTTTTATTTATATAAAGCGACCCCGTAAACAAGTTCGGGGGTTGGTTTTGTTGTTGATTTTTGACTTTGTGTCTCATTATTCATCGACAAATTTATTTTAGTAAAACATCGTATTTAAAATTCATATTTTTCATTTAAGATATCAAATAATTTTGTTTTCTTGTGCAATATACAATATATAATCAAATATATTTTTAATTAAAAAAAATCATATTAGAAATATATTTTTCATTATAAACTTATATATTAGCATCCTAATTGTCCCTTAAACTTTTTTAACGCCTTTTCGTTTGTAAATTTTCAATCGGAGTGCAATAACATACAAACTATGCAAACAAAGTAAGCCAGTTTAGGCAGAACCAAGAAAATATCGACGAATTTTAAATTTATGATCTCGCAGTTACGAGTGTCCTAACACACCATTATATATATATATATTATATTGTGTGTGTGATAGAATATAGACAAAAACACATTTCGTCCTTTTATGTCTTATTGGATGAATGTTTTCATGTTTCGATATATGCATGTGGAGCAGCTGAAACCAACACACACCCACATGGGTGTGTGCGTGTGTATATATATATATATATAATTTGATGCATTGAAATGCATATGAATGTAAAGATAGGTGGCGGAATTATTTAGTCGGTTTCGATTTTTTATAGTATTATTTGAGTTTGGGTAAACTATTTTTTTAGCCGAGTAACTGGATCCTTTTTATTATTTTAGTCCTGTAAATGGAGTATGTCGTAAACCAGTCCCATAAGTGAAAATTTTTTGTTGTTTTAGTCCTTTGGCGCCGGAGACGCCGGCCTGGCTCGCCGGAGGCCACGTGTCCGCCAGGTAGCGACACTTGGCGGACAGGTGGATTTTATTTTATTTTTTAATTTTTTTGAAAAATTATTTTTAATTTTATTTGCTTTTTAATTTTTTTTTATTTGGTCAAATTGAAAAAAAAAATAAAAAAAAAAATCCACATGTCCGCCAGGTGTCACTGACCTGGCAGGACAGTTGGCGGACACGTGGCTTCTGGCGAGCCACGCGGGCCTCGCTGGCGCTGGAGGACTAAAACAACGAAAATTTTCCACTTATAATACTAGGTTGTGACAGACTCCACTTACGAGACTAAAATGATAAGGGGTTCAGTTACGGGACTAAAAAAACAGTTTACCCTTTGAGTTTTAATATATTTCAAATTGTTAACCGTCGATATTATGTTCAAATCGACGGTTCAATTTTTTTTTATTTAAAAAATTATATCGATAATATAAAGAAATAATATTTAATGTTAAATATTGACTTTTCAAAAATAATAGAATATATATACTCCTTCCGTCCCATAACTAAATATTCATTTGTTTTTTGCACGTAGTTTTAGAAATATTAGTATTATATTTGGATGTAGTAGGAATAAAATAAAAATGACTAAAATAACCTTATTAGTATGTGCAATATAAAAGTAATAACATTTGTGTAATTTATTGTAAATTGTAAGGGTATTTGTAATGTTAGGTAGATAGTACAGTTACTAAAAAAGAAAATACATACTTTGTTATGGGACAGACTAAAATAAAAAAATGGATACTTTGTTACAAGACGGAGGGAGTATTATACTACTTCTGTCTAACTCTAAAAGGGTCACATTTGTTTTTTGTGTATTAATATTTAAATATTAATTATTATATCAAAATATAATATACATTAAGAAAAAATGACAAAAATATTTCTATTAGTATCTTATAATACTAATAAAATAATATTTGTATAAAAACTTATACAAGTATAAAAATATTTTTAATATTATTAAGTATAATGACGTAAAATGTAAATATAATTTTTAGAACCCAATGATGAAGTAGGATATTAAAAATTGTGTGGGAAATAATATATTATATATATTTTTTTTTTAACTAAAAAAAGAGATTTTTGAGGGGCTAATTGCCCATATAACCCATCTATGGCTGTGTTTCTTTGAGAATTTTTTTTTTTTTTTTCAATTTTCTTTAAAAGATATATATATATATATATTTGCCGTAATATTACATTAAATATTATTTTAATACAAAATTTACAGGTGTGTTTGTTTGAGGGTTTGGATTTTGGAACGAGATTTGAATAATAAAATTTTGAATTTAAATAATTGTATGATATGATATAAATAAAAATTGATGTGATATTTTGAATGTAAAATTGATTTTTAGTATAATATAAAAACTAAAAAATAAATATTTAATTTGATATTTTTGGAGAAAATTTTTTGTAAAATTAGTAGAAATCCCACAAAATCCCTCGAACAAACAGTCTTCTCAATTCACAAAATCTCACAAAATTATGATGTTTTTGGATTTATATTTAAGATTTCAGAATAATGGAATGAATTGAAATATTATTTTTATATTATCTCAGATGATATTTCAAATAAAAAATAATAGTCCCTCCGTCCCACATAATTTGTCCCTATTTTCTATTTTCCGTTCACATAACTTGTCATTTCTATTTTTGAAAATATAATTATGTACTTTAATCGCATTTTAAATTTAAAAATTTATAATTTTAATTAAACTATTTACTTATCTTAATCTTAATATATAATTATTTTTACTAAATAATAATTATTTTTACTAATACACTTCTGAATTATTTACTAATTATACTTTATTTAAATTCCTATGTCTACATTAATACACTCATATTACATTGAACGGAGAAAACACTAATATTTTGCATAATATAATAAATGTGAAAATCTTTTATAAATGGATGGGACTTTAAAAATATGGTCTACTGCCTCTATCCCTCACCCCCCCCCCCCCCCCCCCACAAATCTCTCTAGTTTGTTTTTTATTTTTCGAGTTAACTAGTAATTTAATACTTTCTCCGTCCGACTTACAAAGTTTACATATTTTTATTTTGGAATGTCCAATTACAAAGTTTACATTTCATTAAATACCCTACTTTTTTTCACAAATATTTTTATTTTACATCACATAATTACTTTTACACAAAAAAGTAAGGGCAAAAATGTTATTACACTACTTTTAACTACACCGCGCCAAAAGTAAATATAACCCTTGTAAATAGACGGAGGGAGTATAATATTTTGTGAAAGAAAAAATATAAAATATCGTAATAGGGTAAAAGAAATATTATAAAATTTCAAAGTAAATGAAGTCATACTATTTCTAATGCTTTATTTTATTTTTTTTTTGAAATATTTTATTTATATTTTCTTATTTATTTATATACATTATTTTTATCATTTTAAATACATTTATAAAATTATTCCAAACAAAAACTAATAATCGAAATGGCAAAAAAGAAAAGATAAAACAAAATCATACTATCTGAAAAAATAATCTCTAAGAGTAAAACAAGCAAAAATAATGGGATTGAGGACATGTAGGGTGTGTTTGTTCGAGCGTTTGGACTTTGGGTTGTGATTTAAATAGTAAAAATTTTGAATTTTAACAGTTGTATGATGTGATATAAATAAGAATGAATGTGATATTTTGAATGTAAAATTTATTTTTAGTATAATATAAAAAATGAAAAATAAGTGTTTGATTTGATATTTTTTGAAAAAAAATTTATGAAAATAGTAAAAATCCCACAAAATCCCTCAAACAAACACAGTACATTTTAAAAATCATATTTAATAAATTATATTAGATGAGAAAGAAATTTTTTAGTAAAAAATAAAGGTTTGTTTTTAATAGTCGCCATCAATTAACGGTATATATTGAATAATTAATCATCTCAAAGTATCGAAAATTTGAACTCATAATTTTACAGTTACGAGTCCACCATCGGATATAAAAATGACAAATAATTGAAGCATTAAAACATGTTATAGAAATGACACATTCAATTATTAAAGCATGATACTCTTAGATTTTTTACATAATATAATAATATAATTTAGGTCCACTTTTTCTTCCAATGATTCATAAAATACATTTCTTTCACTCTCTTTTTTTTTTTTTTAATTTAATTATTAAGTTGACTTTTTATGGATGACCCTTTTTCAGTTACCAAAATAATTTTCCATAAAAGAATTCTAACACTCCCTCCGTTTCATAATTTGGGTTGTGTTTGGCACGAAATTTAAAGAATATTGATATCATATTTATAGTAGGTAAAAAGTACAGGTAAAAGACTTTTTTGCTCTTGTAAGTGAATTAGTGTAAAAAATAGTGGCAATTGTATAATAATAATGAAAAAATAAATGTAGTTTTATAGTAATATGATTATTTATGAAAATGAAACTATTGTTTTGGGACGGACAAAAATGGTAAACAAGACTATTGTATTGGGACGGAGAGTATATATATATATAGTTGTGTGTGTGAGTATTAGAACAAGAAAGAATTGTTTCGAATTATATACGAATTATACATTTAAAAAAATTGTATCAAAAGAAAATTTTGAAAATGAAGTAATATGGAAGTACATCAAAAGTATGCGTAGTGTTTCAAACTTTGATGTTTTCGGATCTTGTCTATCATATATAGTTCGTTTAGTATAACTTGTTTTATCGAACCTAATTTACATATTATTAAATTTAATCGTAAACTTATCCAAAGCGCATCCGAAAAGTAACAGTTGCGGTGTTCTCACGTTAAAGTTGCGGTGTTCTCACATTAAAATAATAATAATAATAATAATAATAATAATAATAAATCATGAATTATATGTTCATATGTCATTTATAGAAGTATGACATATGTAGCTCTTAGTGTTTTGTATTATATTTTTATTATATTAATATAAAAAATGTGTTTGCCACATTACAGTATAGTGTTAAATTTTATGTTCAGCACCGTAATCGCCGCTGATATATATATATATATATTTAGAGTTACGAGTAATATAATTTCAAATAAACAAATCTGTTGGTGTGTTCCAGCGTCGACCTACACCCAAACCCAGATCCGATCCGACCCGGTCCAACCCAGATCCGACCCGACCCGATCCAACCCAGATCCGACCCGGTTTGTTTTTATCTCCCTAAATCAAACCGATCTCTCCCATTCTGTTCGATCTTTTGAATCGGTCTTTCACCCCGTTCCGTCATTCACGGTGCTATCCCTATTTCTTCGGAAATTGATCGAGTCCACCATGGGTGTTGATAAGGTAAGGTTGTTCCCTACTTTTTTGGGTTCTATCCATCCGCCTCTCCTCTATATATTGGGTTTGGGATTTTTGGGAAATGATAGGATCGAGTTCGCTATTCTTCTCTGTTATGTGAGCGACGAACTACTGCCTAGCCTATCGACTTCTCTCGTTATTGTTCTGTCCTGATACTGCATGTGCGAGGAGCACTCTAGGGTTCTTAGGTCACTTCGTGTTAGGTACCACCGCAATCGACACCTTTGTGGGTCACCTCGTTGGACGACTTGGAGTTGGCGAAGGAGTGGCTGCGACCTGAGCCTAATCTACCGATTGATCTATTTCTCTTTCAATTCTTAATATATATTTCTGTTTTTACATTCTTAACTATCGTTTTATCCGCACTAATTATTTGGTTGAGAATCTGTGCAGATCACCCAACGTTTCAGAAAGATCGATAATCCCAACAAAATCTATAAAAATTTCCTTTAAATATATTTATAAGTTTGTATATATATATATATATATTTTATATTGTGTTTGGTAGTGCCATGGTAGACTCGTGAACATGAACGTGAGGTCGCTAAACATATTTTATACATAGTCATGAAATTCATACAAAATTATTTTTATTTTTTATCATTTAACAATACAATTTAAAAAGTAATCCAATCCATGATTGAAACTCATAATTATTAACCATAAAGCAAAAATAAAATATTTAGTAAATTGATGATATATTATGTGAGGTCAAAAAGAGTGTGTTTAGCGTAGGCTTAGGATGTTAATAATTCATCATCATTTCTATCATTATCACAAAACTATTTTATTGTAAATGATATCATATGAAAACAAGATCATGTTTATTTTGTGTTTTCAATCTTGTTTTTATGTTATATAAATTTTTTTTATGATAATATTCAAATTATTACCGGATAATTACATTCAGTATAAATATTGATGAAATTTATACTCCATTCGTCTCATATTTATGTATCCGTTTGCTTTTTGCCCGGAGTTTTAGAAATATTAATATTATATTAGGATATAGTATGAATAAAGGAAAAATGACTAAAATAACCTTATTAGTATTGTGTGATATAAAAGTAATGACATTTGTGTAATATATTGTAAGTTGTAAAGATATTTGTAATGTTAGGTAGATACTACCGTTACTAAAAAATGAAATTGATATTTTGTTATGAGACGAACCAAAATAAAAAAATGAATAAATTGTTAAAAGACGGAGGCAGTATTTTTTATTGGTTTGATAATTGAGAAAGACGATAATGACAGCTATTAGGGTGCTCAAGGATCAAATCAACATCGTTAGCAAATCACGATGAAACAATTAACAATTTATCACAAGACAAATAGTATATTATTAAGTAGCACGTTAACTTACAACAATTAGCATTTCATCATAAGACAGGAAATATATATTGTGTTGTTGTATATTATATGAATATTTGTTATTTTCTTTTAGATATTTCTTGATTGATATAACTATTATATTGAAATAAAAATATATTTTCTTCTAAAATCATAATATATTTAATTTTATAATAGTCCTGATAAAAGTTTCCAAATATGGAAATGACATATTTAATTTTTATAATAATATATTATTTTATCTAACAAAATATTAATCTATCTAAATTAGTGTTAAAAAAAAAAAAAAAAACCCACCATATTTTATCACATAGTTTTCCTTACAAAAACAGATTTATTTTATATGCACACCTAACAATTGAAAAGGGTCGTCGCCTTAAACTTTTTAATATTATTTCTACTTAAAACGTCTTAAAATTTTTGCAAAATTTCTTTTAGACATAATTTTTTTTTATCTCTCTAAATAAAATTTATAAAATCATTCCAAGTATAATCGCGGATAAATGAAAAATTTATTGATAAGACCTTTTCAATTATAGATACATTAATATATATATATATATTAAAATTATACCATGTAAAATGTCATATCTAAAAAAAAATGTTATTGTTACAATGTTAAATGTTCAATATTTTGCTGACATCGTGATGCACAGAAAACACATACTTCATCAGTTCCGCAACAAAAGTTATATATTTTTTTTCGTATTAATTTTTGAATATTAATTATTATATCAAAGTATAATATAAATAAAAAATAAAGACAAAAATATGTTTGTTAGTATGTTATAATACAAATATAATTACATTTATATAATAAGTTATACAAGTATAATGATATTTTTAATACTAAGTATAATAACAAAAAAATAAATAAATATAACTCTTGTTACCAGAGGAAGGGATTACATCATAAGTTAGCAGTACATAGTTTATAGTCATATACTTAATACAAATACACCAAACAAATTAACATATGAATAGTTCATATAGCACGTATCACCATTGATCTTAGTACATAAGATATGTTTATATAGCACACCTATAAAAAATAGTTTTAATACCGTTATAAAGTACGCAAAATAATATTATACACCGATATTCTAGCGATACGCCTTAGAGCTACTAACACAAACATAAATTCCCTACATCAACATCTCCCATGTATATTCTAATGAAAAAGCGCTTCTATAATACACAAAAATATGGATATATTTTAAGCTCGAGGAGCAACTATTCTCTCTCTATATATATAGTGTATGAATTTTGCGTTCAAGGAGCGCCTACTCTATGTATAAAATGTCAATAAATTTTGCGCTCAGGGAGGACTCACTATACGTATAAAATGTCAATATATTTTACGCTCAAGGGGCGCCTACTCTGTGTAAAATGTCCAATATATGTTACGCTCGAGGAGCGCCTACCCTGTATAAAATGTCAATTTACTTTGCGCTCGAGGAGCGCCTACTCTACGTATAAAATGACAATATATTTTGCGCTCGAGGAGCGCGAGCGCCTACTCTATGTATAAAATGTCAATATATTTTGCGCTCGGGGAGCGCCTACTCTATGTATGATCTAGATCATCATTTCGATATATATATATATATAGAGAGAGAGAGAGAGAGAGAGAGAACTAATCTACGATCCATCGACATGTTAGTTAATATATGCATATGGAGAGAATCAAATGCAATGCTCGTATAACCGAAAGACTACTCACCGTGAGGTCCAAAGCTACTCAGCTGGATTTTATAGTCCAGCATCGTCGTGCTCCTTCAAATCAGCGTCGGATATGCGCTGAGGAAGGAGACCGAGGAGAGGGAGAGGCAGTAGGGAACTGAGATTGCAAAAAATAATCAGAGAAGATAAATTGTCGAATTCATCCTTTGTGACGCCGAAGAGCTGAGTTAGTCCAGCTCCGATCAATCCCCCGAGGACGCCTCCACCGTTTGATATGGACATGAGGGTTGCGAAGAGCGTCGCTTCCATGCCCTCCGGGCATATTCTTGCTGCTAATACGAGGACGGGCATGAACGATACCTAGTCGAAAAAGACATCATAAATAAGCCCAGAGAGAATCGCTTCATACATGAATTACTCATTCCGTCATCTAAATTTATTTTTATTTCTCTGTTTTTTCATTGTTATCTAAATCTATTCTCGTTTTTTTTCCTGAACAAAGTATTTATTTGTCTTTTGCGTTATTGTATTTAATATTAAAAATATTCTTATATTTGTATAATTTTTTGTACAAATGTCATTATATCATCATTACAAGACACTAATAGAAATATTTTTTTGTCATTTTTTCCTGAATTGTAGTACGCTTGATATAATAATTAATATGCAAAAAAAACTAAATGAATACCTACGGGACGGATGGAGTACTATTTTTTTCTATTTTTTTTTTCTTTATTCTAAAAAAATGTTTCAATTTTTTTTTAAATTCATGCCCGGTCAAATTGACATACTTTTTTTTTTTTTAACGAGGGACTAAAATATTAGTCCTATCCGACTTTTCGATTTATCCCCAACTCTGAAATCATGGCAAATTGCCAAATCATCGTTACACATTAACTCCGGCATTCCACATCGGAAGTTGGATTGAGATGCGCATAATTCCAATTTTGCCACGATTTCAAAATTAGGTGACAAATCCGATACAAAGTTTATTTACAGGACTAAAGTGATAAGGAGGCTAAAAAACAACTTTTCCCATACTGTTTCGACCTCTCTTATAGGGAGACAAAAACAGCTTTTCCCATAATGTTTCGACCTCTCTTATAGGGAGACGGAGGGAAGGCATGCAAAAGAATAAGCTTTGTTTACACAACCAATTTTAACTTATTTGGCACTATTCATTTTTAAAAAATATCACATTAGATACATTTTTTATCTCACAAAATATCAAATCAAATACTAAGTTTTTACTTTTTACCTGACTGAGAACGGTTATAATCAACGAGTCGCCCATCGCAAACCATTCATCGCTTATGCCTAGTTTCCGGTTCAATCCTGTGACGAGCAAAACCTGATAGACGTGACACAAGTCAAGTTTATATTCACAAGATACAAATATCTGTAAATTCGAGTAGAACGGAGCAAGAGCATACTTGAGTCATTCCAAGAGCTGAACCAATAATGGTCGTGGAGAGAAAGATTTTCCGCAAAGGTACATTCTTTAAGAAGCTATTATAAGCACCAACGCCGAGCAGGGATGCCACAGAAGTTACGAGCTTCACACGCCCCAGAAACTCGGGGGTGAATCCAAGTTTATTCGTGCTGAACCGGAGAGTAAACAGTAATTTGTAATTGTTAAAAAACAAGATATGAAAATGTAATCGACAGCATGATGAGTGCTCACATAATGAACTTACGTACGCGAAATAGAACATGGCGGAATCAGACTGCGGCGTCGCTTGCCACAGGAATATAAACAAGGTTGGCAAAAAAACATTCGGTTGCTTTACAGCGCTCCACAAATCCACGATGTTGTGTTTCATGCTGTCAACAATGCCGGAACTCGTTGAAATTAGATTATGGTGTTTCTCCGGAGCGAGTATTGGCTGCTCTTTGACGAGGACGGCGACTGCAGAGGTTATCAAAGGAAGTGTAGCCGTTAATCCGAAGACAAACCTGCAGGCATTTGAGGATTCATGAGTTAAAACAATGTTTATTGTTAGTTTGTAATAAAAAACAGAATGAGTCGGGCATTCGTGCACCTCACGCCGTAAGCGCCCACAAAGGAACCACTGAAGTAGGAGCTGACAATGCCACCAAAAGCCGAAGAGCCCCAGCAGAGCGACTGAAGTGAACCGGACATGCTTTGTGATTCACCGCGAGCCCTCTCTACAACCATTGAGTCCACAACCTGCACCATGCTTTATTTCCATGGTTTAGCGGATGAAAGAATGTGTAAAGCCATCGTAAGTAGAGCTGTTAAACAAGCCAAGTTTAGGAGAACTTTCATTGTTTAGGTTCGATTTGTTGATTAGATGAAGCTCGCTTGAGCTAATTTATAAACTAGTCTTACTGCCGGTTGAAAAAGTTTCTTTAACTCGCTCGATTGAGAGAGACATTGTTCAAAGAACCAAGTTAATCTTAAATCAGCCGATTTAAATGAATTGCGGATAAGCAAATGATGAACAGAAACAGCAAGAAAGGGGAAAAACAAAGTTCAGTTTGGAAAAAGGGGATCTAGTAAAAGATAACACCAAAGAATTTCTTATTCGAACTTAGTTCATTTAACTTGTCAAAGAGGTTGTTATCGAGTTCGAATGAGATGAACAAACAAATAGCTTGTTCAATCTTGTAAATCTAGTTAACTTACAACCTAGTTAAACTTACCAAAATTTGTTATCATCTTCAGAATTAGAAAATACATAAACCCAGGGGAAATTAGAGCAAATGGAAAACCAGAAACAAAAATAATAAAGTGCACTTACTACATCGGAAAATGCTACAGAAAGTGATCCAAGAAGAGTGCATAAAGCAACACCATATTTGTTATCTACAGAGGTAGCCATCAAACTCCATGAAAGAGTTCCTAAAAGTCCTGAAATCACCAAATAAGACCTTCTTCGGTATCCAAAAAGAGGGATGGAATCGCTGTAACAGAACAATAAAATGTGAGTCAAGACCTATGTTTAGGTAAACAGGAAAAATCAAGATGTTAAAAAAATAAGGTAGGTTGCTCTGCACCTGATGAATCCATACAGGGGTTTAACTAGCCAAGGTAACGCTGAGATACCAGATATGATTGCTGTCTAAACCACAAGAAACATAAGTCGTTCATATATTTTTCACGAGGGCAAGTAAAAGAACCTCAGTCTTACAATGTAGTTAGATTAAGTGCAAAGTCATTGACAAGCTAATCTTTCTCAAAATCAGAATCATTAATCCATGATATATAGGGGTGGCTACTAAGGTATGTTCTTAAAATTTCTTTAAAATAAAACAATTTCAGCTCAAACAATTTAATCCATGTAACAATCATATTTTCATTATAGCATAGACATAACTTCACAACATCTTTAACATATACTTTTATAATTTACTAAATTCGGTCAAGAATCATTTTTCTTTTTCTTTTTAATTAACAGAACTCTTTTTTTCTTTCATATTATGAGTTAATGTACAAAATTAATATTCCAAGTACTACTTCTAATCCTAATGCTAGCTTCTTAGAATTTTAATTCTAAGTAAAAATTAGACCATATTGCAGCCACTACTGATGAAGCATGATGTTAAAATCGCCCTAACAATATAGCATCCGAAATCGTGCAGCTAATGATCAAAACCACCCCATAACATCGATTCTTCATTAATCGAATACATTGAACAGCTGAACCACTTTTGTTGTCTATTATTAAATCACGCAAACATATTGATTCAGAAAGTTGTCTCGGTAAGAGGCATTGAAGCTAGATTCATATCCATTTATAGATTTGCAAAAATTTTAGTCCATGGAGTCACTGCAAGATTCAGAATTAAGAATACCGAAATACCTCTGCAGGGTCTAGCTGCAGCTCATCTTTCAAGTAGAAATTCACCGCAAGCCGAGAAAGACCCAAAACACCTTGCACAAAATATACCATAGCGACCGCAATGTTGTCGGCAGTTACGTCAACTCCAAAGAATCTTGTCGAATTTCTACGACTTATTTCTTTGGATAGTAATACGTCATCGGACGAGATGATTTCTTCATCTAAACTGGTCGTCAATGCAACATTTTTACCTAACAAAAATAAACATTAGATGAACACCCAAGGCATATTATAACAATATAGAGTTATCCTTTTAACAAGATGAAACTTGTTCGACAAGTAATCAAATGTTTGAGGTTTCCATAGTATATATTCAATCAATCTAAACAATTTATACTTCAGCCTTACATGAATTCTACCTCAATCTTATACTTTAATCTAACATAATTTGTTCGAAAATGCTAACTATGGTCCTTTTTTTCCTCGATCATCAGTAAAGAAGAAAATAAGTGTGAATAGATAGATAAACATACTTTCACTCTCTACATGTCTTATATCTTCAGTCCTATAACTGGATCTGAATCTGCCATAGCCAATCTTACTTATATCAAGCTCATATACTCATATTCATCATATTTTAATATCCTTCGTTGCGTTTGTGCATAGCATTTATTGCTCATCGAATTACACAGTAGTAGGAATCATTCAATAATTACAGTTTGGGCGACGGAAGGTTGCAGTAGAAGCAATTTGCTAAATAACGTATCATTTTTCCTATTTCAATTATCTAAAACAATCTGCATCGCAATCCAAAAATCCAAAGCAAAAACATCGAACAATAGGAAAAACTCAAAACGCGAACACCGCACTGGATCCTCCCATCCATCATCAAATTCCAAATTTAATCTCACATAATTCCAAAATTCGAGAAGAAACGCCAGCAAAGCGAAGTAAACATGACTTACGATATCTAGAATCCGACATAGGTTCGGCGTCGGAGTCGCCTCTGTGTCTCCTCGACTGAGTGGAGACGGAACCAGGCGCGTCGAGATCCAGCTGCGGCTTCCGTCTTCTGCGGGAGGCATACGGAGGCGGCGGCGGCGGCGTCTGGCGGAGTCGACGGAGATGAGAATAGTGGGATAGAAGTGAGAATAGGGGTTTTGCGGAGGGTAGAATTGGAAATGGAGTAGAGCTCAACGTCGTGGCTGCCATTAACAGAAAAAAGAACCCGCTGATTTCAGACAGTTGATATAGCAGAGAAAACTAGTGAAGGAAAACGAAGGGTAGAAATCTGAAATGACTATTCTACCCCTGAGCATACACCAGACAATTCTATTGGACGAAAATAATACGGCTACGTATGTTTGGTTATTCGCTTTCATATACGGTTGGACACGAAATTTAAGAAATATTGATATTATATTAATAATTGGTAAAAAATATGGATAAAAGATTTTTTTTTGCACTTGTGAATATATTAGTGTAAAAACTAACAGCAATTGTGTAATAAAAATGAAAAAGTATGGGTAGTTTTACGGTGATATGGTTATTTATAGACACAAGACTATCATTTTGGAACGAAAAAAATGGTAAACAAGACTATTGTATTGGAACGAAATAAGTAATAAAATATTATTTGGATAATATTTAAATTATATACTTTAGTAGAAAATTTAATTTATCAATTTTATCGTAAAAATTACTGGCGTATAATTCTATATGTATAAATTATTTTTATATTAAATTATATATTAATTTAGAATCTTTTATAAATAATATTTATAATTTTTTATACATATAAAATACATATTTATTTAAATCAAATTAATTTGATATACTTTTAAAAAATATATATACAATTTTATTGATAGTAATACAGTTATAATTAAAAAAATTAATTAACTTTAATGTAATTAATTAAATTATTTATAAATTATTGATTAATAAACTATTTTTTAAAAAAAAATTAATATTCAAATAAAATAATAAAATATGAAAAAATAAATAAATATACACAAAAAGAACAAATTCATAAATATTTTGATATTTAATTAAAAAATATTTTTACAAAAAAAATAAAAAAAATTAATTTAGACGAACAAAAATAAAAAAATAGACACTTTTAACTCAAACAAAAAGAGTAATAAATAAAACTTTCAGCAAATAAGCAATCTTATTGATATTCATACAAAATAATACAAATACAATCCATCAAGACATGTCATATGTGATCATAAAACATACACAAAAAATAATAATAGTAATAATATATAAACCTCGAAAAATTGCAAGAACCTCGAGCCCTAAAAATAATTGTTACTATCTGTGCCCACTCGTACATTTGTATAAAGCTAAGCCAAAGCGTAGAATGCGACGATTGTGACAACGGCGATAGAAGCTACAGACATCCTAGTAGAAAATGCCGAATTGCTTCCAGACGGCGTCGTTTTGGATCCACTGTCGCCATTTGGACTTGTGTTTGTATTTGGCGTAGATGAACCAGGTGAACCGGAGGGTGAACCAGCTGTACGCATGGTTTAGACAAAATATTTTATTACATGTTCACAGCTATACTCACAGAAATATTTGTATAAAAATAGAATATGATTAGAGCGTTGTTTAAGACTAATTAACACATGAATAATTAAATTATTAGATGATTATAATTAAATTAGCATGTTGATTTGACTTTTTACCAAATACATATAATTTATATCATGTATTTATACTATGTTAATATACATGTTGTCTCGAGATCAATAGTAATATGTGTCACGTAAATTATTATCATATGCAATTGACTCATATTATATATATATTCCACCTTATCCAAATTTATTTTTATTTTTTTTGTTGTCATTTAAATTTTTTTCATTTTTTAGTAAAAAAATTATCAATTTTTCTACTTTTCCTTTACCCTTAGAAGATTTCTATTTTCCAACTTTTATTAAAACATTTGTCTCGTCAAGTGAGCGCACATTTGAATGACGTAAGTAGTATATATTATGATAATGCGTACACTTATGGATCAATCTTTGCTTATATATAATAAAGATTTATTTTATTTTATTTTTTTTTACAAAAAATAAATCAATAATTCAATACAAAATATTTATTTCCTTTGTCCAAGCTAAAGGCACGGAGTTTTATGTATTTTGTAATTAAAAAGTATATTAATAAAAATAATTATGATTTAATAAAAATAATTATAAATTAAGATTAAGATGACTAAATAGTCTAATTAAAAATAAAATAAATTTTAAATTTTAAAATACGATTAAAGTGTATAATTATATTTAAAAAATAGAAATGACAAATTATGTGTGAAAAACTTAAGTAGGAGCAGTATATTTCGTACCAAAAAAACATCTCAAACTAAAACACTGAACAAACAAAGTCTTTATTTCAAAAGAACCTCAACACATTTTTTATAAAAAAAAATATATTAACAACTATTTTTACCTAAAAAAAATGAAAAAAAAAAAAAAAAACATAATAATCATGTTCAATAAATAATAGTACTCCATCTCTCCTATAATTATAATCTTAGTTGAGGGCACGAGATTTAACAAATATTAATATTATATTAATAATCGATATAATTTATCAAATTTCTTATTAAAATATATATATTAATCTATTAAATTAATTATCAGAAAGAACTACTGCACTTAGTTTATAATCTTTGTTTTTAGTTAAAAAATTTTATTTGAATTTAAATAAATATGTAAATATGACGTTTTATTAAATAAAATAATATGTTCATATAAGAAAATTTATAAAAATCGAATTTATAAAAAAAAAAAAAAAAAAAGTAAAATAACAGAGAGAAAAATTCATTTAATAAATGATAAAGCAGTGCGATTACCGGAGCTGCACTGCGAAACCGGCGGCGTCTGGACATTGCAAGCTCGGGGCAAAGCCATGGCCTGAGTCTGGTTGATATTCAGCCCCAACGCCGACCCGCCGCCGTTCAGCACCTGGCAGAGGCACTGCGGCTGCGATCCAACCACCGTCCGGAGCTGCGTGCAGCACCCGTTCGACGGCGACGACGAGTTGCCGGAGATGTAGTTCAGGCACGGCGAAAGTCCGATCAGCACGTTCGTGCAGTCGTCCGACTGAGCCGCCGCGACGCTCCAACCCACGGCGGCGGCGAGGATCATCACCAGCGCTATTGAAGAAGAAGATGAAGAAGAAGCTCTTCTGTGATCCGCCATTGATCGGAAAATTAGTTTTTGTCGAAACTGGGGGAAATTGGGGATTTGTTGTGGTTCGATTTAAGTTTGGTTTTTAAGGCTTATATAGATGTGTTTGGGGCAGGGAACGCAATTCTCAAGAGCTCCCGGGAGTTCGAGTCCAGGTGGAACATCTAGAAATAATAAAACAGTATTAGGGTGGTAATTGTCCGGGATTGTGAAAATTTACTATTCATCAATTTTTTTTTCGGAAAAACATCAAATTAAATATTTATTTTTTATATTATACTAAAAATTAAATTTACATTCAAAACATCACATCAACATATATTTATATCACATCATACAACTATTCAAATTCAAAATTTTTACTATTCAAATCGCAACTTAAAATTCAAACCCCTAAACAAACACACCCTAGAGTATTATTTTAAAACGAAAGAAGTACTTTTTATATTTTATACTACCTTCGTCCGGCTCCAAGAGTCTCATTTATTTTTTACGTGTTTATATTTGAATATTAATTATTATATTAAAACATATTACAAATTAAAGAAAAATGGAAAAAAAATACTTCTATTAGTGTCTTATAATACTATTATAATGATATTTGTGCAAAAAATTATACAAATATATATTTAGTGTTAAGTATAATGACGCATGAGATCCTTAAAGCCTGGCTGAGATTTTATGTAAAATGATTAATGAATATATTTTATATGAAAATTATGTTTTAGATGTAATTATTATTTTTGAGAAAAATATAATATATTGAATAATAAAAATATTGGAATGATTATGGTATTGATCAAGATAACTAATATTATGTTTGTTTTTTCAATTACATATATAGCAATCAAATAATAAATATTTCTATTTAGTGCAGCGTATATTATTTTAAATAAAAGTATATTGATGCACTGTATTAATATATTTTTTGTATTAAAATTAATTATAGCATGTATTGTTTGGGACTATGTCATGTGATATATTTATATTATATTGATATAATTTATTTGTTAGTTGTCTGTATATAATGTGCTATGTATTCTTATATTATTCTTTATACACAGCGTTAATTGTATAAGTAAAAATTAAAATTAAATAGAAAAACACATATTATTTTTAGTATATTATGTTCGAGCTTTAAAATTAAAAATTGAACTTAAAATTTAGGTACACGATTTGGAAATATCTAAATATAATACTTTGGTTAGAATTGGAAAATGCTTATATAGTTATATTCATTTCAAATATCATTTTTTTTTTTTATAATGTAGAAGTCAATATATATATATATAAATATTATTTTAATATAAATTAAATAAATTTTCAATCAAACTTAACAGCGCATAAATCATATTAGTTAATTAAGAAGACATACAAAATTTCTGTCACAAATATTAAAGTTCACGCAAATAACAATATTTCTTTTTTTTTTTTTTTTTTGATCGGAAGCAAATAACAATATTGGAGGGGAAGTGATGGACGGTGTGGATGGATTTGGAGTGGGAGTCCCGGGAGTTGGCAAGAATTGGGTAGGGACAGAGGGGTTGGGAGTTGGTCAACGAAGACTTTTTAGATTGGGTAACCAACTTTCGGCCTACTGCTTCGATTGGTTGATTATTTGTAACTAAATTTTGAAAAAGGTAACGGTTAGTTGAGCAACTAATGTATTAATTAATTATTTTTATTTTATTACAATACAAGATGCGTGCAAGCGACACGTGGCGCTTAATTAATTATGGTCAACTGCTGATCCTTGTGGTCAAACTTACATTTTATTATTATTATTATTATTATTATTATTATTATTATTATCTTCTCAGCTTATTTTATAAGTATTTGTTACTTTTATTGGGAAATATATATTGGGAAAAAAAAAGTAAGAAAGAAATAAAGATACATATCTAAGCTTTATTATAACCAAAAATTATGTTAGTTAAACTAACTTTAACAAACTAGAAATTCTTGGCATAGCTTTTGGTATTTTGGATATTTTAATTTTTATTATTTTCAAGTAAAATAATAATTGAATATACTTTTATATATATATATATATAAATTCATTAAATCAGTACAAATCCTAGTATTAGAAAAATTAAATAAGAACAAACAACATTTCAAGCTCACCTAAATCTCAATTATTTTTCATAAAATAAAATAAAATAAAATAAATTTAGTTAAGGTAGTTGAACTAGCCCTAACCCTACCCCCTAAAAAAATCAAATAAAACTTAAATAAACCCTAAGTTTATAAACACCCTAACATAAAATTTTATTTCCATCCAAAACATTCATCTCTAAAAATTTGAAACACACATACACTACAAACATGGCAAATTCTCCAAATTTTCAATTAATCTTTTTAATTTTATTATTTTTATCTTCGCTCGTCGTCCCGCCGTCGAATGCGCAATCGAGCACGTTGTGCACGGGCGCTATGATCCGTAGCTTCAACCCGTGCATAGGCTTTCTCACGGGCGGTGGGTCGGGCGCAAACTCGTCGCCAACGTCGGGTTGTTGTAGCGCGCTGAAAGATCTCATGAGTAACGGACAAGATTGTCTTTGCCTCATCGTTACGGGCGGCGTCCCGTTCCAAATTCCCGTCAACCGCACTCTCGCTATCTCGCTTCCCCGAGCTTGTAAAATGTCCGGTGTTCCTGTCGAGTGTAAAGGTAACATTTCGTTTCGCCATTATTTTTTTTAAATTTTTATGTTATTCATTGTTTCTTATTAGCCTCTTCAAATATATTAAATTAAATAGTTATTTTATTATTTTATCTTAAAATTTAATTTTTAAATTCAAACTATCACATCAATATTTATATATATATATATTGTAATTCAAATTTTTTACTATTTTCAACTCTAAAATCAATTCTCAAACCTACTATGCAAATACACCATTTTTTGTACCTGTATAAGCCGATTTACAGTTTTTACGAAATGCTTATATATTTTTTAATAAAAATAAATTATTTTTTCTTAAAAAATACTCATTCTATCCCATATCTATTTATTCAGTAAAAATAAAGGTAAAAAGACTAAAATATTATTATTATTATTATTGTATGATATAAAAATAATGATATTTGTGTAATATATTATAAATTGAAAGAGTATTTAGGATGGTTACTAAATAATAAAATGAATTCTTTGTTATTGAATGGACCAAAATGAAAAAATTAATAGATTGTTAAGAGACGAGGATCGAACAATATTATAATTTCCCAAAATACGCAGAATATGTTTCTTTTGAATTTTTATCTATTTTTTTTACTATTTAAATTTTATTTTTTTTCTCCTACAAAATATAATATAAGAAATTTAAGTTAAAAGTTCAAATCACCAAATATAATCCAGAAGGAAAAGAAACACTTAGGATTTGTTTATTGCATTTTGAGTTTGAAAATGTTAAGGAGAAATAATCGTTTGGGTACGAAAAATGGATTTGTTAATTTGTTTTCGATTTTTATTTTTTTATTTTTTTATTTTTGAATTATAAAAATGTAAACAGAATATTGATTTAATGTTTATAAATTTAATATATGTGTTAGATTAATTTATTTGAAATGATCCCATATGAGACTAAATTCAAATTAATATTTGTTGACCTCATAAAAATGTTCGATAATAGAAAATCAATTAATTTTAGTTCACTCTGAATTCTTTAATTTTTAATTTAAATTATTTTATAAATATATATAATTATTTTTAAAATTATTATATTTAAAAAAGGATCTAATAAGTTGGCTAATCATTGCAGGGACAGCAGCAAGCCCAGTTCCACCTCCAGGTGCATTTCCATTTTCCAATACTAATTTTATACCAATAATTATCATTATTTAAAACAAAAAAAAAAAGAAGATATTTTTAATATTTTTTGTAATTTTAAATAATTCTGGTAAAAAAAGAAAATTAAAATAATAATAATAATAATAATAATAATAATAATAATAATAATAATAAAAGTATATCTGATTTTAAATATTAATATATGTTGGCAGATTCAGGATCTCAAGGCCAGGACCAACCAAACTTGTCCCCTGGACTATCTCCTCCAAGTCCTACAACAGGTAACCAACTTAATTATTTACATATAGTCATACAGCAGTACTCCCTCGGTTGTGCAAATATGTGTTTATTTGATCGGACATAAATTTTAATAAAATTAAATAATAATTATTATTTTTTATTTTTAATAGTAAAAAAAAATACAAAAATATAATAATTTTTTACTTAAAAAAATAACGAGAATATTTTTCAATGACAATTCAAAAAGAAAAGTGAGTATATATTTGATTTGAACGACGGAGGGAGTATTATTTTATTTATTTATTTACTATACAATGTAAAAGTTACCCATAAAAAACATACTAATTTTACACATAAACTAAACTCACACACAAAAAAAAAAAAAAAAAAAAAAAAATACTTTTTTTTAAAGAAAAAAAAAGAAAAAAATTTTTAAAACACAAAATGAACATATCCTAAGGTTATATTTGGTATTTTACTTTAGATATTGTGTTTTCTATTTGATATTGCTAAATTGAAAATGCTGGAGATGATATTTTATATAAAAATAAATATTTAATGTAATATTTAAAAATAAAAAATTGAAAGATTTTATAGTAAAGGAAAAAAAAACTAAAAGAGCATTTCCTTTTGGACTTTATACAATATTTTACTATATAAAATTCATATTTTTTAAAATATATATATTATTTTTCTTACAAAATATTATATAAAATATTATTTAAATAAAACTTCTAAATTTTTTTATTCAATTCAAAAAATACATATATATGTTCTAAAATTTATTTTATATATTCAGGTCCACTTCTTCCTCAGCCATTTACGCCGCCGACACCGGGAGGTGAGTTGACGCCGCCACCGGATGAGGACATAATTCCGACGCTTACGCCGCCGGGAATGCGCCCGACTTTGAATCCATCGGCGGCAACATCGACGACGATGAATAAGAGTTTTGGGTCATCACTAGTTGTTATAGTTTTAGGAGTTTTTATTTTTATGAATTTGAAACTTGTTTAAAAATTTTATTTTTAGACACATTTATTCTTTTTATTAAAAAAAAAAGGTATTAAATATTAATGAAATTTATTTATTTTATTTTTGTATAAGATGGTGATTTAGCTAAGTATTTTTTAGTAAGGGTATTTATCAATTATATTTGGAGGCAAGTGTGTTTGTTTTGTAAGATTGTTGGAAATTAAACTTTTTTAGCGTGAAATATAAGAATTCGGTATAAAATATAAAAATAATAAATGTGTATAATATAATACATTTATTTATTTAGAGAAAATGTGTGAAAAAATAATAGAATTTGATTATTTTAAATTTATAAAATAAACTTATAACTCCGTAAATAAAATGTAGTAAAATGATTAATAAATACTATAAATGAAAATTCTAAAAATAAATAGTCTTACATATAGATACACGACCTCTATTAATCCCAAAGATACACTATTTATTTTTTGTCAAGAAATAACAAAAAAAATGCAAAATTGGAACTCTTGCAAAAAAAAAAAATAATAATAATAATAATATATTTTAATAATAAGTAATAATATATTTTATATATAAGACTATTTTGCTCTTACTATAATAATATTAATATAAATTTAAAATATATTTAATATACGGTGAGATCTATAACTACTAAAGAAATAGGAGAATCAATATTTATGTTTGTATATAATAAAAAAGTAACAAAAACAAATATCTTAACAACAGACGGATAGAAATTATACTGTTGTGTGTATGTGTGGGTATATATGTAATTATGAAATGTGTGGGGGCATATATGTAATAATACATGCACTTTATTACATAAAATAAGAAAATATGGCCAACAAACACAACATTCCTACCTCATGAATTTGACCATTGACCATAAAAATCTCATAGATTCAATTGAAAGAATTTAATTAATTTGTGACATCCTTTAATATTAGTGGTTGGAGTAAGAGTGAGAGTAGAGAAAGAGTGAACAGAGTGTATGAAGTTTTAAGAAAAATATTCTTTTTATTTAAAAAAATAAATTAAATATTTTAATATTCACTTCTATATTAATTTAAGAATAATTTTCGATTAAATATTTTTTAGAATCGAGCATTACGTCAATATCAACTTGTTTCACCTATTTCTCGTTTCTAACGCGGACGGGATCCTCTGTTCCAGACAGAATCTTGTCTCATTGTCCCATACACACATTGTATGTATAAAATACTTTATATATACACACTATGTATGTGGGGATAGGGGGATAGAATTTATTTTTAGGACAGGTGATCCCATGGGTCTCTAACGTAACTAGTAAACGAGCGGCATCGAAATGAGGAGAATGCACACGCGCGAGCGAGGCAATAACTTGATGAGCCGAGTAGGTACGCATCACGCCTAAGCAACCGCTACCGTCTTTTAGGTTTTTACGTAGACTATATACGATCTTTCGATTTGAGTTTCCTCCGGTGCTCAGAAAGAAAAAATGGGATTGCCTTTCTTTTCGCTCGTTTGGTTCTCGACGACACTTTTTGTTTTGATACTATCGATGAGAACTGTGAATTCGCAAGTTGAGGGATGCTCTTTAGTTGGCATCGACGTGGAACACTGCTTAACGCCAAGTGATAATCCGCAGTTCTCGCTCGACTCTTGTTGCACTTCTCTTAATATTGTTGTTAAAGCCGGATACTATTGCCTTTGCTCTCTACTCGGCCCTTCCGAGTATTCTTTTCTCAACACTCGACTCGCTATTTCATTCTCGAATTGTAACATATCAATTCCTTCTATAACTCATTGCCAAGGTAAGATTCTAAGAGCAAAACCATTTCCCCTCTCTCTCTCTCTCTATATATATATGTATAAGTAGAAGTTTGCGCTTTAAAGAGTAGCTGAATTGGCGTGGAAATAAACTTGTTATTGCAGAATATTATATCCAATCGAGGTTTACTCACTGTGCACTTAAAAATCATCTCCTTCCTCTCTCTCTATATATATATTTTTATAAGTAGAAATTCACCATATAAAGAATAATTGAATTGGTACGGAGGTAAACTAGTTATTGCAAACTATTCAATCGAAGTTTACTTAGTGTGCATTTAAAAATCATCTTCTCTCTCTCTCTCTATATATATATATATATATATATATGAGTAGAAATTTGCCTTATAAAGAGTAGCTGAATTGGTGTGGAGATAATCTTGTGATTACAAACTATTACATTTAGTTGAGGTTTACTCAGTGTAAACTTAAAAATCATCTCCTATATATATATATATATGTATATGTATAAGTAGAAATTCGCTCTATAAAGAGTAGTTGAATTGGTGTAGAGGTAAACTTGTTATTGCAAACTATTCCATTCAATCGAGGTTTAATCAATGCGTACTTACAAAAATAACAGTGATAGATTTTCATACAATTCATATATATATATATATATATCTTTATAGTTGATTCACATGTTTGTATTTCTTTCGATTTTCACTTGTACATGAAATTTCAAGTTGTAGAGCCGCAACCGATGGCTATGCCGCCACCGGAAGCCACGGTGGCGCAGCCAATTCAGATGCTGGCGCCGCCCAACCTCCCAATAGGCGACGAGTTTGTGCATTTGCCGCCAAAAGTGGAGGAAAGCACCACAATTTCAATTGGCAACAATTCTTCGGCGACAACAACAGCCGACACAAATGAAAACCAAAGCCCGTCGCTGCCCAAGCTTAGCATCCCGGAGCGCTGGGGATTTATTCAGCAGTCGAACCGAGCGCATCGTATTATCATGCTTTCGACAAAATTGCTTCCCGTCGCTGTTTTCGCATTTGCTGCTTGATATTTTTGTCGTCGTTTTTTTTTTAAATATATATATATGTTGAGTTATTAAAACTACTCGAGTATTGCCTCTATTTACTTTTTGAAGTTGAATTTGTTGTTTTCATATTATTCATCAAAATTTTATTATTACAAGAAAATAAAAAATTGGATTATATGATACTTTTTCAAGTTTTTAAGCAAAACTTATTCTAATTCAATCTAACTTAAATTGCGATTCCCAATAAATAATAATAAAAAATAAAATATTTTATACAAAAGTTTTAAAAAAAAAATTTTTAAAAAAAAAAACCTTTAAATACTCTGTTATAATTTTTTTTCAAATACTCATTACAAAAATATCAAATTAAAAAAATAAAATAAAATATATGCATTATTTCTCCAAATGGTTTAAGAAACATGCAACTTCCCCCTTCTATTTTCAAAAATTGAGACTCATATTGCAATTTGAGAAAATTTTGTATAAATTACGAGGGAAAATTAGAAAATGGTGCCAAATTTTCCAAATCGTATATAGTTATAAAAAATTGTACCAAAAATTAAAATAAATAAAAATATCGATCCAATATGTTTGTCATACCAAAAATTTCAATATGTGACACATGGATTAATACATACCATAATTTTTTGTACAAATATATGCTTTGATATCTTAGGATGAAGAAAATACTAACGACCAATCAACATATATAATAAAAATAAACAACACATGTTTCTATATACCGATATATTCCTATGTTCAACTATAAATCGATACCATACAAATAAATCTACACATGCATGTGTCGAAAAGATGCACACAACAAACAATATCGAGAAGATGAAAACAACAAAAACAAGAAAAGTTATGAATTTAGCGCGCACCGGCGAACACAAGTTTAGTTAAAGTGCAAATTCAGCGCCGCAGTTTACCAAACCCGAACAAATCCAAAATATCATAAAGAGTTACTTAGCATTAACGTTTAACAAACATTCAAAGCTATATTAAACGAGTTCGTACCTTTAGGAGGAAGCAGATACGGCGGCAGGTTCAGAAGCCGGGATTGGAGCATCCTTGATGGACTCGCGCCAGGCGTATTCCCTCGCCCCGTCCTTGTCGACAATTTTGATTACGAAGTTAGGCGGGGCGATCACCAGCCTGCTTCGTATTTCCATTATGATCTTGTCGACCAGCTCGATGGCCTCTTCGACAGTCATGTCATTGCGGTAGTACCTGTCCATTGTCGAGAGTGCAAAGTAGGATCCGTAGCCGAATGCTGCTTTGTCTAGCTTGTGTAGGGATGCGATGTAGTCGATGAAGAAGAGCGAAGGGCCCGTCTCCTTGTCATACCCGGCAAGAATGATATTCACCATGTACGGATTCTGGGATTAATGTAAAATAAATACAGTACAGTCAAAAATATAGACGTAATCACGAATTTGAATTGGTTCTTCTTGCACCCGCCCTTTGTTAAATGATGTTATCCTCGTGAATTAGCAGATTCGCATGATTCGGAAGACGCTTAAGAGTTTCTTTTTTAGAATCGCAGAGGTCACTCATCATATAATGTGACTTGTGATTATCAAGCGGAGTCAATAATACTATCCTGAAATAACGGGCTAGTTAAAAAGAAGAGAAAGAAGAGAAATTACTGTGGCCTACTGCATTTGGAAGACGACAAACAAGCAGAGTAAGAAGAGAAACAGAATAAAAAGATTAAATATGAAGTTGACATCGAGTACTCATTTGTAGCTTAAATTTCGTCTAAGTTTATACGAAGATATCTTTAAATTCCCTAATGAACTTCTAAGACTAGTACTTAATTTAACTGCTGTCCGAATGTCTTTCCAACAAACATAAAAATCGCATAGTTTTAGATATTCCGAGATAAAATGCTTTTCCTTCATAGATAAGCTTGCTGATATCTTCAAGAGCAAAGAAAGATATAAAGGAAAATTTTGTGTCAACCGCGAATTCTTTGAAATTAAACAATGTTCTGTTCACTACAGTTTGAATCAATGCCACATTATAAAGAGTCGGAACTTCACTCACATTCCCCACACCCATGTCATTCCACAAATTAAAAGGGCCAACGTCTTTTGATTCTTATATTTTCTACGCATCATTAGCATGCAATTTGATTCCGCATAGCTCTAGTGTAAGCATATATTTTCGAAATAAAAATAGTAATAGAATTAATTGACAACTTTCATGTTGAATTTGAATCAGCACATAAAGAATTTGATTTTAAACAAAGGCAATTCAAAATCTCAATCCTAACCAAATTATTGAAATAGTTTTTATCCTTATCCTATTTTTGCAATCAAATTTGGAACCGAATTCGGTATATGGCATATCACAAAACTTAAATGTCAAATTCACATAATTCCAAATTTTGATAAACTAAAATGCATATATATCACCAAACTTAAATGTTTTAAAATTAACATAATTCCAAATTTTGATAAACTAAAATGCATATATCACCAACATATACATCAAATACATATATTTTCAAATCTTTGATAAACTAAGATAGTAAAATGCATTACAACTATAATCTAAATAAATGTATATGTATCGTATATAGATCAAATCTGATTATCAAATTCATAAATCCTTATAATCGATTAAACTAGTTCATATTTCATATTATATGAACCCAGATTTCCAATTACCGAATCCGCAAATCCCTAGTTATAAACACATAATTTTCATAACATTAGCAAGCAGAATACATCAAACTCCAATATATTAAGAAATTACCTTCCGCAAAGCCGTAGCAAGCTCGCCTCTAGTGAAGTTTGCAGTAGCAGCAGTTGTCAAAGGAATGCCATTGCGGAATTGGTACAAAGCCACATTCTTCTGGATGTACTCTGTAAATTGAGCCCTAAGACAACATCCCAAGAAAATTAAACGTCAACCATTACGACCAAGACATCAGTAAGTGGAGCCATAGCCAGCAGAGTAATCGAAAAGGAGATAACATTTTTAATTTCAATAATATCCATTTCTATCCATGATGACTTCATTTCATCACAAATCCTGAGATGATAAGCAAATTTTTTCATGATCCAAACTCAAATAAACACCTAGAGCCATTGAATTCATACAAACTGATGAAATTCGTCAGAATCTTAACACACACATGAGAAAAAACTAAATACATAAAACAAACAACACAAACTACATCACTGCTGGAATACTACAGCCATTGAAGAGCAACCATGAGAAAAATCATAAACACAATAAATTTCATCAGAAAAATTTCCATAAAATCAAAATCAGGAACTGATAGCCTGCGCGCGCACCAAAAGCGAATCAAACAACAACGAATTCATTCACATACAAAGGAAACCTCACCTATCCCCGGTCTCGCCGGAGGCGCCCATCAGTTTGTGAGAATCAAGGAGCATGATCTTATCCTCGTTCGTCTTGTGCACGAGGATGCTGTGGACCGCCGATGTGTCCGCCGCCACTATCGCGAAATCCTTACCCACCAATCCGAAAACCGACTCCATTTCTTCTCCTCTTACCAACACAGCTCGGATTCCCCAATTCCGATCTCAATTCAGAGCTTACCACTTCAAATCTGGTCTACCAATTAGGGTTTTTGGCTCTTCGCTCGTTCGTGAAATGGTCGATTGTATTCTTCAATTTCAGTGAAGTGGGAAGAAAGCAACTTGGGGAACAAGATTTCTACTAAAAACGTAGTTTACAACGCACTAAAATCGCATTACATATAATAAGAGAAAAGTGTAGCTTGATATTTACTACTTTTACTTAAAATTCAAACAAACAGGTGGACGTGCCGGAGTGGTTATCGGGCATGACTAGAAATCATGTGGGCTTTGCCCGCGCAGGTTCGAATCCTGCCGTCCACGTTTTATTTATTTATTTGTTTTTCTGAATTTTAATTTATAATAATGTAATTATTTAAAATATAGACTAAATATGTTTATATTTGATTGAAATTTTTTCCAAAAGAATTTAATATTTATCAATTTTTTTCCTAAAAATATCAAATTAAGTTTAGTACATTAGTATTTTATAAGTAATAACACAATAGAAAATTTAAAAAAAAAAAAAAAGAAAAGAAAATTTGCTCTTAAACCCACTTATTTTTTTAGTGATATTGTTTATAATATTGTGTAAAGTATAGAGATATTTTTTATTAAATTAAAAGGTCTTTCTACTATTAAAAAAATGTTTTAGAAAATATCCACATTGGCATAGTCTAGTTTGAGACCCATTTTCCTTTTCATGCTTAAGTAATTATGTCTATTTTCCTTAAATGTAATTAAAATAAATTATTTAAATAATTATTAGTAAAAAATTAAATAGATTGATTTGAATAGGTTAAGATTTAATTGCTATTAAAATTGTATATTTTTATCTTTTATAGAAATTGTCTTCTTATTTGGATGGGACAAAAAAAAAAAAATGATGAGATAGAGGAAATATATAATGAAATCTTGTAAAATATATTTATATAAGCAACACTATCCTCTGCTTGGGATTACTCAATGAGAAAAAATATATTTATATTTGGGTCTAGATTTTGCATGTCACACATGGTTCGTCTATTATCACTTACCTTATTAGGTTTACTTTGCATACTATTAAGTTCGATCGGGGGTTTACCCAAAGCACACCCGAAAGGCAGCGACTGTGAATTTTTACATTATAAAAAAAAAAAAAAAAAAAAAAAAAAAAAAAAAATCATCTCTTATACATACAAACCACAAGGGTAAGGATGAGTTCAAATTTTTTGTTTACTTTATGTTTGAATATGTCTCATAGCACACAAGGCTAAGTCATGCTGTCTTTAGCGTGAGGTTTATCTAGTGCCTTAAATATATTTATGCACTTTGTATGTCATGTAAAAATGGATTCAAATTTTTCAACACCTTTCCAATCGAACTTGTCACAAAACCCGTATAGCTAAGCCAAAAATTATATTAGCGTGTTCTTGATTAAGTTTGTCATACAACTTATAGGGCTAAGCTACATTGCACCTTAGAGGTACCTATTGACAATTCGAAGAATAGCTCGGCCTGAGGATTTATTTAATGTACACTTGAAAATATAGCAACAGTAGTTGTTCACATGTATAAAAGTATTTCTTGTCATTTTGATTATCAGATGAACGGGGAAAGTTACAATGCTGGATTTGGAAAATGAGCAAGGGTGTCAGTACACGTAAAATATAGAAACGGCACATGCCTTTATTACGTATAACATATGCTATTTGTAATAAAAACATGTGTTGTATATTCATAATTATAGCGTGTGATGTATGAGAATATGTCATGTGTTAAAATCAGGTATTGTATGTGTTATGTGAGACTATATCATGTCATATTAAGTCATGTGTTGTATTTGTATTATATTAACGTATATTATGTGTTGTCCATGGTAACACCACACGATGTGCTATTCAACACATTATTGAATTTTATATTCAGCATTGTAGTCACCGCTCAAATGAATTGATATTGCAGCGCGGCGTCGAGTTCTCCAGCAACCAGCTGGAGATGGGTAGCAAATCGTCGCTCAATCGACAACCTTCTCAAACAGCTCCGACGGAAGGAAAACTTCTCCCGAATGGACTAACGACTTCCTTCACCGAAACAAACCGGACAGCATCGATCTCCGGCCATCTTCTCTGGCAATCCAGAAAAGATCGACATGTTAAGAAGGGATCCGGGCATCCAACCTAAAACCAATTAGTGATAAGTGGGGTGGCCCTTCACCCTTATATAGTAGGGGAGTTCCCACACATTTAGCAATGTGGGACAATATTCAACACTCCCCCCTCAGGATGATAATCTCGAAAATCCATACAGGATCCAAACTCAATACGGGCACCATGACTCTGATACCATGTTAAAAAGGGATTCGGGCATCAAATCTAAAACCAATTGGTAATATGTGAAGTGGCCCTTCACCCTTATATAGTAGGGGAGTTTCCATACATTTAGCAATGTGGGACAATATTCAACACGACGGCGCCTCCGTTGGGACAGAATCAAACAACTTTGGCTCCAAACTTCTTGTTTAGAACTCCAATCTAATAAATTTAACCTGATTGCATTAGCGTAGTCAAAAAAATCTGCAAAATTGATTGAGAGTATAATGTTCTTCAAATTTACCAACACCTCCTCAAAAAACCCATGCCATTACGATGAGATATAAAAAAATAATGGATGTTACATTTAGACTTAATACACTTTAAGTCCAATAAATTTAATAGATCATGTATGTTAAAAAGACATCCGGACTTCTAACCTAAAATCAATTGGTGATAAGTGGAGTGGTCATTCACCCTTGTAAATCAAGGTAGTTTTCACATTATTTTTCAATGTGTGACATATTCAACACTCCTCCTCGAGATGATAATTTCGAATATTCAAATAGGATTAGAGTTGTAAATCTTGAATTTGAGTCGCACTGTCTCCATTTGTCGTCGTCTATGGGCAAATTTAGTTTGGCCGTGTTTATCCCCTTTACCGTAAGGGGCATGTTAGTTGACTCTCTTTGTAGAGAAATAAATAAATGATATGTATCCCTAAAAATTTATGCTAAGCTTTTAGGTAAGTAAGTCATTTAAATCATCTAACAATTTATACACTTAATCTAACTAATTGTCTAAAACATTTATATTTAATTCACAATTAAACTTTTAATCCAATCTAGCTTTTTCTAATTTTTCTTCATACTTCTTACCGGTTGGTTAAAGGGACGATGATTTCGACTCAAACCCAAGAGGTGAGTAGCAATGATAACGACGCCTCAAGGTTAGATTGTTAACAATAAATGTATAGGGTATGTTTTTTTTTTTTTTTTTTTTTTGCCAAAAATTTCAGGTTTTTACTATTTGGGCTATGCGTTTTTCGAAAATATATATATATATTTTACAAAACATGTCTATCATACATTATTTTAATACCAATGGTGCGTTTGGCAATTAGCTGATAGCTTTTAACTTTCAGCTGATTCAATTAGTTGGTTGACTAGCTGATTCAATTAGCGGTTTATATTAAAGTGTTTGATAAAACAACTGTTTGACATTAACCATCTATACATAAATGACTATTAAGAACATTGATATGTTATTTTTTAAAATATTTAATTTTGTTCATTTTGGTTTGAAATTTATGAGAATTTTTGTTATTAATTATTGAAAATTATAAAAATATTATAAAATATTTATTTTTTATTATTTGGATTTGAGAAAATTATTTTTACTATAAAATAATAATTTTTTATTAAAATTATGTAAAATATAAAATAATAAATCTTTGGCAAAACAGCAAAAAATCCCATGTGGTTTACCGAATCTGCTAAAAACCCCATGTAGTCCTAAAACTCCAAAAAACCTACTCGTGGTTTGTAAAACGTTGCACACTCGGCCCCACCTTTTAAATCACACTGACGGCGTTAAATTTTACCTTCATCAGACAGTTATGCCCTAATGATTCTCTCTCTTTTGTTCTTTCTTCTTCTCTTCTCCACAACCTCTTTCTTCCATTTCTTTTCTTCTCCAAATTCTTCTTCAAACATCTTCTTCCTCAATTTTTCTCTTCTTCTTCTCCAATTATTTCTATATCTTCTTCTGTTCTTTCTTCTTCGCTTCATTCTTCTTCTCTTCTCCCCAACTTCTTCCTTTCATCTTCTTTTCTTCCCCAAATTCTTCTTCACACATCTTTTTCTTCAATTTTTTTTCTTCTTCTTCATCTCCAATTCTTCTTTGAAGAATGAAGAATTGAAAAAGAATAAAAATAGAAACAAGATGATGGGCAGAAGCGGCTTGGAGTAAGGAAGAAGAAAGGAAGAAAAGAAAGAGAAGAAAGAAGAGAAGGAAAAAAAGAAGAAGAGGAAGAAGGGCTGGATACCAATTTTTTTTTTCTCCCGTTTTTTTTTCTTTTTCTTTTTTTTTTTCCCCAATTTTCTTTCTTCTTTATTTTTTCTCTCTAATTCTTCCGTACGCCGTTGCAACCAGAAGCAAACAGGTTTTTCTTTCTTCTTTCTCTATCTTTTTTTCCCCAATTTTTTTTTTTTAAATTTTTTCTCCCTAATTCTTCCGTACGCCATTTCTTTCTTTCTTTCTTTCTTCTTAGATTGATTTCAAATTTTGATGTCAAATTGATTTCTTAAATTTTTTAGTTTGCTATTTCTGGGTTTTGTAAAACACAAGAAGAAATATTTGTTTGGTAAAATAGAAGAAGATCCATGTCCGGTCGATTAATTGTGATAAATTTGGGATTTGTGTCGAATTTGGTTATATTTAACGGATTTTAAATAAAAAAAAATGAATTGAGAGTAAATTCTGAAAGTATGAATAACAATAAGAAAGAAGAAGAATAAGGAAAGAAGAATAAGGAAGAAGAAGAACGAGGGAGAAGAAGAATAAGTCATTAAGGTATTTCAGTAATTTTACACATAAATATATCACTTTATGGACAAAAAATCGTATTTCAGACGCGTGGTATACAACCTCCGTTAAATCCTAACGGAGGGGGGATTTTTTGCAATCTTTTACAAACCACGAGTAGGTTTTTTGGAGTTTTAGGACTACGGGGGGTTTTCAGCAGATTTGGTAAACCACAAGGGTTTTTTTTGCTATTTTGCCTAAATCTTTCGTATATATATTTTTATTATGTTAATTATTGTTTTAATATATATAAATAAATTAATAATCTTTGTTTTTTCTATTTGATTTAGTTTTAAAATTTTATATATTTTACAAATAATATAATTTATAGGTAATAATTAATAATAGTAATTATTTCAAATTTGCAAAAATAAAAATATAATTTAATAAATTAAATATATTAAAAATAATTAATAAATACTGCTCTAAAAATATATTTATATGTATAAAATAAATAATTATGTTTTAAGGATAAATAAGGAATAACCAAAATTAAAATGAAAAAGCTCTTTCAAAATGCTCATGCTTTTTGAGTCCAAAAAGCTCTTTAAAAAGACTAATTTACCAAATACTTAAATTAGTTTTTTAGTTAAAAGTTTTTCAAAAAGCTGTTTCTCAAACACCCTCCAAATCTAAATCAAAATTTTTCCAAACCCATTAAAAATAAAAATAAAAAATAAAAAAATAAAACTCCCATAGCAAAATCAGATGAAAATCGCACAACCAAACACGGCCCAAGAACCTTACAAACAAACACGTCCAAAATCAATCAGCCCAAGCTGAACAATAAAGAGGGTTGATCAAATTTGACTTGACGACCACAAAAAACAATGGGAATAAATAAACAAAATCGTAACTACCGTGTAGATAGTGACTGATCCAGACAGAATCAAGTAAGAGGAAGGAAGAAATGAAGGAAGGAAGCCACGTAATTTAATTTAATTTAATTATTAATTAATCAATCTACCGTGTGAGTACCAGCAGCCAATGAAGACGATTTCCTTCCTCCTCAAGCTCCACCATTTTCCGTGCTCCACAAGCTTGCTTATCGTCATCCCTCACCTATAAATACACAAACCAATCAATCAACGAATCAATCAAACAAGCAATTCCTCATTTCTCCAACACTACACACTCGCAATTCATACCTGTTGAAGTTGAAATCGAAGTTGAATTAATTGATTCGTGATAGTGTAATACTACCTCGAAATCGGAATCAGAGAGAGATGATGGCGGCCAATTTCTGGTGGAGCTGTGTGAGCTGCTTCGTTCCTTCTTCTTCTTCTTCTAACCCTAACCCTAACCCTAACTCAAAATCGAACTCTGCCTCGCGCCGTGTGTCTGATTATGAATACGAGAAATCTTCCTCCTCCACCAAATCGAAGCCTGCCAATAAGGCGGCTAATCGTCCTCCGATTCCGGTTTCGTACTTCCCGATCAACTCGCAGGTCTCCCGCTTGTAGACGACGATTCTCACTGCTGCATACCTTTTATCCTCTCTCACACTATTAACTAAATCGGACGCTGCTATTTAAGGGCGGTTTCCGTGAGGAATTTTTGAGGGAAAAAAGAGCTTCCGAAGGGAGAGGTTACCGCTGACCGGGGCAGATTCGGAAATTGGATTTGCCCCGGTCGGTCAGCGTATAAGAAATCGGGCACACAATAAATTGTATTAATTGAAATTTGTATGAATATAATTTATATATTAAGATTATTAATAATAACAATAATATATGTTCTTTAATAATTTTTATGTGATGTGTGTATTATATTTATATTTTATTAGTATAAATTATCTTCTAGGTATTGAAGGATAACGTGTTGTTCAGGCTTTCGGAAGAACCCTGAGAAAAAATAGATTTTAGGTTTATAAACACACTATTAAATATATTTTTTAAATAGTACTCCCACCGTCCACAGAAAAAATATACAATTATTTTTGGCGCAGTATTTAAAAAATAATAGTATTTTAATTATAAAAATAATAGTATTTTAATTATAGTGGATAGTTAAAAGTAGTGTAACGACATTTTTGCCTTTGCTTTTTGGTGTAAAAGTAATGATGTGATGTAAAGTAGAAGTATTTGTGGAAAAAAGTAAAATATTTAATAAAATGTTTACTTTGTAATTTGACGTCCCAAAATAAAAACATGTATACTTTCTAGTTGGACGGAAAGAGTATTATTGAAATTGACTCGGCTAGATAAAAGACGTGAAAATGAAAAAAAAAAATGTGTAGGTCATAATTGAATTTCGAAAAATATAATGCAGTGTGATTAGAAAAATGATAAAAAAGAAATAAAAAAAGAATGAGAGATTAAAATTTTAAATTTAATCTTAAAATTAAAATTAAATTGAATGATAGTATAAAATATAAAATAATATTTATTAATTATAATAGGTTTACATTTAAAAAAATAAAAAATTAATCCTATATTAATTAATTGCTGAGCAGTTGTTCACTTTGCTCCCTAAGCGACCTGGTGTTGTCAGTACTATTACTGCAATAACTTTCAAAATAATAAATAAATAGAACTTGGGGACTGAAGGGTCCGAAGGGAGGTGGAGAATTTGGGTGTGCAGAGTTAGTGAGTTACCGAGGGAAAGAAAATAAAATAGGAGAGGACTGATTTGGAAAATTTGTAACTTTTGATTTAAAACAAAAAAGAAAAATATAATAATAAGCATTCTTATAGGTTAGACAGAGTAAATTGGATAAATTTTCGATCGAGGATACGCTCCGGTTTGAAGGAGAACGAGAAAGGGATGCTGCAATATATTTTCAGTGTCTGTAATTCTCAGGAGTACATTATGCTTATATGCAGTTAGGAATGGAAAATCTAACCTAATTAGGTTCTGTTTTTTAATTATATTTAAAATAATAAAAAAATATTTTTCTATTGCAAAATTTTCTTATAAATATTAAGTACATATAATATAAATATAACAAAAATTAATTTTATTTATGATAAATTATTTTTTAAGTCCCGTATCTGACCCTTTTATCATTTTAGGATTTTAAGTAAATTTTGTCTGAAAATAGTTTCGTAACTAAAAAATTTTCACTAAAATGGTCCTCCGGTTCTGGACTCGCCACGCTGGCAGCCGTTGCTGACGTGACTAACATGACATCGTCACGTAGATGCCACATTGGAGAACCATTTTAGCGAAAAAAATTTACATACAGGACTATTTTGAAACAAAATCCATTTAAATGTCCTAAAATGATAAAATAAGTCATATACGGGACTAAAAAAATAGTTTAGCAAGACATTTTGTAATATAAAAAATAGAAAAAATTTCACGTGTCGCTGACGTGGCATTTATGTGGCAATGACCTGCCAGCCGCGTCAACCCCACGTCAGCAACAGCAGGCCAGTGTGGCGACTCTGGCACTGGAGGACCATTTTAACGAAAAAATTTTATTTACAAGACTATTTTCAGACATGATCCATTTAAACTCCTAAAATAATAAATACTTATTTATTCCCCAAATTTGGCCAAAATATGTGAAAGTGCTACAAAATATTTTTCGAAATGAAGCTAAAAATACAAAGAAACAAATTTTTGTCGATGTATCGATGAACAATACATTATATTTGAGCCAAAAATCGATACCAAGTTCCGGCTCGGTCGATAAACCAGTTGCAAAATTGCGATCAAATGTCTCCTATTCCGACCAAAAGCAATACTTTAGAACTATCACCCGACTAAGAAAGCAACACAAATGCGTGACTAGTCGCGAAAATGTTAACTGTAGTAGCTCGGAAAACATTACAACCCGCGCCAATTGCTCAAGCAAGATAAGGTTGTAAGAACGTGAACCGAGGATTGCGCAAAGCATATCATAAATATCACCATTCGTAAATAATGAAGGGATAAATGTATTTTTAGTCCCGTATATGGCGCTCATTATCATTTTTGTCATTTAAATAAAATTTATATAAAAAAAAAGTCTCATATCTAATCTACAAGTCACTGAAAATTAAATTCACATCCAAATTTAGTTCATGCTCCGAAGTTGTTATGTTAACATACGTGACAATATATAAAAACTATTTTTATACAACATTTATTTAAAGAACTAAAATGACAATGAGTGTCATACATACGGGACTTAAAATACGTTTATCCCAATAACGCAACGAACAAATCAAGTTACTGAGCAATTTCTAACACCAAAGTTTGACGTAAATTTAATTTTTCGTAACTACTATTTTTATATAGAGCTTTATTTAAAGAACGAAAATGATAAGAAATGTCTTCTACTGGACTTAAAAAAAATACGTTTATCCCAATGATGCAACGAACAAATCAAGTCACCGAGCAATTTCTAACACCAAATGTCGACATAAATTTAATTTTCAGTAACCGCATATTATTTTTCAGAGCTTTATTTAAAGAAGGAAAATGATAATAAATGTCTTATATTGGACTTAAAAAACTACGTTTATCCCAATAATGCAACGAACAAATCAAGTTACGGAGCAATTTCTAACATAACATCAAATATTGACGTAAATTCAAATTTCAGTAACCGCATGTTAGATATAAAACTATTTTTTTCAGAGCTTTATTTAAAGAACGAAAATGATAATAGGTGTCTTATATGGGATTTAAAAAATACGTTTATCCAAATAATGCAACGAACAAATCAAGTTACCAAGTTTCGAATTACCTCTAGCTAAAACTCCGTTGTTGTCCGGTTCTTCGATTTTGATTTCTTGCTCTTCTTGACAGGCTCCGGCGCCATCCGGACAAAGTTCTTTGACGCGATAAGTTCTTCGATTTCCTGCTTCTCTTTGCTCATGCCATTTTTCTCGAGCTCTTTGACAAGATTATCGTAAATGGAGTCCGTAGGAACGAATCCCTTTTCCACCAATTCCTTAAAATAAAAACACGCTCGATCCAGGTTCCCGTTCCTAGACAGGCGACTAACGAGGAGAGAATACGTACCGTAATCAAGACTGATGTTGTTGGCGAAGAGATGGCTCAGCAAGAACGAAAGAACTTTCATTCGATTCAAATTGCAACACATTTTCAGCAACGGGATGTAAGTGTTGATATCGGGCTTGATCCGTCTCTCCTCGATTTTCTTGAGCAATTTCAGAGCCTTCTCTTCTTGCAAATCGTGTGCCGCGATGAAAATCAGCGTGTTGTACGTGCGCACGTCGGGAATAATTCCCTGCTTCGACATATCGTCGAACACCGAATCCGCGTCTTTCTGCCTGCCGGCGATGCTCAGAGCCGTAATGAAAACGTTATAAAAAGCCGTGTCGGGCGAGCAATTGTTCTCCTTCATCTCCTCGTAAATTTTCACAGCTTTGTTTATTTCCTTCGCTTTCGCCAATGCGTTCATCATTATAGTGTACGTCACGACGCTCGGACGACAGCCGTTCTCCCGCATTTCGGCCAATGTCGCATTAGCTTTGTAGAAATCCTTTTCTCGACAGTACGCTTCGATGAAAGATGTGTACGTTATCATATCAGGCTGAAATCCGTGTTCCTCCTTCATCTTGTTGACAATCGCTTTGGCTTTGTCGATCTGCCGGATTTTGCACCAGCCGTGTACTAAAATGTTGTACGTGCGCAGCGTCGGCGGAATACGATCCTTGTAATCGGAGAATAATCTTTCCGCATCCTCGACGCTTCCTTCTTTCACCAACGCGTCGATCCATATATGAAAAGCTGATATATCTCTCTCGACGCCAAATGACTCGAGTTTTTCGAATGTATTTATCACCTCGGAATATCGACCAGCCTTAGCAAGACGTCTCATGATTCTCGTCATCGTGTCCAATGAGACGTACCCTTCGAAATTCTTCATATCTTCGACAAGTTCCCAAATGACATCAAATTTCTTAGCTTTACCCAAATTATCGATCATTAAATTGTACAATTCCGGTGAATGTTTCTTCCCTGCTCGCTGTAACTCGGCCCATTTAAAGAACCCAAACCCCGGACACCACTGACAGCTGAATCGCCGTAAAACTTGCTCGATCAAACCGTCGGACACATCAACATCACAATCTTCCAACGCTTTCACCACCAAATCAGGGGATTCGAACCGGCCGTTGAGAATCTTACTAACCTTATCAACATCACTCTCGACGATATCATTCACCGCGGATTTTATATCAATGTTTTCAACATCACTCTGAATCTTGTGGTTTTCGATCCAATAAGATATTGAAGGGGGCACAAAATCATCGTCTGTTTTCCTTTTAGCAATTGTGTCGTTGTCGGAAGATTTAACCCAATCAGGCAGCTCGGGAGACTCGTCTACAGACAAGGAGTCATTCGCCTTTATGGATTCAGCAGCAGTGCAAAATGCATAAACCCCATTCATACGATCACTACGAGATCGGCAACCATTAAATGGCACAAATGCTCGATATTGCCTCAAAGAATTGAAATGCTTCCACTGTTGTAGCCTCATTCTCAGTAAAACTGATGGACCTGAACATCAAAAAGAACCAACATTCAAACTAAATACGATTATCCAAAAAATAAAAACTGTAATTTCGGTCAAATATGCGACATTCCTTATCATTTTTAATCTTTTAACCCGCCCGTATGAAAATGGCATCATATCACTCATCTTCATATTTTCAATACATTACGAGACTCCGATTACGCACTTTTGGAAATTTTAGCACTATTCATCAACAATAATTTTTTTTACAAACATTCCATCAAAAACATATTCTCACTTGCGAAACATCACATCAAATGCTAATTTTTTACTATTGTCAAATTTTTCCAGAACTCCAAAAGTTTCTTTCTAAAAGGAGTCCAAATTACTGAAATAGTAGTTTTTATCCTCGTCCTATTTTGTATTCAAATTTGGAACCGAATTCTGTATTTTGTATATCACAAAAACTTAATATGAAACATTTCTATGTGAATTTTGAAATTTTGATAAACTAAAAAGCATTGCACAACTAAAATTTTAAAATGTATAAGCAGTATATAATTGAGCACCAGTTATTGAATTCATAAATCCTTATAATTGATTAAACAAGTTCGTATAATTTAAAATTGCCAACCAATTATTGAATTTGCACATCCCTACTTTACAAACATATCCTTTTAGCAAATTTTTTTTACATGATCCAAACTCAAAAAAACACCTAAAGTGATGGAATTCATACCAATATATGAGATTTTTTTTCACTATCAGCTATTCAGCCTATTTTCTATGGTATAATCATGGCCAGAATCTTAACATACATAATGCGAAATTAAAAAAAAAAAAAAAAAAAAAAACACAATTAATTTCATCAGGAGAAATCAAAATTAAAATCAAAATCAAACCATGAATTAATAATAGTGTGCGCGTGCATCAAAAGCAAATCAAACAATAAACAAATTCCAGAGGCATTTCATCAAACAGGTAAGCTACTTCAAACAAAGCCGTCTTGAACATGAACAGCAAGTCACAGATACAATGTAAACAACAACGGAATAGATTTAATACCTATTTGGCGTATGAAATAGTATAGCTCGAAACGATTTTACATCTTAAAGTTGCTGAACCTGCAAAAACCGCGACGTGTTCGGAATCAAAACGAATTGATTAAAATAAGAGAAAGAAAAGACGTAAAAAGTTCTCGCACTTGATTCTAAGAAATGAAAGAAGAGAAGTGAACTCTCACCATTTTCAGTGCTGCTGGAGGATACGGAACTCGTTGGAGAAGAAAAATGGAGAACAGATTAGGGTTGAAGGGTTCCGTTTGTTATTGCAGGGTTTTGGGTGGAATATATTATTATATATATATATATATATTTTGGATTAGTTTGAAGAAAAAAAATTGATTTGAGTTTGATAATAAAATAATATTTGATGGAATATTTTGTGAGAAAAAAAAAATATATTTTTTTCGGCAAATGCAGAATCTAAATAGTAAAATTTAGGAAAATTCGACTAAAGAAACGTATGCTTTTCTTTAAAAAAAAATATACTCCCTTCGTCCATTTAGAAAAATTACATTTATTTTTGGCGAGGTGTTTAAAAAATAATAGTATTTAAAAGTATTTGTGGAAAAAAATAGGGTATTTAATGAAATGTAAACTTAGTAATTGGACGTCCCAAAATATTTGTAGGCGGATGGAGAGAGTATATTTTTATTTATGTTTTTTTAATAGATATATTTTTTATATTAGGATGAAAAATTATATTAATAATATAAAAATATTAATATTTGTATTGAATAGTTTTTTTTTTTTTTTGAATAAATAAAAATATATGTAATGTATTAATATTATGTTAATAGTATTTTGGAAAAAAATCATTTTTTTCACCAAAATTCATCAATTTTGGTTCAAATATAAAAACTTATAGTTTGGTTCAAATATAACCAAACTATTTTTTTTTTTCCAATATAACCAAAACTCATCATTTTTGTTCCAATATAAAATTTTTATCAATTTTAGTCTCGATATAATCAAAATTCATCATTTTTTGTCTCAATATAATCAAACTTTATCTTTTTCAGTTCTACCGTCAACAAACCGACGAAAAATGCTGACGTGGACTTGCAAGATTGTGCAATTTCTTCAAATATAAATATAAGGTTGGATTTCTTTTCACGTCAACATTTTCAGTCGGTTTGTTGACGGTAGGACCAAAAAAAATAAGGTTTGATTATATTATGACAAAAAATGATGAGTTTTGGTTATATTGGAACTAAAATCGATAAAAAAAAATTATATTGGGACAAAAATCGAGTTGTGGTTATATTGGGACAAAAATGATGAGTTTTGGTTATATTGAGACCAAAATTGATAAGATTTTTATATTGTGACCAAAATTGATAAGATTTTTATATTGTGACCAAAATTGATGAATTTTAATTACATTTGAGACCAAAAATAATTTTGATAAGATTTTTATATTGGGACCAAAATTGATGAATTTTAGTTATATTGAGACCAAAAATAATTTTTCGGCACTATTTTTTAACTAATATCAATAGGGAATCATTGGAACAAAAAGATATTTAAGTGAACAAATTTTTTCTATTTGTTATATTTTTTAATTGAACTCTTTATTTTGTTAAAAAAAATAAAAATTGAGTTCCTTCTTTTGCAATTATCCCCTACTATACTTTTATTTAAGGGTGTGTTTGTTCAGATGTTTGGATTTTAAGTTGAGATTTAAATATTAAAAATTTTAAATTAGAATAGTGTTATAATATAATATAAATAGATGTTAACATGATATTTTGAATGTAAAATTAATTTTTAGAATAATATATAAAAATAAAAACTAGGTGTTTGATGTGATATTTTTTTTCGAATTTTGGATGAATAATGTATTTTTGGCAAAAATCCCTTAAACAAACACACCGTAAGTAAATTTTATATAAAGTTATTTTGTAAAATAAAACACAAATAAAAATTTTATTAAATACACGGGAGTATAATTCCAAGCAATTTATCTTCAAGACAAAGATCTGATGTAATAATTTTATTTTTTTTAGACAAAATTACTTATAACTCTCTGGTTTTGAAATTCAATGTAAATTTACTATAAAATTACATAACCTTTATATTTTAAAAAATAAAAACCCTTGACATGATAGATATAAAAATCTTCTCATTATACAAAAAAAACATAAAAAGAAATTTCATCTAACATTTTTAAAAGCATAATATAGAGAATTTAAGTTGAGTTTCAAAATCATAATGTTGCTTTTTTTTATATACATATTCAAAAAATGCTACTAGTTTCGTCTCATAACTAGATATTCATTTACTTTTTTGCATGTAGTTTTAGAAATATTAATACTCCCTATGTCCCATAACTAGATATCCATTTGTTTTTTGCTCGTAATTTTAAAAATATTAATATTATATGGGAATATAAGTAAGAATAAAATAGAAATGACTAAAATAACCTTATTAGTATGTGTGAAATAAAAATAATATCATTTGTGTAATATATTGTAAGAGTATTTGTAATATATTGTTAGGGAACGAAGGGAGAATAAATAATACTCCTATTAAAACTTTCAATATATATAAAGTTAACAACCCGGTAGAATTTATCCAAAAACAAAATGATATATATAAATTTTTTAAAACTCCAAAATTGTATGTAACGAGAGCCTTGAAATTTTAATATTAAGGGTGTGTTTGTTTGTGAATTTTAGTTTAAAGTTAGGATTTTTAATTGTAAAAAATTAAATTTGAACAGTTATTTGGTATAATATAAATAGAAGTTGATATAATATTCTGAATGTAAAATAAATTTGTATATCATATAAAAAATAATAATAATAATCACTTGATGTGATATTTTTAGAGGAAAAAAAAAAAAATCTGAATAGTAAAAACCTATTCTAAATCTCACATAACACAACCTAAATTTCCATTAACATCATCAGCAACAATTCAATCCATCATCAAGCAAGAACAACAACAAAATGCACACAATTTTTTTCCTCTTTTTTCTTTCAATGATCAAATCCTCAAAAGAACAGCCTCGGATCGACGAAACCGACATTCAATAACAACATCCTTAAACAATATGTTCGAATCATTCCGATCATACAGTAAACATAGACAGGTCAATCAGAGAAAACAAAAACAGCTTAGAACTGACCTGAAAAGTTAACCTTCCATCGGCTGAAGCTGGTTCCTATCGCGCATACAATACATACACACACATATATATATATATCAGAAAACGAGCGCAGTTTTAGACTTACTTTTCACCCTTTCGTTCGCATGATCGTGATGCTCCCTTTCCCGCCTTCAGTGTGGATTTTGGTTTTCCCGACAACAGGTTTCCCAGAAAAGGCTGATGTGGGGTAGGCGACGGGTGGATCTTCTCGGGGCTTTGATTTTGGTGGGTTGTGTATCTTTTCGTTGATGTCCTTTAGAGTCATGTCGCCGTGTGCGCCGCATGGTTTGATGAATGCGAATGGATAGACTATGGAAGATGAGATTTTCGGAGGTGCGCGGATGTATGGCTTTCTACCTGTGTACGAGAAAAGAAAATTAGAACATGAACGTGATCATTGATCATTGCAATCGAGTTAACCAAAATTAGCGACGATGTTCAAACATTATTGTATAGGGGGTGTTTGTTTGGGGGTTCGAATTTTGAATTGGGATCTAAATACTAAAATTTTTGAATTGAACTAGTTTTATGATGTGATGTAAATAGGTGATGTTTTGAATGTAAAATTAATTTTTAGTATAATATAAAAAATAAAAAAAGGTATTTGATTTGATGTTTTTCAGAGGTAAAAAATTAATGAATAGTGGAAATCTTGACAAATCCCGCAAAGAAACATACCCCTAACATAGATATTTTTGGAACTCTTGGTACTATTCATCATCAGTAACATTTTTTTGAGAAAACGTAATATTAAATACTTTTTTTCTCTTACAAAACATCGTATTAAATGCGCAATTTTTGACTATTTTCAAAATATTTCGAAACATAAACTTCTATCTAAATGTATCCCGTCCATTATTTAGAACTACTTGAATTTGAAATCCAACTGTTTCTATTATATAACTTCATTCTCTAACTTATGTATAAATTTCATTTAGAATTGAATTAGAAAGAGGTTTCAACTAGCAACTTCAATTTCTATTTTCGCTCTTTGCCCATAGTAAAATGCTCTTAAGCATTTGGTTAAACTATAGATCCTAAATACCAAAGTATAAATTTCTATTAGAATTGAATTCGAAGAGTTCCAACTAGCAACTTCAGTTTCTATTTTTGCTCCTTCTTGCACATCGTAAAGTGCTCTTATGCTTCGGTATGCCGTATACATCCTAATTTGGTTTGCATAGAAGTTTTTGTAGAATCGATCACAACATTTAGTTAAACTAGACATCCTAAATAGGAATGTATATATTTCAAATAGAATTGCTGACGTATAAATTTCAATTAGAATTGAATTCGAAAGAGGTTCCGACTAGCAACTTCAATTTCTATATTCTCTACTTCTTTCACATCTAAAAGTGGTCTTAAGCTTTGGTATATGATCACATCCTAATTTGGATCGATTCGCTAATTTGGTTAAACTATACATCCTAAATACTAACGTATAAATTTCAAATAGAATTGAATTTGAAAGAGATTTCAACTAGCAACTTCATTTTCTATTTTCGCTTTGAAAAACAAACCGGAATAAGTATCAGCAAAGGTCAGAAAAATGTACCTTTGAAAACAACGTTCGGATGAGTATTAACGGGTTGTGGTTCGGCTATATTAGTGTCATATTCAGGGGGTTCGCTGCAAAGATCTGCACAAACAAATTACGGGATTTCAGCTGGGGATGGTAAAGACAGGAAACAAAGGAACTGTCAGAAGAACTAGGAAATGATAGCCGATAAGTATAATGTTGCATTGCCTGTAATGTCAATTTGAACATCAGATTCTCCAGATGCATTACTTCTGTTCACAAAAAGAGTCGATCAGAATACACAACTTTCTGAGATGAAGTATGATATTATTAAGTAGACGTACATATCTTCCGTGCAGAAATGCATTTCTGCATCATTAAAGCAATCAGCAATCCATCCTTCAGCTGACGGGTCCAAACACTCGTTACAGGAAATTGAATTTTCTTCTGTAAATAAATATCAGAATTTTTATCAATAGGTATCACAGGCACCAACGATTCTACTCAACTAAAAAAACATCTTTCGAAAAAGCAACCTGAGAATCCAGCTACCCACTGAGTCATTTCAGATAGAGCATCTTCTAGACATTCCTTCGTCTCCTAAACACAAAATGGAAGCAGAATTTAAGCTACACCGAGAATTTCTATTATGTGCCTCATTATGAACTTGCTTTCTCAGAAACACACAAGATTAATCGAAACTGGCTCATAGGTTGACTATTATTTTATTGAAGTACCAAAACCAGATTCATATTATAGTGCGACGAATGAGATGATTATAAGAAACCAAACATGTAATATCAGCTCGAAGTAACTTAGAAAATCTAAATACAAGATCGCAGGTTGATTGCCTGTTACGAATATCATGACACGTTGAATAGGAGAAAAGAGATTTATCAACCTTAGATTTCAGAAACATGTCATCATTGCCAAGATTTTCCTCCAGAGCTTCGGGCTCAAACTGTAGCATCCGGCGCCTTTTCAATTGAGATGCGGGATCCAAGTCTTGCTGCTCCCAAACTTTTCCTGTTAATTCTGCGGTGCATTTAACAATATGTATGTAAGCTATTGAGGTGCATTGCATTTACAATAAATCATTTTGCAGTTTCAGCTGCCACAAGCCCTCGAGACAAGTTTATAATTCATGAAAATGCCGGATGTGCATGCAAACATGTATCGTTCCACAAGTGATACAAATAGACACATGCATCACAATCTTCAAAGATAATTAATTAATAAAATTTCTTTCGCATTTATGAAATTACCTAAACTGGTTCTTGAATACAAGCTATTTCATATAATCGTTTTTCAGGTTTTACATATGCAATACATGTTCCTTCTATTTCCCAAATAGTTGGCATTCGGCTTATACATGCATTGAGCATTTAAGAGAAAATGTGCGCATACCAACAAATTTAAACAGAACAACTTGCTGAAAAAGAGAATCAAATCATTTGTTTGATTGGTTGAACAACATTACATTCATAACCTGAACTATCAAATTATAATGCATTTGTGCATCTCAATCGCAACCCCAATATTTCACACTCGACCAAAATGGTTAACCAAATATTGTACTCATATGAAAGCAACACTCTACCATTGCTTGGGGTATGATAAGCCAAATCTCCACAAGCCTTCAAAGGGGTACTTTCACTGTCCAACAAAGAAGACATATCCTCAGCATTTTGGTGCGTTCCATCGAACAGAGACTTCGATATTTCTGCCCAACATATTAACACAAAAATTCAAACAATCAGTCTAAACAGAATACAATCAAGAAAACTTCAAGCCTTAAAACTCACCTATACTGGAGTTATCTTCAAGACAATATTCCTGTCCCTGCCAATCCCACATGTTTCTGGCAAAAGTTTGAAACTACAGACTCAATGTGCAACACAAAACGAGGAAACAAAAATTTAAGACACCACATCCAACCTAATGATTTAAATTAAACTTCGGGAAAACAGGAATTACTGAAAGAATATAAACTCTATGCATAAATAATCAATCACATATACACACATTGCTCAGTAGATCGATCTACACAAACAGTGTCGCCAAATGGATCAAAGAAACAAGCAATGCAGTTCCTAAAAACAGATTTGAACAATCAACAATGCTCCAGTAATTAAGACTTCAGAACATTGCTGCAACAGATCCACTAACACATTTTTTTTCCACATTATGCAGTAAACCAAAACCAAATACGCAAACCTAAAAGTAGTCCAAAAAAAAAGAAAAAACAACAAAAAAAACACAGACGCAGATTGAGAGGGAAAATAACAAATTCATCAAATTTCCAGGCCTTATACCCGAATCAAAGCCAACTCAAACTCCAGTAAACAGTAAAACACTACAGAAACCAAGCGCAGTGACAAATCATTCCAATTTCAAGTGCTAATCCACCAAAAACACAAAAAACAAAGCGGCGCAAATTAAAATCCAACAGAACTGTCAAAAACACTAAAAAACCGGCGTAAAATCTTGAAACCTCACCTGTCACAGCTCATTTGTTCTTCCGATTCTTCCCCTTCCCCACGCGAAACAAAAACTCTTTGAAAGCAAAATCGATGGCTTTCTAGATCAGAGAGCCGCAATCGTCAGGGCTACCGAAAAGTATCCGTTAAAATACGCAGTATCTAGAAATACGTATATTTATACGTATACGCCCCGTCCCATTGGCCACTCCTATCGTATACTGTACAGATTTTATTATCGAGAAACCTTGAAAATAAAATTGGAAAATATCCCTTTAAAATAATTATTAATATTTTTTAAAAATAGAATGCAAAATCACTTTGTTGTATTTTTTATATGGAATATATATTAAATTACTTTTATTTAATTTAATATATAATTTTCTTTTAAATATATTGTTGCCAAAATTCTTTAATTCAATAAATTTAATAGGTGATGTTAACATATATTTATATTTTTTTATTATATAAATTATTATTTAAAAAATATATGTATTTATTTTTCATATAAAATATTATTTCAATTATTAAATTTTTTATTTAATTTATAAATTATTTTATTTTATTTACAAAATTAATATAAATAATTAACAACTTGTCACAATTATATTTTAAAATATCAATACATAATTTGATTATAATTATAATTATATACAAAATTTTATTACATCAATATTTTATAAATAAAGTGTAAAGATTTTATAAATTATTTTGAGAATGAATTTGTAATGTGACATTAATACATTTATACTGAATATATGGATATTATTAATATTATTTACCCTTTTAAAATAATAGTTATAGATTATTAATGTTATTTACTTTTTTTAAATAATAATATTCTATAATTATTATTGAATTTTGTTTTGGAATTAATTAAAATTATTTGTGAAATACTTTTTGGAATCATTAATGAGATGATTGACTTATGTGGAATTTATTTTAATTAAATTTTAAATAATTAATTACATTAGAAGGGAAAAAATTAATTTCGTTTTCAATATAAAAATCTTATTATTTTGGTTTAAATATAACCAAAATTCATCATTTTTTGTCCTAATATAACCAAAACTCATCATTTTTTATGTCAATATAAAAATTTTATCAATTTTAGTCTCAATATAACCAAAACTCATCATTTTTTGTCCAAATATAATCGAATCTTATTTTTTTTGTTCCACCGTCAACAAAGAGACAGAAAATGCTGCAAGATTGTGCAATTTCTTCAAATATAAATATAAGATTTGATTTCTTTTCACGTCAGCATTTTTCGTCGGTTTGTTGACAGTGTTTGACCAAAAAAGATAATGTTTGATTATATTGGAAAAAAAAAAAGATAAAATTTGATTATATTGTGACAAAAAATAATGAGTTTTGGTTATGTTTGAACTAAAATTGATAAGAAAATTTATATTATGATAAAAATTGATGAATTTTGATTATATTGAGAAAAAAATAAGATTCTTTCCCTTTTTAGAATGTTAATAGAAATTAAAAATTTTGGTATCTTATTATTATTTTTTTTTAAAATCTTTTATAAAGTAAATCACTTTAGTTAATAGATTCACATTTTAATTAAATAATATTGGCACATAATACTATTAAATATTACTCCCTTCGTCCCACATATTATGTTCACATTGTCGTTTCTGTTCCTTATATCATGTTACTTTCCTTTTTTGGAAAATAATTACACATTTTAATCTCATTTTAAACTTTTTAATTTTATTTTTTTTAAATTTTAATTAAACTAATTAGTTATCTTAATCTTAATTTATAATTATTTATATTATCGGATAATTATTTTCACTAATATATTTTTAATTATCTACTAATTACATTTCTCCTAAAATACCGTATCTACAGTGTAGCAGACACGATATGTGAGAACGGATGGAGTACTCTTTTTAGTTAATGAGTTTAGATTAATCATACGGCCCCAAAAGTAAATTTAGATCTAAATTTTTTAGCACCGAACTCTATCTTAAACTAAATAAAAACGTATTAGACGACTACTTAACAACTTAAAAATAATAATATTATACATCAATATTATTTAATTTAGAATATGAATTTATTAACAATAGTAATTCTATGTTCTAAAAAAATACACTTTCAAAATATGTGCAATACTTCCAAAGATTTAATCAATTAAATATAATACTATCTCCGCCCAATACAATAGTACTGTTTATTATTTTTATTCTTTCCAAAATAATAGTTTCATTTCTATAAATAATCATATCACTATAAAACTATCCATATTTTTTTATTATTATTACACAATTGCCACTATTTTTTACACTAATACACTCATAAGGGCAAAAAAATCTTTTACCCGTACTTTTTACTCACTATCAATATAATATCAATATTTCTTAAATCTCGTGTCAAATACAACTCAGACTATAGTTTTGAGACAGATGGAGTATTTATTTTGATTTTGGGTTTTGGTTTTGAACAGTAAAATTTTGAATTGAAATAGTTGTTTGATGTGATATAAATATGTATTGATGTGATGTTTTAAACGTAAAATTAGATTTTAATGTAATAAAATAAATAAAAAATGAATGTTTGATTTGATATTTTTTAGAGAAAAAAAAATGATGAATAATAAAATCGAAAACCAAATTTCACAAGTAAACACACCTATGGATTTATAGAATAAAAAATCTTAGAGCCAAAACTAAGAAATAATTTATATGTATATATATATATATATAAAAGAAGTGGAAAAATAGAAAAATAACAATGAATAAATCAAAAGTGTAATAAGCTAATTTGTAAGTGAAATATAAAAATAATTATAGACAATAAAAGTAACTGAAAAAGTAAAAGGTAAAGCATAAATTAGACAATTTTATTGGTTTGTTTGCTTTGATTATTTATTTATTGTTTATTTTCTTCTATGTAATTTTCAGTATACAATATTAAATTCAATATTTATATTATATTTATTTTGAGTTTTTTTTTTTTTTACTATATAATTATTACGTAATAGCGGAGCTAAAAGACATAAATAACAACCTTTACAAATACGTAGAATATATTTTTACTGATAATATAAATAAAGAATATATTTAATAATTGAGTATAGCTGAAAAATATATTTTGTAATTTTCTCCGAGTTGTTCCAACCATCCAATAAAAACTAAAATCTTTAGGTTTTGAAATAAAGAATTAAAAGACAATTACAAGTAAATATGCAATTATATATTTATATGTAATTAAATAATATACATATATACTACATCCGTCCCATAACAAAGTATCTATTTTTTTATTTTAATATATCACATAACAAAGTATACATTTCCTTTTTTTAAGTAACTGTATTATCTATCTAACATTACAAATACTCTTACAACTTACAATATATTACACAAATAACATTACCTTTATATCACATATACTAATAAGGTTATTTTAGTCATTTCTATTTTATTCTTACTATATCTCAATATAATACTAATATTTTTAAAACTACGTGCAAAAAGTAAATAACTATTTACTTTTTGGACGAAGAGAGTATATAATTTGTGGTTCAAGAGAAACCTTTTGGGTCGCTTTCGTAGCTCCAATTATGTTTTTTATAATTTTTTATATATAAGATATTACATTCAACTTATCCTTTAAATAATAAAGAAAAGAAAAAACTAAAACTAAAATTAAAATGTAAAAATAAAACTAAAAAAACAACAAAAAATATGTTTTAGTTTGTGTTTGTATTTAAACAATAGTTGAATTTAATATATAATACTAGTACTCCCTCCGTCCCAAAAGATTTGTCTTGTTTTTCCATTTTCGTCCGTCCCAAAACAATTGTCTTGTTTCCTTATATAGTAGCCGTAGTCCCCACTTTATAACAAAATTATTTCTACTTTTCCATACTACCCCTAATTATTACTCTAACATACTCTTTAAAATCCTTCAAAAAGTAAGGGCATTTTAGTCATTTAATATTCTACTTTATATCCACTTTCAATTAAATACTATTATTCCTTGATTCCCGTGCCAACTCTCAATAAGACACTTTTTTTGAGACGGAGGGAATATTATATTAGTAGTTGGTAAAAAGTATAGATAAAAGACTTTTTGGTCCTTACGAGTGTATTAGTATAAAAAGCAGTGATAATTGTGTAATAAAAATGAAAAAGTAATGGTAGTTTTATAGTGATATTGTTATTTATGGAAATAAAACTATTTTTTTGGACGGACAAAAATGATAAACAAGACTATTGTATTAGGACGAAGGAATATATATTTAAAAAGTATGTCAAGAGTACATGGTAAAATTATTATTACTACTTTTCATAAAAAGTTCAAGTAAGCAGTCCATAAGAAAAAATTTTCTTAGGTATTTTTGTATTCTTAATTAATTTTTTTTTCCTTAAAACTATGAAATTAAATATTTGTTTTAAAATTAATGTATTAACAAAATATAAATTGCTTATTTATATTGTAATATATTACTTTAATTGTTTTTTTTATTATTCTCAAACTCCAAATATAAATCTAAAATTTAATAGTATACACATAAATGTTCGAAGATAATACTATCATGTTACATATAAAATAATATTCTCTTTTGTCTTTTGATAAAACATTCATTTGTTTTTTAAGTAATTGTAGTTAACATTTAATTTTTTTTTATAAATAATAATAATAATAATAAAATGAAAATGAAAATTGTGTGTCAGTTAAATTAATGTGGACTAGCCAAGTAATACCAAATTATCCCAACAGCTATAAATAATTTGCATATTTTACTTGTGTACAATTTAATGTGACACCAATTTATTTTTGCATTCAATTTACCTGTAACTGCTAAGTGTCCAAGTGGGCCTTCACCAATTCAATTCAATATACATATCTCAATTTAATTAATTCTTTTACAATAAACACCAAAAAAAATAAAATAAAATATTATGTAAATACAAAAATCCATTCCCCAATTTATCATTCTAGTACATTACTACTTATTTTTCAAGTTTAACTTCTAGTGTAGTGTTGATTGCAACCTAGTCCTCCCTCCGTCTCATATTTATATATCTATTTATTTTTTTCACGAAATTTTAGAAATATTATTATTATATTTAGATAAAGTAAAAATAAATATAAAAAGATTAAATTAATCATATTAGTATTGT